TTAGATGGCTCCCTCGTCGGCGTCGTAGCCGTCGAAGACTCGGGTGCACTTCCCAAGTCGTCTGATACGGCCACGGCGACAGTAGACACTCATCATCACAAATACGCCGCAAACCGTTCCGATCCGGACCAAGACGCTCCCATGAACGATGCTGATTCAGCGATCGCATCGTCTTCACCACATCCGCTCATCACACAAGTACCACATACGAACCTGCCGTACCTTTTTATTGGCAGCGGAACCTGTCATCCTCTAGATCCGGCGTCATCATACTCCGTCGGTCTCGCTCTCGTGCGCTCCATCGACATTCAGTCACAAACCATCCATTTGATCACTCCCATCCCTCCCAAGTCGCTCCACAGTGCCCTTGACCGTGGTCACCGTATCATCCTTGTTCGGGGGAACCTGGATAACCCCAATTGGGCTCTCAGCGAACAGTATTTTGCTGCCAGGGCTGCGCAGCGCAAAGTCAGACAACGTAGGGCGGAGGTTAAAGCAGAGTCTGATGATTCGGAGTTACTAAGGGGGTACGAAGACAAAATTAGGAGATCAGCAGAGCGGGTTCGTAGAGCGACGAGGGGCGCGCCGTGGATGACCGTGGCCAGGCAGGGAGAGAAGAAGCAAAAGGAGAGAAACGGGAGGTTATGGAAGGTAACGAAACCTGGACAGGATGGAGGGTCTGATGGGGAGAGTGAACACTTCTAGGCTATCACAGAGAATGCTAGGTTATTGAGTGCACTACAGAGAGGTTTTGCCATGATGTCTTCGACATATTCGCTGTCGACCAAGAGAACAATGACTACATGCCATGTCAATTGGGTGCCATCAGGGTGTCTTCTAAAAATATCCGGAGGTCAAGAGGAGATAACTCTTCGTTGGCCACCAATCCTGTCGTATACGTTTTATGACTGACTGCTATGGAAGTCATGGGCCTCGGAAATATGTCGATCATCACCGAGTGAGCCAATGTGCAAACTAGTCTCCAAACTGCCAGCCATCACCTATTCCCCATCACCTCCAATGCCATTTAAACACACGTAAGATAATAGCATTATGTGGTTGGCCAGGTCCAGTGACCTAGGTAAACAATTGTCGTCCTCGAATATCGCGCGCGATTCACCCCTATTGGCCTTTCAGTTCGCCTCCAAGAGTGAAACACGAATCGTGACGTGCTTCCTTTCTTTGCTTTTTCCCCCTCTCCCTTGAATTTACAGCCACATCGTGCAGCGGCAGGCTACTGCACATGCACGTCATTTATCTGACATCGCACATGTCCCGACACGGGATGCCGGGGAGAGCAGTGGAGGCACCATGTGCGAGGTTTCATATCGGATACTTGCGTCAGGACTTGCAGTATGTGAAAAAATGACTCAGCGAAGCAGTGTTCATCTGGTGCGTGAGGCCTACAGAGTTATTGCTCTCGTCGATCATTATATGCCGGGGGAATAACAAGCAACTACAGGGCAAAGGGAACAGAGAAGAAGAAAATAGTAAAACGAAGCACGGCAGGTGCGGAATCAGTGCCTCCGTGATTTGAGTCATTGCCGGGCCAACAAGATTCCGCGTGTGTGTCTCTTAACGACCTACGAGAGCCAAGGCTGCCTGTCGTCCAACGGAACAAAAGAGTTGTTTCACGCCCAAGAATAGCATCCAGCGAACGAGAAGGTTGAACTCCCCCCTCCCTCCCGCGCCATATCTTCTGTCAATGCCTATCTCACCAGCATTTCACTCTTGTTCCGAAGCGCACATGGGATTGTTGGTTGGGTAGCCAACAGCACACACGAACCTCCATGCAGCGACGTTGGAATCAAGACAACTAAGACGTGGCATTGCCTGAAGCCTAGAGAACGATGGGTTCTTTCTGTCCTCCCCTACCAAAGTTAAAATATGTCCAACATTTGTCAAACAGGCCCTCGGGCGGATGGAGACCGTGTAAATGGGCCGGGAGGAGGGTAGAGGCGTGGACGTTGGCCGCATCAAGGCCAGACTGTCGGCATCGAGCCGTTCATTTCCTGGCGGGTAGTTTGGGTGAAGGGAGCCGTGTAACCCGCATTATATGCAGTCAACGTCGGCAGCAGCAGGATCTGGACTGGAAACATCCACAGTAAGACGGAGATAGCCGGTATTTGCTGGGGTATTCATCTTTATGTCACTTTTCCCTGCAGGATGGCAAAATGGGAAAAAAATCCGGGATTTTTCTTTTTTTTCTATTTGCCTGGCATCGTATTCCGGCCAATCCCTTAAATTTACCCGGAGGCTAGTCGTGCGGCCAGAGAGCTGGGGAAGCGGAACGTGCTTCGTGTACAACTTGAAGAAACAGCGGAAAGAAAAGAGCGGTGAAGGGCGCGAGGCATATCGACCTTCTTGTGAGAGACAAGAATCCTTGACCAGGGCAGAGGAGAGCCAGACCAATGGCATTCGCCAGACGGCTGATGTACTGGGCGGTTTTGAGCCTCCAGGCGGCCGCCGGGATGAGCGCAGCGCAGTCATCACGATGCGGGGGAGGGGCAGCCAGGCCTGTCGTCGGGCAGCACGCTGGACATCCGACGGCGTCAGTAGTCCGGAATTTCGCTGCCAGCGAGATTCAGCTGCACTTGAATCTGATCCGGTACAGAGTACTTTGGGGTACTTGAGGTGTACATGCTCGGAGTCAAGGGTTGATGGATGCCCAAAGGGTTGATTCCTTCGCAGTAACCATGTAAACTAGCTCCCGACATTTCCCTAGGGAAAGCAAGATTTGTCCGAAAAGTTATTCAATTCCTGAGGTTTCTCAGGCTAACCTTGTAGCAGTTCTTTTCCGGAGGAATGGATGAATCCATCACGGCTGTAAAATTCAGGAAGAGAAGACACGTCGGATGGGATTTAGGCGCATTGAGCCATGTAGAAACGGTCCAGAAAGGGGATCTCCACGCAGCGGAAGCACCAGGAAGCCAGCGGACAAATCAGAACCTTTTGCTTTCAAAATCTCTCGGGATAACTATCCAGTGCTTTTGTCTTTCTGCTGGAAAAAAAAAAAAAAAAAAAGGAAAGAAACGCTGCGCATACCTTACCCACTTTCTTCTCGATCGTGGGTCCGCAAGGCGTACTTTTTAACTAGAGTAATCTTTACAATCGCATCGAGATTCCCTATCCAACGTGTCGGCAGCGAATACCCGGACGGCACGGGTCTGTAAGGAGACACAAGAGTTATGTACGGTAAGCGTGGCCCACTTCTACCAAATATTTTCCGTCCATGAAGAGATCATGCTCGCGTGGGCCATACATAGGGTTGTGGTGGGACCGTGAGCCGACGAACGACTTTCAAAAGGCCAGACTCATGAGGACGACAAGCTAGTTGAGACTTAGCACCGAGTTTCCTCTGCCCTGAAGCACGTTTTGATTTTGCTAGAGATAGGATATGCTATGCTGCTGCTGTGATGTGTACGTCTTATACAGTGGAGAGCGTGATGATGGTGTTGGTCGTGGCCCAGACTCTGGTGTGTGGAAAACCCATGGATCGGCATCGGGTTTTCGCCCCGGGTGCGCTAGCTATGAGAATTGGAAAAGCATGAGTTTCATCATATTCTGCCGCTCTTCGCAAAAAGACCATCCTCGGATGAACGACTTGTTTTTGCTGTATCGGAGCAAGTCCAGCCCTCAACTCCTGCGAGCTAGCACCAGCCAGGAGGTAAAAATGTGCCGAGGCCCTGAGAATACGGAGCCAGTCGTGCAATCCTTAGCAGGCCGAATCTGTGTGTCCATGCTTTCAGGCTGCTCGTGTTTTGTCCAACACTCGGGATATCGCTACCAACCACATGGATATGAATTAGTACTCCTGGAATAACGATGTTCTCTTGGTGTCCATGCGCTTATTTCAGGTGTTTTCAGGATGGCTTCGACGCAACGTTTTACAGTATGAAGTATGTACTCCGTACTCCGTACACGGTACGGAGTATGGGTGACTGACCGACGAGTCGATAGGAACTCCGAGCAGTTAGCTGGTTTTGAGCTGCTTCGTGGCACGAAGCGCTCAGCTCGCTAGCTACTGAGTCGGTAACTAAATTTGGGACCTGAATTCGCACCAGATCGACGGACGCCATGTTTCAGAACCAATGCCACGCGACGTGGTTTCAGCGACAGCCGAGTTGCGCAGACCTGGAATAACTTGAGAAATTCACCCTTTCTCAAAAATAATGGCTGAGAGTCGCTCAATTGGTTTCCACAATCAAAAGGAATTGAGCAACGACACAGCTGTCGTGCGAAGTGTCGGATGATGCAGCGAGTAACCCACGACGGAGTACCCTCCGCGGCGCTGGTGGTGAACAGTTGAGCAAGCGAATTTAGTCAAGCTACATAGTGAACTAGGCCAGGGAGGATCCCTTCTTGGCTTTCATCCTCCTGACATTCCTTCTAGAAGATTTCCACGGAGGACCTCTGACAGGGATACCCGCAGCCCGTCACACATTCCATTAATGATTCCTAGCCGTTCCTGGTAGATGCCGGCTGGTATCACACTCTCTGCCGAGAGTATCCTTCCGCCTTAATAGCAGTCAGTATGAATGGTTAGCTCAAGAGTGCGGAATTGGGGTCTCTTCTTGACGCATCCCACTTGGTCCTCTGCAGTTTACGTGAAATCTCAATTTGGGCCGATGGAAATGAAATAGTTATTAATAGAGGTATCGGTCCGAAGAGAAGGAAAAATCTTCAACCCCAGGTTCCCCAAGTTTTCACACCATGTGCAACATTTGAGGTTGTTGAGCAGGCAACCCCTGCTTAGGAGGGGGGAGAGGGAAAGGAAAAAAAAAAACTGTTCTGCAGGTGGACACATGGAAGATCCTTGTCAACACCCATCCTGTTACCAGTGTTACACTCCCCCAAGACTTTCTGGAATGTGAGGGATGGTTGAACAAGGGGACGACACAGAACATTCCTTCAAGAAGGCGCCTTAGGTATTTGAAAGCCGAACATACGAATGGATTGTAATAAATTTCGTCATAGATGTGCATATAAAGTAAGATACCCGAGGTTGGACGGCGGGGATTGTGTTGAGAAAGTGACGGTCTGCCTTGCGATCGCACAAGGAATGGCTACGTTGATGGTGATAATAAATCGGGGGATCGATTATGCAGCGGTTGTCCCGCAGTTGCATATGCAAGTGGAAAGCCAAAATAAAATGACTGCAGGAAGGAAGAAAAGAGTTTTTTTTCCCTCCGCTTTCTCCTCCGTCTTCGTCTTCCTTCACGAGGACGAGCAAAAATTTTTCATCCGCCTGCCGGTCTCGATGGAAACGTGGAGTGGATGGACGGCAAAGCTTGTCGTGATGAGCAAGCATCCAGCTCTTCTTGCATCCCGGCCCCCTGATTATTACTTATGATTAATGTTGGGAAATTGTGTTGTCGGATTGCAACGGACGCTACCAGCCCTACAATCGGCTTTTTCTTTGTCGCTCACGCACCGTGATTGACTTCTCAGATCATGCTCTTTTTCATTGTGAGGAGCGCTGCGCCGTGTTCGGAAATACAGCAAACCCCTCGATGGACGAAACAACGGAATGGAGGGGTGGAATACAAAGAGATGGCGTCCTTCGACTGCGGCTAAGAAGTGCACGCCGGGGAAACCATCATTCCATGCACTACGATGTGCAGTGTCCCGATGCTATCCTTCGTAGATTGGTGCGAGAAACGTGTTGAGCCAATTACATAGTGACTGGGGATATGCGTATCATGTTCGGTTTAAGAAAAGTGACAGCTGCAGGGCGAATACAGAGTAATAATTAAATGTCAGCTTGTAGTTCCGGAGTACATTCTCCTCCGCTGTTAAAGCGCTTTGCGCCGTCGAAGCGACGCTGCAAGCCACCGCGTCAACACTTCTCGACCTGGCACTATGAAACATTGTGCACACTAATGGATGCACTCCGTGTGTGTTGTATGTACGGGGTACATGTATGTACAAATGTCATCACAGGACACTGTGGTTCAGGCGGACGGAGATCCAGGGTACAGACATTCGCAGATGTAGAGACAAGTTGCTGGCTCCCTGCCACCAACATGGCAATCGAAGTGAGCCCGGGAAATTGTCTTCTGGAAGCTCTTTCATTTTTTTCCCTTTTTTTTTTTTTTTTTTTTTGGGCGCTCGACCAAGCCTGTAACTGACAAACCCGATGATCCCAGGCGAAGGTGGATACCCAGAACTTAACCGTGTCCCATTCTCGATGTTCGAGTTCAACCTCAGGGAGACTACTCCGTAAGCAAGTTAATTAACAGCTGCTAGCGCCTTGGGGCTCGGTGGGCTCTTCGCCAAACCTTGGAATATTATCCTTTTGCTCAGGGACGAGTCTGGCCCTTTTTTCGCCGCTGCCCGGCCAATGGGAACCAACACTATTATGCGTCGTCGCCGTTTGGGCTTGAAATCCATCTTCCTGGGCGAGATGCCGAGAGTTGCATGATGGGGAATCCGCGTCCATGCTGAGACAGGCTGGGAACAAGATGACGATGCGACATCCATACCATCGTGTTAACTCCCGTGCTGGCCAAAAGTATCATCATGTATCGATTCCGTGCATGCTACCGCCCGGAAACACAGACATGCATGTCGACGGGCTCCTGTCAGATCCCTTGGGAGGGATAGTTAATCATATTATTATTATTATTATTTAATTATGTATCTCGCGGCGTAAGACGTGTTCGGATAGCGAATTATTATTATTATTTACGGTTTTTCTCTCATTTTTCCTTTTTCCTTCTTCGCGGGATTTAACCTTCGGCTTGGACTCACTCCACAGAGCTGCTCCTAAACTCTGGGGCCCAGTCTGCAGAGGCGTGTGTTGTTGGCTAACCAAGGGCAGGCCCCGAGACGATTCCGATCTATGTCCTCCGTATCTCCCTCTTTCTCTCCCTGTGATTGCACATCTACCTTGTATAACCTGACCTGTTCGATCTTCCTTTCTTCCTCTTCCTCTTCTGCTTTTTCTGCCACCGCTGGGGTCCTTCATAACAATTAAACCTCCCCCGTCTGGCTGGTGGGGGAAGTGTGCTGCTGTTCACAACACTTCGATAGTTACCTTTTGCCAACAAAGCAAAACCTGGGGAGATTCCACATCCAAGGCTCAATCCAGCATTTCCTCACTCTCACTCTCACTCTCTCTCTCCTTCTCATCATCTCTCCCTTCCTTTCCCCTCAGTCACCCAATCATCGTCACTATCGACCCTGTAGGGTTGTTGAATGCATGCTATAGACACATCACTTCAACCTCAGAAGCATGTCTGTCTGCACTGAACAAGACCTCCATTGTGCACTCAATTCCATCTCCTAACTTGACAGCTCTGTGCAAAGATGGATTTCATTGTAAGTCTCTTTTCTTGCTTTTTCTGTCTCGCTTTGACCTCTTCTGTTTATCGCCCCAGTGGCTACTTATGTTGTTTTTGTTTGGTGTGTCGCCGCATCAGACCGAAGAGCTTTGGTCTCATGAGGTCATCTGGATAGATAGCCTTGTCACGTTAATCCGGTCATGTTGGGGTCACTGCGGCCTAGCCGCCGGCCTTATCTACATCTCTACCTTATCTGCGTCGTGATGTTTGATCTTAGACCCTGGAATTCATTCTATCGAAAGCGTGTTCGGGTTTGGATACACCGTGGGGGGAGGCGATATGATGAGCTGACCTTTTCCCCATCAACAGCTATCTCTCACGCACTTCTGCGAAGTCCATGGCCCGACGTCAATCCTCTGCTCGCAGGTCGCTCCGACCTCGTGTCCGCAGTGCGACCCTGACTCGCGCGATCTCTCTCCAAACGATACCCCTCTCTCTTCACACCCCGGGACCTCTCCTTCTTCCAACCCACGCGACCCAGAACGAGATGTGAAGCCGGGCAAGCAGCCGATAACTGCCTCATCTGTCGGTTGCGCAAGCTCCGGGAGCCTCGAACCTCTCGCCTCTCCAACATCTTCGGCGCCTGCCTCTACTGCCAGGATCGAAGATCATCCATGGTTTTTAAACGGACAGTACACCAAAGTTGACACTGAGAAGTTCAACTGTTTTGGAGGAGCCGAGGGCGATACTTGTGCCAGCTGCAGACTCTCTATCCCAGAAGACATCAGCAAGCAGCTTCCACCCGGGGCACCAGGAACTCTCAAAGAGAACGGCCGGGGCAGAAACGGAAGCCCGGTCCTCAGGTCCAGGGAGATCGTTCATACCTGCCATGGAAGTCAGTTTGGCTTTGACGACGCATCGCATGATTCCCACGTTCGCCATTCAAACTCGACCTCTGTTCGATCTTCCTATTCCTCCGAGTCCTCGTGCCATACTCACATCGTGACGTATCTATCGATGCGGGGCCCGCCAAATCCCACCGATTACTCGTTGTTACGGCGTGCCTCGATCCGTACTCTAAGCTGCGAATTTCTACCTCGTGGTTTGTCCTCCGGTCCACTTTCATTTGGCGACACTGATACGGGTTATACTATCGCCTATGTCTTTCGTCTCCCGGACCCCATGGCAAGAGGCAAGAGACGCAGTTACGCCTTGGTTGCCTTGGCAGGACGAGATGCGGGAAGGGCTTTTCGGGCGAGTCCAGTAATCTGGCGTGTATTCAGTCACATTGCGAATAACCTCGTTAGCTCGGCAGAGAAATCACAAGAGCACGAGAAGCGGCGCGACGTAGGCACACCTAGCGGAGCAGGTAACACAGCTCCACGAAATTACACTCCTATTTCCTCCTTCCTCACAGGCCGCACCGTCGATCCTGATGGACAGCCTCGGCGTGCTGGACAGATCCGCGCTAGAAATCTTGCTGAAATTGTTGGGAATGAATATATTTTCGCCGAGCTTCATGCCCAATTCGTTGCCTTGCTGCAGCAGCTCGGAGCCATGTTCGGAGGAAGTCGAATTCCCGAGAATCGGTTGAATCCGGAATTTGAGAGCGAAGAAACCGAGGAATACTTCCCGCGCCGTGCTGCACCAAGTATCAAGGTGCCAATACGCCCGAAAGGTGCACGAGGCACAAGCAACTCAGGCATGCGATGCGATTCACCCAATTCTCCGGGCCAACACTCTCCGGTGCCCAAGCCTATTCCTATTTCTCATCGACGACATTACGCCGCATAACTTTGATGACTTTTCATAATTTACTTTTGTACCATACTCAATGATACCCCCGTCTGTACTACCTCTTTTTCATTTTCAACGAACCCTTTTCGATTACGTCGGTTTACTTACTGCTTCCGATTCGAACGACTGGATCACGGGCCTTTGTTTTACTACTCTATTCCCCTTTACGAACTCCTACCTCTTGATCGATCCAACCCCCTTTCACATGCCTTCCAGCGCCAATGGCTGTGAAAGCAATATCCCTTGCTAGGATTTCAAGCCCCGTCTCATAATCTGGTCGAGCCACGATCTTCGACGTTACTCAATATGGCGCGCTTGCATAACGACTAACGGCCTTCCACACCACTCGTCTCTTCGCCCTGCCCTACCACCCTAGGCTCAGAATTAACGTCATTCACCCTTCACTTCACTATCCGCCCTTCTATTATCAACATATCAAGCATAGTCAGAACAGGGCGTTTGGGGAAGTGATAATTCATTATAGAGTTTACTTTTTACTATTTTCATTTTCTTAATGCTGGTGGCGAATCGATGATGAGATGCAGAAAGGGATTATGCCATTTTACCGATGATGATATTCCCGGGTCCCCTCGTGCCCGGCATTGGGTCAAAGAATTTGCCTGCTCGTTGCTGTTATTCGACTTAGCGCAATAGCCCGTTGCTCTCTGGGGATATTTTTTTTTATGCTGCCTCTCAACTAACAATGTTCCTCTTATTATTCCTGGACTTGCAACGATATTTCTCTGGCATATCCCTCTGTCTTCCCTTATTGGTCTTGTTATGCTGTGCATTGCTGTTTTTTTTTTTTATTTTTCTCACTTTTTCTTGATTTGGGTGGGCAGTGCTGCTTTTTGATTTTCATCGTCTTGCTCATCATACATGCAGGATGGGAAACAAAAAAGTACGGTGAAATGACAACACGGCGCTTTTTAGATAGGCTCGGGCAACTGGTTCCTCTTTAATTTTCTGCTGTAGCTCTCATGCTCTTGGGGATATTTAATCGATTCCAATATCACGTGCCTCTCCTGGCAAACGTCCACGATATTTTTGAGTTCATTAGTAATCGTGACGGCTTATTAATCCGGGTAAACCTTCAGTGATCGGCTAAAGTTTCTCCTCGTAAACCGCTCAGAAAGCACAAACTCAACGTCAAATATCTCGGTTCACCACGACGATAGCAAGCAGCGGTCAAGGCGGAGGAATTCACGAAGTGTCCACGACCTCTTCGTAAACTCGAATAGATATTTTCACTGTTTTCCAGACTTGTTTTAAGTCAGCGGGACACTTGCAGGAAACTACCACATACTTGCCTCGCCCATCGCGACTTAAAGGGGAGACTTAAATTCTCACGGATTGGGAAATCGTTGGAGAAAGCGCCTCTCTCGAAAACGCCATCAAAAACGCAAGAAACCAAAAGGATCCGGTTGAGAATTAGGGATACCTTTCTTTTTTCTTTTTTCTTTCTTTTTTTTTTTCATTTTCAATTCCCCATGGCAGCATTCGACAAATGCAAGACGCGCCCCGCGCACATCGACGCCATCCTGAATGGATTGGATAGATACAACCCAGAGACAACAGCTGTGTTTCAAGACTATGTTGTGCAGCAGTGTGAAGATCGAACATTTGACTGCTACGCGAATCTGGCATTGTTGAAACTGTGAGTTCTTTTTCTCCTGATTCCCCAGTTTGGTCCCTCAAGTGTGTCCTTTGTGATGATGAGTACCTTTATACTTTTTTTTTCACGTTTCCTATTAGCTTACGTCTCTACATGAGACAATGGGGAGACTTATTGGATTCCTCTGATATCATGATCATTTTCTCTGGATTGTTATCACTCCCGCTTGATGTTCCATGACAGACTGCTAAGTCCCACATTTAATAGCTACCAATTCAATCCGCCCCTCCTCAACGCCGAAACAGTCACCAATATCCTCGCCAAAGCCCTCACCGTCTTCCCCTCTCCTGCCTTCTCCCTCTCCCTTGCCCTCCTCCCCGCCTATACCCAACCCTACGCTACCTCCTCCACACAAGCCACCACCGCCAACCTTCCAATGCAAACCGCCGACTTCGTCGAGGCTGTGCAAAAACTCACCCACCTCTCAACGCTCCTCGAATCTGCGCAATACACCGCCTTTTGGTCCACCCTCAACTCCGACGACCTCTACGCTGATCTCACTGCCGACGTTGCCGGTTTCGAGGAATTGATCCGCATCCGGATCGCAGTGGAGGTTGGCAAGGCGTTCCGCGAGATTGGCGCGGATGTATTGATGGGATGGTTGGATATGCGCGGCATGGAAACGCTGGAGAAATTTGTGGTTGACGTTTGTGGATGGGAGGTTGACAAGAGTAAGGCGGAGGGTGAGAATGGGGTTATTGTTAGAGTTCCCCGGAATAAGGAGAATGAGGCCCGGGGAGAGGTAAAGGGGGAGAAGGTCGGTATCGAGATGTTTGGAAGAGTGGTGAGAAGGGGATTTGAGCAGCCGGCTTGATTTTAGGGGGTGGTCTCTTGCCTTTTTTTTTTTTTTTTTTTTGTTTTCTTCCCGGCTGGTTCATTGTTAAAGCCTAAGGTTTTCTCAATTGGGTTTTTCATGCCTGCCTTGATGAAATGAGAGGGCGGTAGACAAAAGCTGGTTATGTTTCCTAATGATTTGCTTCGTTACAGGAGGGTTCATTTCTTCGGGTGTGTGCCCTGGTCTGGGTTGTATCAGATGCAGCACATATAAATGAAGTGCATCTGGTATCAAAATTCAGAGCCAAAAAAAATTCTATTTGATTTTGTCATTCCAATCCCCTCAAACTCCACCTTAATAGCCCGGAGTCATTTCCAGCTGAACCAAGGAAAACAATTTTCATATACTGATTTTGTGACGACCCTCTACAAGGTCCTCCGATACTCACGAACAGACCCTAACCTTACTTTCCAGCAACCCTCTCCTCCCACTGCACGCCCACCCACTCTTCTCTCCAACCTACCTCACCCTCCCTATCCAGCCCACAGTTCCCACTGCAGACGCCAACAATAATCGTCCCCCACTCCATTCCTCCTTCATCCTTCCCAATGCCAATTCCCTCTCTCCCTGCTTCCAGCACAGTTATGGCATGTGGAACGAGTTGCAACTCAAATACCCGTTCGCGCCCGCACAGGCTGCATCGGGGTAGTTCTGACGATACTCCAGAATTCGAACTAGCAACCTTGACATGCGAACCAGATGACGATGGCGATGGAGAAAGCAGCTTCCCCACCGGGTCGGTGGTAGAATAGAGTAGTGGTGTTCCGCGAAATTCATATCTAAGCACCTGCTCTGGATTATGGTTTAGTCGCGTTGAGAACTTGAGGAAGGATTTGTCTAGCGACGACTCGAAGGTATCTTTGCCTTCTGCGCCTGCGACCGCTGAGGATCCCTCGTCGTCGAAACTCGATATTTGTACGTTTGCAGGGACACTGGGAGTGGACGGGCGAGATAGGGTTTCGTATTCCGCGTCGAGGAAGTGTTGCGGGTATGGAGTGGGAAACGAGGTTTGTGAGGGCCATGGTTCTGCAGGGCCGACGAATTGCGAGGCTTGGGTGGAAGATGTCGTCGTCGTAGGAGGAGCAGCAGCAGGAGAGGAAAGGCGAACTTTGTCGGCGAAGGATTCGGTGAGGTTTTGTTCTTCCTTTGGCGTTGTTTCTTCAACTGGCTTTTGCGGAGGAATCGCTGCAAGTGTGGATGGCGACGAGAGCTGAGCAAAGGGGTTTACTGGCGCTGCGGAAGTGCTCGATGTTGAAAAAGGATTCGAGTTTGCGGATGTGTTAGGAGAACTGGGCGCAACACCGAACAGGGCCGCTCCAATATTCTGCTGTGGCTTTGGAGGATCTGTTTGTGTCCTTTTCTCCTTTGGCTTTTGTTCTTCTCTCTTGTCTTTCTTAGTGTTGGTCGTGATTTTGTGCTTTTTCACTCCACGCAAGGCTCGTATGCTCCCTTGCCTCCTGTTACAAGTTCGTCTCGTACATCCAAATATGTATAACCATCTCTCGTCATTTGGAAAGTGCTCCGGTAGATCAGCATTTAGTTGAAGAAGCAGTGGCATTGGATCTTTGCAGGATTTGCATTTCGCAAAATTGCCCGGGGGCGGGGTAGAGGGGTCAAGCCATGTCTATAGAGGCCAAGTTAGTTACGGTACAGGTAATGCTTGAAGTACAGAACTATATAGATGATCCAAGAAACATCACAGAATATAACCCAAATAGCAGTAACTCTATAGACAAGCCATAAAGGGTGTAATCCTACCGGCCATCCACCAATATGGCTGACTGTGTCGTCCGATTCTTCATCTGCGGCATAACCAAGCAGAACGGAGGTTTCAGTGTAATCCCCCTGGGCATCATCATCACTCAGCCCAGAAGAATCACTATCGTACGGATCCATCTTTGCTCCAGACGCATTGGCTATTACTCTGGTGCGATCTTGAGCGAGTTTTGGTCACCCAAAATATTTTGGGTCAAGATCACGTGAGTTGATCTGATTAGATTAAGTAACTAGGGAGGGAGTCCACACACAACTACTCCGTAACTACGGAGTAGTTCGCCAAGCTATCAAGGTTTGTTACAAATGTTATAACACCCCCAATAACCCATAGTGATGTCTGGCACTCCGCGAAAAACCACCCCAAAAATTATTTAATAACCTGTTATTAAACTAGCATTAAAAAAGACCACTTCTTAGTTTCTTGTTGTGTTAACTTATCTTCTCTTTTGCAGCATTTTTTATATTTTTCTGGTGCTCTGAACTGCAAGTGATTAACTTGATATCACAAACTGAACAATGTCCTGAAATGAACACCATTGCTTGATATTCAATATTGATGATATATCAATGTCTTCATATGACTATTCTCCTTGCTTCCATCTGCCGCGCTTGTCGTCTGAGGGCCCCAACACCACTTCTCTTCCACATCGCCAGAAATCAGTTCTTCCGTTACACTATTTCACCACATGTTTGTGACGGTGACATCGCAAAGGAATGGGCTTTGTCCTGGTACTGCTATTAGTATAACATGAAATCACATCACATGAGCTGGTGACCACTGTTTTTGACGTGTTCCTCTGTTTTAACGAATCAATGAAAGGGACAGGAAGCCACTTGTGATATCAAATCTGATTTGTGACACAAGCAAAAGCTGTCCTATGTGCGAGAACCCATCTTGTTGACACTGTTTGCATTATCCCCGTGCCATTAAAGGTAGTATTCAAGACACACTCGAACCAAGACACTATGTGTACATTGAGCTGCATCCAAAAAAGACGATACTGGGGGAGACCACTTTGTCTCTCAGTTTTATGTTGTATCCCCTGAGAAAAGCTACAAAAATTTTGACATGATGTTGTCTCACTTGGGATCGTCCTTTTTCATTTCCAAGACCACTAAAGATTAGATAATGCTGCCTCGAGCTTTGAAAATCAATCAGTACGTTTGGGAATCCCCCCCCCACCCAACCAAAAAAAAAGGAATATAAAAGGAATATATTAAGGAAGGCGGATGGGAAAACGTAAAGTGAGGCAATCGCAAAAAGGAAAACAAGAACGGATTGAATTACAATGTGCTTTACGACACTTTTCATCAAAGCCAAGTTATGGAAATCTAGAGAAAAGGGTCCCGAGATTAAGAATTCCTCAAAGGAGTCAAATCCACTCGCAGAGTGTAATCTAATATTCTCTTCAGGTTGGTAATCAAGAAATTTCTAGAGAAACCTTCGGGCCTTTGGGCGCAACTTAGACCAACCGTATATGTTTTGATTCCTGTTCTTCATGCCCACACAATTGTCTTTTGAGAGGTCGGGATCGTCTGTGCTTCGGTTGATTAGATAGAGTGCATCGATGGAAGTCAATTATCAGAGCCCGTTTCAGCTCTCTATTCCACAAAATGTTTTCTGGCCGAAGGTCCCCATGCAACACGCCAAGGGAGCGGATTTCCCCCTTGGACTGTGAGATGGCAGATCGGATACTCTTATCTTGCTTGGTATGGACAACACTCTCTCCACCCCAGCCCATGAGGAGCATGTGGCGAATCTCTCCAGCACCATGTAGGAAGTAAATCTGTGCCAAATCAATCTTTCCAAGAAAGACCGGAACTGCTGATCCCTGTACACGCTGAAGAACATGGTAGATTTCAGCCTCCTGTGAAACTTCTTTCCAGAGTCGCGATGTTGTTCCTTTACCAACAACCGTGTAACCATATGCCGCACAGGTGACTTTGAACGGCGCCCCGTATCCCCCACATTTTCCCATTGGAGTGCAGTCCTGATCAAGGTCCTGATCAAGCTGCTGTTTGAGCATCAGCACCAGGTCTTGCGCACTGATTGGGTGTTGGTGGCCATGCGCCCCAGACCGGTGGAGCTCGAAGTTGGGACAACGAGAATCCAAGTCTCCACCCTGCTGTAGGCCTAGGAGACACCGCTGTGTGCAGAATTCATTGTTATGTGGACGGGACTGGCTCCCTCGAGACTTTTGTGGGTTCATTTGAGGGGTTGACGTCGAGCGCTGAGTTGGGGGGGAAGATGTGACCTGACTGAAACCTCGCTTTCGTCGTGCTGGGGTGGCGGGTTCAGAATCTGAGTCGGAGGCATCTTCACCAGGGCGGGTACTTGGGGGTGCACAGCTGAATCGGGATCGAGTGGGCACCTGTCGGCCCTGGCCGACAGGAGATTAGACCGGAGACGAAGGCACGTACTCGGATGGAGACTCCTCGGAGCTAGTGGGCTCGGTAGTAGCGTAGTCGGGGCTTGGAGGTTTCTGTCGTAATTCATTTGCAGGAATCTGGGATCGAATGTGGCTGAAATTGGTTTCCCAGGTTGGTAACTGTGCCCGCGCAGAATTCCGCCAGGCCTGATCACGGACTTGAGAGACGCAACTCATTAAGGCCCCCCAGAGCCCCCTGTATCCGCATCGACGTCTAAGTTAGGCGCACCTAGGTCGTAATAAAGGGTGGCCGGGTCATCAAAGGGGACGTGCAGTTGCACATTTGCCAGCCCTGTGCTCAAATATGAGTACTCGAGCCCTTCTTGGATCATCACATGGTATTCCTGCACAATAGCCGATCCAGCAAGCCGCGTGGCATTGTATCTTAATTTCTCCGGGCCGCCGGTAGGAATGATGTTCGATTCAACGATCTCATGATAGAAATCAATCGGTCGGAGCCCGGAGCGAAGATTCTCCAAGGACAGTTTATGGGGGGGTTTGTACTCCATAGTGGTGAGCAAGCTCTTGGTATCGCCATCGACTCGGTGGATGCAGGACTGATCAGGTCGGGAAAGCCACGGATCAGCCTCTGATTCATCCTCAACCTCATCCAGTGAATTGGCGTGATCTTCAAACTGTACTCCATCACCGAGACAAAATTCTTCCCGGGCTTGAGGAATCTTGCATAATGCTAAAATAATATCATGCACGTGGTCCTCCACAGCCATCCGCTCATAATGCTCAATATCCCTTTCACAACTGATTAGTCGACGTGTGAACCGCCGCGCATGTTCTTCTAGCACATGAAGGGACACAAACAACCGCGGCGCCTCTCTTCCTGCCGGCTGCAGATATCGACGGACAGAGTCATAGATCTCTTGTTGCCTGACGGCACAGTCTTTCCAGGGTCGCAGTCGTAAAGGACAATATTTTCCAGTGGGAGCGTGTATTCTGCGCTTTGTAAATTCAACAGGATTTCCAACTCTCAACGGGGACGAAAATAGATTGTGACAATATTGAACAAACTCTTCAAAGGTAGTTTTTTAGATGCGCTTCGTCTCTTCTGTCAATCATTTCTGTATTTGTTTCGTTTCCTCCTCTGCCTGTTTCCTTCCCTCCTTCGCTTTCAGAAAAAGTGCTTTGTAGTCGGTGTGGTCAGACATCTGTCTCATGGAGGTGTTTCACGGGAGATAAGGCTGCCTTCGGATCATAACAGTGCAGCTTTCCAAGGCACCTAACTAGCGGTTAGGGAGTATGGAAATGAGCTTTTCTGATGTTAGTGACTGGGAAATAAACTTCAAATGATTTTATTGACCAAGTTCAATAATGAAGGGCTGTTGGCTGATACCTAGTTATTTGGCGGGTTGGCGGTAACCAGGCAGCAACCTGGGTGATCACCTACACTAAAGCCCCCCCATCTACTTGACCGTTCCTAGATAAAACCCTCCCCGTAGATCTACAAATGACAAGGAGTTGTTGACTGGTTGGCAACATAATCCTATACATTACCAGTACTCTATACTCCGTAAGCACCAATAATTTTACATGGTCAACTATTGGCGAGTCCATTTTAATGGCATGTTTTTTAAATCCCAGAGAAATTCTGCCCCCCGCAAAAAAAAAAAAAAAAAAAAAAAAAAAAAAAAAGAAGAAAAAGTGAAGATGCGGATCTAGCCACTGAATGCAAAGAAACCTAACATTCTCTACAGTTTTGCTTTCTCTTCTTCGAGTCGCCTCCATATCTTCCTCGCATCAACTATCAAAGGCCAAATCTCTCTGAAATTATTCATCTCGCTCTGCCTTGCGCCCTGCCAAAGCGCCTCGTACGGATCCATATCCGGTCTGGCCAGGGCACTATCCATTTCAAAGTCCGTAAAGCCATATGCCTCTATGATGGACTTTGAATGCTCTGCGAGAGTTTCGATAGCCTGGTCGTAAGCGGATACAAGGGTTTTTCGTTGATGCTCGGTAAGAGAGTGCGGTGAGTAGACATCTTTGTAGGCGGTTTGGAGGATGGAGAGGGAGAACTTTACAAAAAAGTCAGAAAATGTAAACCTTAGCATTGGATTGGTTTGGGGGGTGGGAGGGCGGGGACAACATACCACATGAGCCAGGGCCTCCAATGGGCCATAGAATTCAGACCCGACAGTTTTACGAACGACATCCCAAAAACCGCGCCAGTATACAAAATCGCAATGCGCCATAGTGAGCTCATGGACAGTGAAGCTGGTGTCTTTCCCACAGACAGTAGCATCTAGATGCGCCCTGACTAATGTAGCTAGCCGGCGTTCGAGAACCCACTGCTGATTCTCTAGCTTAAACCAGTCGGATTCTGATGCCGCGGTGAGTATACCTGCGGCATCAGGGTTCCGTATAAAACTCAAATAGGAAAGGCTTGGGACGGTACTCTCGGTTCTCCTGGGCATACGGTCAAGACTTGGATCTCCCAATCATCGAGAGATACGTACCCATTGTAATGTTTCAGTATAGCACGTGGCACCTGTTGAGAGATAACGTAATTGTCTCCTTCATAGGTAACCGCGTTGACAGTATGGGCATACATGCGACCGAATCCGGACAGAGCGCTGTAGCCATGTCCACCGCAAGCGATTCTGCAAGTCTCAACCCCTCGTGCAGTAATGTCCGTGGAGTAGACTTTGGCACCGACGGTCTGAAGGTGGAGATCTTCTAGCTGCGAGAAATCGCCGGTGTTAATGACCAGCTTGCTGTATTCATCAAAGGCCTGCTTGATATTTTGGCCCACTAAAACGAGAGCAGTGCCCTAGAATTGACCAGAGTTAGGGCCCAGTCACGGCAAGAGAAGATAATACCAGGAATTACCTGCGCCAAAAGCGGCAAAAGCCTGTACTTTACACTGGCATAGTCGAAGACGGTTGTTTCTTCCTCCTGCCCTTTCCTCCAGAATTGCTTCCTAAAGGTGGTATAGTGATACGCTACCGAAACAGCTTTAAGCAACTCATAACCTGTAGCCTCAACCATAATTGCACGAACCGTGACCATCGATCCGTATGAATGTTTCGTGTTTTTGGGTGGCACGTAGGTTCCATCCCTTAGCACCTGCGCATTCCGCGCCAGCATCTGAGACCGGGGAATTCTGACATTGTGGAACTGCATGGCGCCGTTATCCACACCCACCATTCCCTGGAAAGCCTTGGGACCAAGTTCGTAGATTTCCACGCCAGGCATCAGCTCCTGAGTATCAAGGTCCCGCAACTGGATGAGAAACAGATGATTTCCGTAGTCTTTGGCGTGGATTATCAAACGCGCGACAACGAGAGAATGAGTCGCCCAGATACCGGTGGCTCCAATCCAGTATTTGGTGCTGCTCAGGGTTGGGGAATTGATGACGAATTCGTCTGCGTCGCGGTCAAACGTCGCCGTAGTCTCAATGCCACGGACATTCGAACCATGGCCTAGTTCCGTCTGCGCATAGGAGCCGAATATCTCAAGTCTCTCGGCCTTGGGCATCCAAATCGCCTTCTGCTCATCGCTCATCTGCCTTTCCATGTTGGACAGGAATACTAACCAGATGTCAGGCAAGCCGCATCCAGGACGATAAGAGAAATCAAATTCAGAGACAGAGCATAGTTACTTCTGAACTGTGGCTGCACAGGCAGGAAATAATCCAACATGACCACAGCTTGTCTAAACTGCTCATGGCTCCATTTTTCCTTCTGCTTCAGCGCGATCAGCTCACGGGCCTGATGCACGGCTCTCACCCAGGCATCCTTTCTTGAAAGGGACGGGACAGTAACCGCGCGCTTCGAGAAGATGGGGTTAGTGGTAAGGGCCTCTAGGAGCTGCTTTCGGGCTTCAAATTTGTCCTTCCCTCCCCAGAGGAAGACCGACAGCGGGGTTTCGTTCGGTTTGTTGCTGATGTTCCGGGGTGGCATAATGCGCATGTAAGAAAGAGATCTTCCAACTTTGTTGAATATCTCAACACTCTCATGTCGTGCTATGCATTCTCAGGCCATTCATTTAACCTTGGCAGGCAGCCCAGGGCAATCACTTCTCCGTCGGCTCCCACGCATCACGGAGCGGAGCTCCTGGCTGTCTCCCAGGTTTCCCCAGGGCGGTCCACACGGGACTGGTGCAGCGTCGGCATTACGAAATTGACTTCCCGAGGAGCCTTGTTAGCTTCGGGAATTTTGGCAATTTTGCAGACTTGCAGGGATTTGTTCCTGCACGGACGCTAAGCTGGAGCACCCCGAATTATGTAGGACAACCAGTCGAGCTCTAGCAAATTGTCGTAAGCATGGACTGTATACTCTAATTCATCGGTCGAGAGGAGGAGAAATCCGGCACCGCAGCCCGGGTGGTCTAGTTGGTATGATTCTCGCTTCGGGTCCACAATTTCCCGAGCTTCAACAATGAAGTTCAAGCATGCGAGAGGTCCCGCGTTCGAATCGCGGCTCGGGCCAACATAATAAATCTTTTATTTTCTTTCCTTTTTTTTTTTTTACTTTTTTAATAAATTAGTTGAATAAATACCTGCTCTCTCTCCTATTTCCTGGACTTTGTTTATTTAATATTTTACTTTTTCTCGTGCAGGTTCGTGGTATTTTGAGCAAACAGTAATTAATGCCGTGTGCGATGCTATGATGCTATTAGGGGGTTCAAGCTGCAACCTCACCGTCGGCAACCGGGCCATCTTCTTCGCTTGTCACAAGATTGCCGAAACCTTTGGCTCTCCCTGCCCGGGATTCCCGAGCCGACAAGCGATGGTGTGTGCCTGCACCGGTGATTCCCCACGGACTGGCCAAACTACCCCGGCAAATTCGCGCCTTCAACAAACGGCCTTTCTCCCAGTACCGCATCGGCACTCTGCTTTGCGTTCATCAGGTGCCTAGGCTAGGAGGCATGGCGCGATCATGATGCCCTTTCTCTCGGCGTGGTCTGGCCTCTCGATTGGAGGACTGACAGAGGCTACTTCTAGCTGTTCATATACATACATGGCTGTCGTTAAATTCGTTCCCTGCCCCAATCCTCCCCCAAGCCGAAGAGAACTTCCGTGGGCAAGAGAGCACCAATAACTCAGAATGGCAGACAAGCCTGATTGGAGTGCCGCACTGAGGCCCGCTCCTCCAGGCGGGGCGACTATTATTGCGCAGGAGAGAGCCAGGTCGATTATCCCAGTGGACCAGCTGGCCGGCTATCTTCTTACTCCTGACTTTCTCGAACGACAGGACCGGGTGCTGAAGGTATTGCTGAAAGAGCCAGTTTTCAAAAAGGCGAATCAGGCCAACCTGTCCAGGCCCGACAGATACAAGCTGGGCCTTGCCCGGGGAAAGAAGATCCGCCAGCTGAAGGAAAAACTGGGCTGGGATGAGGAGGACTACCACATGGCCGCTTATCTGTGTGACGATGTCTTGCCGTACCACCTGCATACCGCGATGTTCATTACGACTGTCAGCCAGCAAGGAAGCGATGCCCAGAGAGCTCGTTGGGTGCCCAGGATCGAAAGGTGGGAGATTATCGGGGCATATGCACAGACAGAGCTGGGCCACGGCAGCAACGTTCGTGGAATCGAGCTGGAAGCGAGATGGGATCCCGAGACGAGGGAGTTTATTCTTCACAGCCCCCATCTTACTGCGAGTAAGTGGTGGAATGGGACTATGGGGCGCACCGCTACCCACGCGATTGCAGTCGCCCAGCTGATGCTACCTGTATCGGGCAAAGGCGCTGAAACGAAGTACAAGTCGTACGGTCCGCATCCGTTTATCGTGCAAATCCGCGACTCAAGAACACATCAGCCACCAGAGAGCATAATTATTGGAGATATTGGTCCAAAATACGGCTATGCATCGATGGATAATGGATACATGTTGTTCAATAACCATAGGTGTGAAACTATATCCTTTTATATCCGTTTCCATTTCAAGAATTGAATATTGATAAGAGAGACAGGGTACCTCACGATGCAATGCTCTCTCGGTATTCTCGAGTAGACCCGGAAACCGGTAAATATACCAAGCCTGAAACCCCAGAAGTTGTCTACGGCTCGTTAACTCATGTGAGCTCTCTCACTTCAAGCATTTATCGATCACACATAGAATCAAAACGTAGTAACAAAATTCTAGGTGCGAGCTACTCTTGTTATGGAAGCTAGGCTTGCCCTCGCTCGCGCAGTCACAGTAGCTGTTCGATACCTATCCATACGACGTCAGTTTAGAGATAAAGATTCAGATAATCCGTCCGACCCTGAAATGCCCGTTCTGGACTACTCGACCGTGCAGGTCCGTATCTTTCCTCTGCTAGCCACCGCATTTGCCCTTCACTATAGCGGCAAGGCGATGGGGGAGCTATACGCGCGAACTCGGAAGAATATCGAAGAGAACGGAGATTTCGAGACTCTGGCTGAACTGCACAGCACCTCATCCGGATTGAAGAGCCTTGCCACCGATCTCACCGCCGGTGGTATCGAGATCTGCCGTCGAGCTATGGGCGGGCATGGGTTCGGGGCAAGTGGTCTTGTGCAGCTTAATGCGAACTACTTATCCAAACCGACTGTTGAAGGGGATAACTGGATGATCACGCAGCAGGTTGCTAGGTATCTGATCAAGAAAGCCAAGGCTCTATCGGCGTCTGCAAAGAGCCGTGCAGGTACTCGAACAGAGGAGAGCCTGAAACGATACTTGTATGCGAGGCAGAAGACCTTAAATTTGAAGGTATACGAAGACGACAACGCTATTCTGGAGGCATTCGAGTGGAGAACAGCACATCTTGTAAGGCCCTCGCCCACGCACCCACCGCTAGAATTTGTCGGAAGCATATCAAACTCACACAGAGAGAACAAAATAGGTGTTCAAAGCATATGAACAGCGAGAAATCCAAAAGAAATCCTGGAACAGCCTTCTCATTGACTTCCACAAGCTAAGTCGAGGTGCGCACATCCCATTTACGAAAACCGAGTTCTCCTTTATTACAAACTAACCCTTATTTCACTTCTTCCCCAGCATACTCCCAATCCATCCTCATCCTCAATTTCCACCAGGCCCTCCAACCCAACAACCCCGAAACCGCACGTCTCGACTCCACGACCCGCGCAGTCCTCCGCGACCTCTTCCTCCTCTTCGCCTTCACCACCATGGATGCCGATGCCCGAGAATTCTCCAGCTCAGGAGCGGTGTCGAACGACGCCCTCGACGCTCTGTCCGCACGCATACTCGAGCTCATGGGCCGGATACGTCCGCACGCAGTCCGGCTGGTAGATGCGTGGAAGATCCCGGATTTCTTGCTCGATAGGTATGTGGCTACCAACACGTGTAGGCTTGGGTTTCATTTTACCTACTACCTTCCTGTCTACCTTGGAAATGGAATATTTGATAGACTAAGCAGCTAACCCCTCTCCCTTTTTTTTTTTTGTACGGCAGCGCTCTGGGGAGATATGATGGGAAGGTATACGAAGACCTATTCGATCGGGCGCACAGACAGAATCCGCTGAATGCTGAGACGTTCAATCCGGATTATCGTAGCGATGAGATTGTTTTGGGCAGTGAAGATGCCGGACAGATCTTGTCGAAGTTGTGATGTGATTGACGGCTCATAAATGTATCTACGACGTTCGTGTGCCATAGGGGAGGACCTTTTCGATAACCAAGAAAGAAATTCATGACCCTTTTTTTTTTTTTTCTTTGAGAAACCTATATTGGCTGGTATCGATAATTCTCGTTCTTGATATGGAAAAAGTCAGAAGCGCCGAATTCTATTCGAAAAGAAGCTAGCCCGATACCCAATCTTCCTATTACACAAAGGGTCAGACGAAGCCGCTAATGCTGTATGTGTAGGTAAACTGCAAAACAAAAGCCCTCTTCACCCCACACTCCACGGAAGTTCTTCCATACGAGGCAGCCTTTGTTCGTCATGAAAATAACTACCTAGTGCGAAGATTTCGTTATCCGCAGAGTACGCTCTATAAGTATACGACAGTCGTGACAAACGGTATCATCAAGGCTGGCAGCATCATCGCTATCTTACGGTGCCACACACTCGCAGGACGTTCATTCTATAGCTTCACTATCGCTAGCTTTTGAACGCGATCTCCTTGCCATCCGTACAAGAGCACGACCTGGCATAGTATGGTAGATCGAACTGGCTGAAATCCCTCCGGACCTGCTTCCCCGATTGCTCCGTCTTCCAGACAGGTTGTTCAAAGCTGATATCACAGAGTCTTTGCGGGATTCAAGTCTGTCCCGGAGCCCGGATATTCTCTCGAGGCTGGACGAGGTGGATTGGTCTGAGGAACTTGAAGATCTTCCCGTGGGCTCCTTGGCTCCATCGCTGGATCTTATAATGTAATGCTGTTGATGTTGCCGGGGCTGCTGTTTGTGTGATAGAGAACTATCCAACCTGGCCTGTGCAGTGGACGCTGGGATCCCGACCTGGGCGCCCGACAGAGCTTCCACGTCCACCGAACTGCTCCCACAGACCCCTCTACTCGCGACCCTGTCGCCGTCGTCCTCCACGGCCGACGACGCGAAAGGCACGCTCAGCGCCTCCAGCACGCGCACGTACTCGTCCATCTTCTCTTCGAGATAGCTGACCCTCTTGCGCAGCTCGACGCACTCGTTTGCGTTGATGCGAATGTCCGACTGGGCGTTCTCCAGGGCACGTTCGGCTCTGCGGGCACGATACTCGGCGGAGTTGGCCTTGCGGGTTGCGCGGTCGATCTGGGAGTTGGCGGCATAGTAGGCGATGAGGAAGAAGAGGATGCGGATAATCCATGTTTCGGCAAGCCATTCCATCATAGCCATTGTTTGGTGTTGTGTCAATCAGTCACTCTCTATGTGGTGTGGGAGTGGCTATGAGAGGTATTTATTATATTCTTTGAATCGCAGAACCCCCGATGCTTGATATAATACCACGCTGCTATAAAAGAAACGAAATAGAAACAATGAAAAAATTAAAAAAAAAAAAAAAAAAAAATTGAAAAAAAAAAATTAAAAAAAGGGGGGAGGAGGTATGTCACAGCTGACTGCACCAGCCGTAGAATGTGCAGACATACACGGGACAGAGGGAAAGCAGCCCGTGTTCTCTCCTGCTTGGCAGAGCGTGTGGCCCCTGTGGAAGCTGCTTTTCAGTGCGATTGTGAAATGCATTGTTCCTTCCGGCATAACTTGGGTTTGTAGGCCAAGTTGGTTGAAATGATCAGGGCGGTTTGGACTGTCGACAAGTCCCAAGCATATCCCCCAAGCACGCGAGATCCACGCGGTACTGTGGATCGGGCGCCGGGCACAACTCGGAGTGCAGCAGCATCGCCACACGATCCCTGCTAATTATACGTAAGTGGGCTGGCAGGTTGGTTCCAAGGTTGTGTTCCAAGTATTCAGTACTCCGTGCTGTACTCCGCAGTTAGCTTTTTGAATCTCGATGGGCCCTTGGTTTTAGGTTCATCCACGAACTCCTGATCTTAGCCATGGTTCGAGAGCTCTCAGTTACAGTACGGAGTACGGAGTAGTGGAAAGCAAATTGAGTTTCTGAGATTAAAGTCATGTCATCACCAAGTTCCAGCATCACTTGAGGAGCTGGGTGGCGAACGGTGCGGCCCGTGCTTAGATCCACCCTGTCACCACCCATCTCTCCTCTGCTCAGTCGTTGGCCCGTCGACCTCTTCCCTCGCAGCGCTGCACAAACCCCCTGTTCTGATGCATAAAACACAACCTCCCTCTTCCTGTCGATATGTCCACGAGTCCCAAAAAACAAAATGACCGTCGAGTGGAGGCCAACGTCCGAAAAAGCAGGCAGGAGTTTTTGTCGCTGGGGGACAAAGGTAAGAGCTATTCGCGCTTCGTAGCTATCCAAATCCGACCTTTATCCATTGGGTTGCTGTTCCTGCCAGACCACTTTAACTGACCATCAATAGCAAAGCAACCCCGACGCATCACAAAGCCTCCACAAGAACCAGTTCGCAGAAGCGTGCGTTTACGACATTCATGTCATGAATGGAGCAGAAACACCCAGCACGAGCATCGGTATCCCTCTTCAACCAAAAATACAGCTGGAAAGGAGGCAAGTTATCCCTATGCTTGCTATGCTCTGAAACTAACTCAGTACCCAGTTCCAATCTAAACCCCCAAGCCCTCCGCAAGTAAATGATCGAAAACGGAAACGGCCACAAGACACGGAAGAACCTCTCCATTTTCGAGCCAAGCTTCGAAGGCGATCGCAAACGTTCCTCGCTGCTGAGGACACACCTATCCAGGGGCCAGCGAGCGATGCTGCCAAGAACGAGATTGACCCAATACGTAATTGGATCCAGAAAGGATATTGGCCCAAGAAGTATTTTAACCAGGACATCAGTATGAGTTCCCTGCTTCCAAGGAAGAAGTCGACGTCTTCTCTTCGCCGTAAAGGGCCTAGTGATGAGAAACAAAAGGAGGAAAAGAGTGCTCCATACGTAAATCCCCGCTACCAAACTATTCTTGAAACAAAAGGCAGCTTTATGAAGAAAGCGCCTGTTGGGATTACAGACGAAAGTAGTCTTCTTAACAAAGCATTGCTTAACACAGATCAGATGGTCCCGCAAAATTCGCTGTTTCGAGACGACTTATTCGACACCACCTGCGAAAAGATCCAATGCGAGAACGAACCTAGAGTTATTCGAGATATCGGACAACTGATCGTGCCGTCTGCCGAAACTCTAGCTACATATGGTGCCACCAATCTAGAGCACTTAGTTGAGACTGTGAATAAAGGCTGGAACAAAAGCATCCCTTTTTATGGTCCCCGCCCACAGCCTGATTACTCGGTGGGTTTCAGGCGGTCTGCATTCACAGATGATCAACTTGAGAAGCTGAAGCCCTTCATCGGTGATTGGGATGACACTTCCTTTTTTATGGCCACAGACACGATGCATTTTCCATTTCTGACATGCGAGGTAAAATGTGGTGAGGTGGCACTTGATATTGCAGACCGACAAAACGCCCACAGCATGACTCTTTCAGTGAGAGGTGTGGTTGAACTTTTTAGGGCAGTAAAGCGTGAAAATGAAGTCCACCGGGAAATCCTCGCGTTTTCAATATCCCATGATCATACAGCAGTGAGAATCTATGGCCATTACGCTCTAGTTGACGATGATAAGATCACATTTTACCGACACCCGATTCACAACTTTTCCTTTGCTGCCCTAGATGGCAAGGAGAAGTGGACTGCATACAGGTTTACGAAGAATGTCTATGATATATGGATGCCGACTCACCTTAAAAGGATTTGTTCAGCAATTGACCAGATACCTCCTGGCCTTGATTTTGGTGTCTTGCAGTCGGGCCTTCCGTTCCCTTCAACTTCCAAGTCTTTTTAACGAAAACAACTCTCAGTCAGGTCAGGTGAGGCAAGGCAATGTCAGCCAGCTGAACATTAGGGTGGTGAGGGCTGCCAGACCATACCCAACTTAGCAGCTGTACCAAACCCAATCAGGCCATGCTAGATCCAACATGGGTGGTGCTAGACTGGATGCAGGTGGGCTGGTGAGCTTGAGGCAGCACTCACCAGATAATCATTTACTTCGATAGTACGGAGTACTTGCCAGTAAAAAGATAATAAAATACTATAACTTAAGAAATAATTTTTATATTTAGATATTTCTTATAATTTATAAAGTTTATTAAAACTGATAGTATCTTTACAAATAATAAAGTTAAATAAATCAAATTGATAAGACTGTTTATTAAGTATCTACATACTCTACATATAAATTCTAAAGTCTATATTCAACAATGTTGTTGAGATATAAGAGAGCAAAAAGTTGAGATTTTGTATCATGTATGTATATTTTGGTGTCTCGCTCGGGGGTGGATTACGTTATTGCTACTTCCTACTTCAGATCTGCTCTGTTTGTTCCGCTGGACGGCAAGAACCCATTGCCCATGCCGGCAAGTGCTGCTTTCTCTCTCTCTCTCTCTCTCTCTCTCTCTCGCGTCTGCGCGTCGAGCCTGCCGCATGCTTGCCACGCGCCTTCCCCTTCCGCTTCCCCCTAGTTAAGGGACTTGCTTTCCTTGGCCAAGAGGAGAGCTCCTTCCAGCCTGCCCAGTCGCGCCTGCAGTGTAACCAGCTTTTAACGCTCTAACCCAACCAGTCCGCAGGGTAAACACAGTAGCGGCGCTGTCCTTGCTTAAAAAAGAAAAAAAAATAAAAATAAAAATAAAAAATACACACAAAAGAGGCTCCCCCGCGTTTTGACTGATTTCTTCTTCCTCCATCTTCTCCGCTGCTCTCTCTCGTCTGGACCATCATCGTGTAGACAGATACTGGTCTCTCTCCGAACCCCTCCATTGTTTGTTGGAGTCTGCGAAAGAGAGCCTTTTACTCCTTCCATCGGGAGAGCATTCTTTTTATTCGCGAATTTCTTATCAATATCACCACCATCCGTCGTATCGTCATGGCGCCCCTGCCCGTTTCATTCACCTGCCTTCGAACCCTCTTCGTCTCCCTCTTGCTGGCACCGCTGGTCTTGTCTCAATGGCAGAGCACCCTTCAGAAAGATCCGCCGGCCGGCGAGCCAAAGCAGATTGCCATCATAGGTATGGGTTCTGTTGCATCACCAAGATGACTACAGCAAACTTGCATGCCTACCTAGAAATAGGCAAGGGATGGCTGGGCTGACCTTACCGCAGGTGCCGGAGCTGGAGGGTCATCTGCCGCTTATCATCTTCGCAAATATGCCGATTTCTTCTCCATTCCAATCAACATCACGGTCTTTGAGAGATCTAACTATGTCGGCGGCAGATCCATGACTGTCGATCTCTTCGATGACCCCGCCCAACCTGTTGAGCTGGGCGCGTCGATCTTCGTCAAGGCCAACAGCAATCTTCTCAAGGCGGCGAAGAAGTTTGGCTTGAAAGTTAAAGAGGCCGACCACGATATGCCGCGAGATTCCGTCCACAGCTTGGGAGTATGGGACGGATCGCGATTCGTCTTTTTACAGCGCGAGACTAACTTCCGCTGGTGGAATATCTTCCAGCTGCTGTGGAAGTACGGCTGGGCTCCCATGAGAACCCAGAGTGTGATGAGCGCCACTGTCGACAAGTTTCTCAAGCTTTACAAGTGGCCTTACTTCCCGTGGAAGTCTCTGTCGGCGGTGGCTATGAGCACCGGCCTCGTGGAAGCGACTTGGTCGACGGGCGCAGAGTTTCTGAAGGAAAATCACATTACTGAAGAGTTTGCGCGGGAGGTCATCCAAGCTAGTACTCGAGTGAACTACGGGCAGAACCTCGCATTGATCCATGGCTTGGAGACAATGGTCTGCATGGCCACGGATGGCGCCAAGTCCGTTGAAGGAGGAAACTGGCAGATCTTCCAGGGCATGGTCGATGTATCCAAAGCCCACTTGAACCTTGAAACCACTGTACAAGAGGTACACCGCAACGACGATGATACCTACACCCTCACCTATGAAATGGAAGGGAGTGATTTCTCACAGTATGCCGACTTTGATCAGGTTGTTATCGCAAGTCCTCTCCAGTTTTCCGGTATCAAAATTTCGCCTAACCTCGAAACCCTCCCCGATGACACTCCCTATGTTGACCTTCATGTTACACTACTGGCCTCGCCGCATAAAATCTCGCCCCGTTTTTTCAGACTTCCAGATAACAAAGCTTCCGTTCCGTCGGTGATCCTTACTACCCTTCCCCATGGTCTCGACCTGGGAGCTCGCCGTGATGGAGTAGGCCCGGCCGGATTTTGGAGCATAAGCACTATCAAGAAAGCCAGACCACCAACCGCCTCCTATCCTTCGGGTGACGACCATTACGTATACAAGATCTTCTCGCCACAGCCGCTGAGCCCTCAGTTCATTTCGGATCTCTTTGACATTTCAGAGATGGACCTGTATGACGACCATAATACCACCTTCCACAGGTCGGGTTCTACCATCGGAGGGTTTTCTGCCAACGAGATCTCCTGGCTTCACGAAAAAAAGTGGCACTCGTATCCTTATCTATACCCCCGTGCTACGTTTGAGGACATCAAATTAGCACCAGGCCTATGGTATACCAGCGCTATAGAGCATTTCATCTCAACAATGGAAACCAGTGCGCTCTCAGGGATGAACATTGCTGCGCTTATCCTCAGCGAGTGGATCTCTGAGTTCGAAGTCAAGCTAAAGAAGTACGAAGAGAGCGGGTAGTGCGGTGATATTATATAGCTTTATACACTCTAGAATGTTTTTATTTTTGTGGGTTGTCTGGGTACGGACAACATTCTGGCGTACTGGAATGGAGACAGCGCGCGGTGATTTGGGTTGAAGGGGCGTATAATATGTGCATTGGAAGGGTCCCGTTCTTTTTCTCAAAGCGTACACGCATCATTCTTAGTCTTCAAATGAAACAAGCTTTAACTAATATCTGTCTACCCATGATGGCTTTCTTGGGTTTAAATAATTCCAGTGCCATAAGGGTGGCTATTACAAATTACTGTTTTGGGTAAACTCGTTAACCAACTGCTAGCTAGTTAATCCGCTCAGCTCTAGATAGCCGAAGCACCATATCTTGACATTGATTGTACCATAAAGCAGTCTTGATTCCCTAGACATTTGTCGCCCATAGATGACCTGCCTTTCCTGGGGAAATGCTCCATTTCGCGTTATCAGCCAACATGATGGAGAAAAGAAAAAAAAAAGAAAAGAAGAAGAGGAGGATGTATGGGAAGGAACCATAACCTATTGCACTGTTTGGTGCCGTGGTTGCATCTTCTTTGGGATCGAGATGGTTGGTTGGTTCATGTTCTTCTAATTTTCATTCCTAAGGTAGTAGAGGTATGTACAGAGGATATATATATATATATATATATATACACTGCATGATGCAGCTATGTAAGTGATATAAGTTGATACCGGCTAACTATGCTACACTAATGTCAAACCCACTAAAATCGCCTGCATCCCGCCACTCCTGCAAAAGATCCATGTAACTGTTCAGACCCAGCGGCCACGGCCCGGCGGCCGCGCCGGCCAACTTTTCCTCCGCCGACAACTTGTCCTTCCCCCCCTCTCCGTTGTAATAAGATGGCGTACACCCGGCAACCGGTGCCAAGGCTGCCGCCCCGGCTTTGATGCGTGCCGCCCAGGCTTCTTCCGCTGCGCGGGTCGGCTCGATAGCGACCTTACCCCGGTCGCCGGCAATTTTCAAGTTCTCGGATATGATGAACGCGACGTGCCGGGCCAATGTGTCCAGTGTCGGAGTGTAGTTTGGCGAAACGCCGGTCTGGCTGGGCCCGACGAAGAAGAAGTTCGGGAAGCCGTTGGTGGTGATGCCGTGCAGTGTGGCGATTCCCCGTGACCATTTTTCGTCCAGGCACTGGCCTCCTCGACCGAGGATCTGGGCACCGCTGCGGAAAGCGGGGCTCTGTCGGCCGCTTATGTCGAAGCCCATGGCGAAGATGAGCACGTCGAGGTCGAAGTGCTCCCTGTTGGCGACGACGCCGGTTTTGGTGATTTCCTGGACGCCTTTCCCCCCTGTGTCCACGAGAGTGACCTGTGGAAGGTTGAAGGCTTGGAGGTACTCGTCGTGGAAGCCAGGTCGTTTACACCAACCCGCGTACCAGGGTTTGAGATTCTCGGCTACCTTTTTGTCTTGCACCACCTCGTCGACTCGTGTGCGGATCCGCTCCGATCGTGGCAGGTCGAGGGAGTGCATCTCGGCAACATGGTCGGCAACGTTTTCCATTGTTACTGCGTTTGGCCCGCCCGTCAGAGCACAGAAGCCTGGAAACGCTGACCATCCGTCGGAGACCATGTCAACAGACGGGCGGGGTTTAGCGTTGGATGCCATGGAGATAAAATTGCGGTTTCGGGCCATTTGCCATCCTGGTCCCGTTGCGATCTTCTGAGCCCATTCCTCGGGGTCAGTGGGCCTCTGGTTGCGGACATCCACCGAAGAGGGCGTTCGCTGGAAGACGTAGAGATGTTTGCTCCATTTGGCCAATTGGGGAACAGCCTGGATGGCCGTGGCGCCTGTGCCGATGATCCCGACTCTTTTATCTTGGAGATTGGTTAGAGTTGGATCTTCTTGACTGCCTCCGGTGATTTTATAATCCCAACGGGCTGCGTGGAAGCCCTGGCCTTGGAAGGTCTCGAGGCCCGCAAAGTTGGAGATCTTTGGGCGGTTTAATAGACCTGGTATCAGCGCCACAAAGTCAGCGTGGACCTTGGCAGATACCGGCTGGCTGTTTGGTGGCTGCTGGGTCATTTGAACAGCCCATGTGCGAGTATCCTCATTCCAGCAGCATCGCTGAAACATCGTCCGGAACATGGCCCTGTCAGCAAATGACCAATTCTTCGCAATCCGGTTGGCCTGTTCTCTCAGCTCCTCTCCGTATGAATACTTATGCTTCGGCATATACCCAGTTTCTTCCAGGAGTGGCATGTAGATGTAGCTCTCGACATCGCACATTAGACCAGGATAGCGGTTCCAGTACCAGGTGCCTCCGAATCCGGCGGCTGTGTCGACGATGACAATGTCCTCTGGCTTAAATCCAGCGTCCAGCAAACGCACTGCAAACAAGATGCCTCCATACCCTGCTCCCACGATGATAATCTTGTAGTGTGCGCCTTCCTCGAGGGTCATCGAAGGGGCTGATCCATCATCCCACTTATCCTCCAAGAGGCGCTTGAGGCTCTGGTTCTCTGTCGTTGTCAGGTTGATGTACTGTGCCATTCCGTCAGGGCGCAGGCGCTTGCTTCGCTCCTCAGCGTACTTCTGGTGTATGTTTTGGATCTTCGACGCGCTGAAGCCATTGGAGCTGCCGTTGGCTGTCTCCACGACTGGGTGTGGCTTTGTTCCGTTCGCGAGGGATTCCTCCGACGGGGAGGCACTGGCCTCCGCAATGCCGGAGTCTACCGGCATCATGTAACGTTCGCGAAAGTTGTGTGTGTTTTAGTCTCCTGGGAATGGGGCTGAAAGCCACCAGAGGAAGAGGCCAGATAAATAACCCAAATCGCAGCAACACGCCATACACCTGGGTAGCTTTTCCGGAAGGATATGCACCCGGAAGACGTGCGTATGCCTGCATAACGACCCTGCGTGTGCGCATGGCAACATGGCCTCGACCGTGGGATTTGGCCAGTATCCCTGGTCGACAGGCCATGACAAGCAATCAATGGCCATCGTCGAGTGTTAGAATCAAGGCGTATAATTGCGTTGTGCGACTTTATGCAGGCACATACTTGCACTTGCGCTGGCTTAACGCTCAAGCCCCGGCCCCATGATCTGCGGCGGGATGAACCATGTAACCCGAAACTCACGAGTTGAATGACTGATGGGACATGCTTGCGGGCGATGCCTGGATACAAAGCAAAACACAGGGGCGGGCACACCCCAATTTGTGTTCGACGAGGAAGTCCACACGAAACCAGCATAAGCCAGCAGTTCTGTGCATGATATTTGAATTTGTAGTTACTCTATTGCTGATACCATAGCTTCTACCAGCGGCCGTTCATTCAATAACGGGAACGCGGGTTGGCTGCATCGAAGACCAGATCCTGGGCGGGCTCGGGAGGCTACCGAGTTAATACTGCGCTTCGGCGGGATCGTCACGACGGGAGTTTCGATGCATCGGATTCACTTTGTGAAGCGCATTAATCGGCGCCGGGCACAAATCCGCGGCACCTTACCAAACCTGGATGGGCACAATCCAACACTAGTCCATATAGAGTTAAGGTAATATCTGATTAGGAAAATATTTAATCCGTCCCATAGCAGAAATGGGGAGGATTTGTAAACCGTAGATCCACTAGTCCCGATACATTTATGTCGGAATATACATTTATCCGAATCCACAGTTGTTTGGAAGTTTAAAAATATATACATTCTGAATTCAGAAATGTAGCTTCCAATCCTCAACATAGAAATCAGGAAACATTCAAACCCCTGATCAACAAATATATCTAGGAACATTCAGGATACCTTTTCAGGTTTATAAATGTTTATAGTATAGAAACCATTATAGTATAGAAACCATTATAGTATAGAAACCATTATAGTATAGAAACCATTATAGTATAGTTACCCCAGCAGACACTGGAGAGATTTTAACTAATGCACAATACTACATACATCAAACTGCCTGATCCATCTATAAAAAGGAAATGCTCCAAGTGCAGTTGAGAAAGATAGTTAGCAGAGCAGAATCCAGTTCAAGCCTTTCAGAATCTTTGCTGACAGGTATTGTGTAAAGGCTTGGTTTGCAGATTGCAGATAGACTGATTATATGAATCTCATTCTGATTCACCTGCAAAATTGGCAAATCCAGTACCCTCTTGTGCTAAATTTTATAAGCAGAGAACATGGCAAAAAAAACTCTCCAGCAGCTGCCCTGGTTGTGGGTGAATATGCATCTTATTTGCCTGATCTTGATGCCTGATGCATGAGTATACTCAACCAGATTATTGAGTTTCAATGTAGTGTGATGTGCATCTCCATTAAATGTAAAGGTCAGCTTTTGAAACAATCAGATTGGGGTTGAACCTCTGCCAAGCATATGTTGATATGCTCAATCACTGCTGTATGAAAGTCAGAGCTTTTGCAAAAAGAAATGTGTAATTGATAGTTCAGAAAGCTGCATGCTTTGTAAACCAAGCAATTCCATGACTTTATAGCTAGCTGGTAGTCAGCAGTAGACATTGATTAAGATATGGAAGGGGGTGGTAGCATATAAATTATTAGCTTTGTTGGCATTCTCATCATTATCTTGTTGCTCATTGTGTTCTGATCACACAAGGTCTTGCATGAGAATTGAACATTTGTGATGAAGTTGCTTCATCTGGCTGCTGATATAGAGTTCTGATTTCATAAGAGCCCCATCAAGAACCAAGAATATAATGTATTTGAAGCTCTCATGAATCAGTAAAATCTTTTCAACATCATGCTTGTTGGTTTGCTGCACAAATGCTTTATATTCATGATGTTTATTCTCCCTGATCAGTACATTGCAGTTATTTGATACAGCATACTTCTTTGCCTGATTGGCATAGTGCACTCTGATATGCATGTTTGGTCAGTGTTTCAAAGCATGTAACATCTTACCTGCTTTCAGAACAATACTGACAGTATTGATTAAAATGTCCTCTGTTGGAGGTGTTACAATCTGATTAAACACTAGTGAATTCTGCTGTAATCTCAGCATCCATACTGCCTGGCTAGCCAACCATGGTGCCTTGGCAGTCATGACAGTAGCATCTATCACTTTCTGAAGCATAGTTTGGGTGTTGGCAACCATACTTTTAAGTTCATTGTACCTGACAGATGTCTGAGAAGTTAATAGTGAATTGCTTCTTGCAATAGCACTAAAGATTTTAGCAAGCAACAAATATGGAATGTCAGAATCAATTGACTGTTCACCAAAGAAGTTATAGAGAGTCTGCTGAACAACAGTCTGAATCCAGTCAGGCTTTAGAGCAAAGTAGAGTATAATTGGAATCACAATTGAAGCTCAGATGTGTTTCTGGATTTGGTAGAACTTCAGATAGATAATTGGGGACTGCAGTCAGGCCCAGTGTCTCTGAAATGAAAATCTCTGTAGGGTTTGGCAGTATTTCTTCTGCCCCTCAGGTGTCAATATATGTGATATTAATAATGTATGCGCAATTTTGGACAGGCCTGAAAATTCACTATAACAGGGGTCAGAGGGGAAAAATGTCACCAGATTCAGTACCAGACAGATCTTCAAAACTGGAGGACTTTTCTTGGCCAATCCATGGGTCTTCCACAGTGCTTCTTGCTCACAAACAGTCCACTTCATCTCAATTTCAGCCTGCAAATTGAGTAGCTGGTAATGATATTGGCTGTGTTTCACCAAGTTGAAATTCATATTGAATCTCTCTGCATCAGAGACAGTACAGCTCTGACAGGAGACTGTTGCAGTAGAGTGTTTAATTCCAGCATTGTCATTTTGCTGTGGCATGTCATCAAGATAAGCAATACAAGAAGCAATGACTCTGACAGTTTCTTCACCAGTTACCACAATGTCAAATCCTCTTTTAACTGCTTGTAAACTGGGAGCCAACACCTCCACAACATTGGGAAAATTTGTAGCATGAGACCTGAGAGCAATTGTATATATATTGTTTTGTTGTCTTCTTTTGAAATCATTAAGTCCTGCAGGGATCATATAGAAGCTAGTTATATTTCAGTACATGTTCTGATATAGACTGAATCTGTCAATAAACAGCAGGAAGAGAATGAATATAGTTCTCTTGATAGAGTTGTCTGGACAGAGCATCTTGATTAGCATATCTCTCCTGTATGCTGTGATTTCCAGTTCACTCTGGAGTGGAGTGCTAAGTTGGAGCTCTTGTACATATGATGTGTGGTGAATTATATTCATCACTCACTGTACAAAGAACCCATTTGTTTCTGAGGATTTGTAGCTACCTGATCTGTTAAAGATGTAGTCAAGATGGACATCCAGTCAGGCTAGAATGTTGTCTTCATGTATGATGTGAGTTTCCTGATCTTCCAGTAAGAGCAGCTTGTTCAGGCAAAGCAGAGGTCTCAGTGAATAGATTCTTTTATTAAAGCTGCTGGCAGTAATAGTGTACTGGATAATAAGAATAATTTCACTGGATTTTGTGCAGGCCAGTCTCCAGTCCTGACCCACAAATTAAATTCTTCTGATATAGATTTCTTGTTCATTCCAAGTGCACTTACATGCAGCATTGTTGCATCTGAAATGAACAAAATTGAAAGAAAAGACTGGTATCCTGTCAGAATACCATGCAAAGTCATCTGATGAACATCTAATGGAGCTCCCTCAGCTTCATAATTGCCACAATTTGGTTGGGTTGTCAACTAGATCAGCCATACCAATATGTATCTTCTTGTGAAATACAGGAGACCTTGCCAGTAATGACAAAAGAGCCACAGAATTCTGAAAGAATAAATTAGATGTAAGAGATGTCTGTATTAGTTGCTTCTTGGCAGGTGAAAGAGTTGGCATTTTCAATGAAACAGCTGGTATGGATACCTGTTGGATGAAAAGCATAGAAAATTGAGCTCTGCATTTCTTCTTCAATGTGCTCAGCCCCAATGGTAGAGATCTCAGTATACTGATGTCTTTGGGAATCTGTAAGACTTCCTGCAGTGTCTTGTAGTGTCAGCAAGATATTCCTGATTTTTTGCACCATAATTCTAAAGCAAGTGTGAAGTGGTCCAGCATTTCATCAGGCTCCACACACACATGGACTAGGATCTCTGACAGGTCATTCATTGTAGTCAGAATGTAGGTCTCAGCTAACTGGTCACCTAATGAATTCTCTAGTTGTGAATGAAAATTGGAATCTCCATTGTCAACTGGGTGCACTGGATGTAACATAGTCTGTAACCAGGATTTGGATTTGAGCTCTTCATACTGTTGTGATTTATTGTTATCAACTGATCCCATGGGTAGAGCTGCCACTGCTTCTTGTATAATCTCCTGCATGCTGATGTCTTCTGGTTCAGAATGAGTGTCAGATAGAGTGTTGAGTGGAGCATCAGAGGCATCTGAAAGACTTGCTGCATTCTGTACACAGTGATTAGAATGATGCAGGCTGACAGAGAATTCAAGATCTTACACTCAATCCTGACTCCTCAGTTTGATTGTTTGGCTGAATGTTGGGTTTCACTGAAGATAAAATGTGATTACAATCTTGTGATTCCCACAACAAATGGGCAGGCTGTCTGTGCCTTTGAAACTGTGAGGCTGAAAATGGCAAATGAAGTTGCCTTCTCCAAAATATATAGTTCTCTATGTGCCTCAAGTATCTTGGATCTCACATGTTTGCTTGAGATTTATATGCTGGTTTCCACAGTAATTAAGTTTCAAGTTGCAGAAACAGTGAGAGTTGCTGTGGAATTTCTTTGGAACAAAGTATATAGGAATTAGAAAGAAAATTGCTGTTTGATTGGGGAATTGGATGTATTATAGCAAAGTTGAATGTTAGAGCAGCTGTAAAATATGCCAACTGTGCTGCAGACCAACTGTAATATTCTGATTATCTAGACCTGTAATTGGCTCTAAGAGATGCAAGATCAGTAATGATCTGCATTCTTCTGGGTGATCAGTTTATTTCAAAGAAATCAATCACTTAGCAGCATTGAATTTTAGAATGTAGGGGAATATGAATACAGATCTGAATAGTAACTTGAGCAGTTGAATGTGCTCCAAGTCAACTATATAATAGATAGCAAATCTCTCTGAAATTCAAGCATTCACTCTCATTCATTCTCAACAGCAATCTGATAGCCAAAATGTCAGAGACACAGAGCATGCCAGTGCCAAAAAGGACAGCTTGCACCTTCCCATGGGCCCAATTGCACAACATGTCAAAGACTCAAGGGGCATTATTCAGTTTAAATACAAGTACCTGAACTGAAGTGTTCTCTGATCATACAGAGATTGAAAAGTGGGTTTGAGTGGTGGAGTATGAGATATGAAATTGGGTGTAATGGGCCTATATATCAACATTAAATACTAACCTGATTCCTGATACCATCCAGAAGGTGCTGAGCCTTGAGAACTGGAAAGCTGAAAATGACTCATATTTTTGTGAACTTTCCAGGCACATGTCAGACCTCTGTAAAGGTTGGAAATGTAAGATCTTGAGTAGCTTGAAGGTCAGAACAATGTCTCTAAACTTCTAGTTATGATATAAACTGATCTCATTTGTAGAATCATGTCAGGGAATGTATTGAACTCAGCTTGACTGAGAATCCTGATTTTGAACTCCATGAAATAACTGATTGACAAAAGCTGATCAGCTATTTTGCCTGATTGTTCAAGTGAAATCAATTCTGTAAAGTCTTTTACTGGATCAAGCTGTGTGTTGATTTTGAGAAGTCAGCTCCACAAGAGAAATGGTATTTTGAATGTAAGTTAATGGTAAATCTTAATTGCTATGATTTCTGCTCTGACAGTTATGGCAATAGAGATGTATGCAAATTTAGCAGCATATATGAAGCTGTATCTTGATGACAACAGTCTGAAATGAGATGCATTCACCCTGTTAATTTACATCTGGAATTCTGTACTCAAGCTCTGGAACTGCTTGACACAGAAACCAGAACTGAGAGATGTCAATTTGGATGACTTTGCCTGACAGAAGGTCTGATCAAGAAAGCTAAAGACTGTTCATGTTAAGACTTTGCCAGGAATTCTGGATGTGGTCCAGTTGATATCTAGTATGCTGTCCAGGGAACCTGATTCATGTCTGGCTCAGGCAGTGCAAGCTTCACAGGAGCCAGAGAATGATGATTCAGACAAGAAAAATCAGAATCCTTTGCAGGACATCACAGAGAATTATTTTGAGACTGTAACAAATTGGCCTGCCTGTTCAAAGAGACCTGCACCAGCCACAACTAGTCACATGCCCCAAAAGAGATGCAGATTCTAGTTGAATACATGAAAAGATGCCTTCTCAGATCAAAATTAGCTGTTAGTTTGTGCTTCAAAATAGATTTTGGGGTTTAATATCTAGACTTCAATGCAATGCTCTGTTATATCAATGCTTGCAAAAGCCAAATTTTGCTATATTCAATATATATCTCTTTATTGTTCACTGTAATTGGCTGTAGAAGCTCTAAGCAAAATGAGTTAGCACTTAGTAATATATAAATAGACACATCCTGATTAGAAAATCCAAAACAATCAAGTAAACATGCTAGATATAATAATCTCTTTCCACACAAAATCTCTCTCTTCTTCTCTTCTTTTCTTTCTTTCCTCCTCTTGAGCTCATTATATTTCTTGTTGCCCCTCTCCCCCTATTCCAATATTGAGGTAAGTGGTGGATTTCAGAATGAAATAAGGAACTGCAGCAAACTGAAGAACAATATATGCAGAAATAGCAAAAAATGACTCTGCAAATGTATAAATTGGCAGCAGCTCAGGATGAGCACTCTCTGATGTCCACAAAGAAGAAGCCAGGACAAAAGCTCTTGGCTGTTAAAGAAGAGCCTGCTATAATGGGTGATACACTCTGTAGCTGCTGTTTGATATTTGTGTATACAGCACACATTAAAAAGTCTTGTTCCCACAAGCAAGAAACTGTGAAGGCCTGCACCAATTATGCAGAAGATAAAAAAGCCTGTACTCCTGTTTCTTCAGAGCTGCAGAAGAAAGTGGCAGCATTGCTGTCTGACCATGATGATTTCCTCAGACTTAAGAATGTGATGCTCTGAGAGGAATTGAAAGCCAGTATGGTGGAACAGACTGCTGGTTTCAGTGAATTGCTTGTCAAAATGACATCTCTGTTGGTCTGAACTGACAAATTCCCCTCTCTTTCCCTCTTCAATGCTGAAGTTGGTGCTGCCACTTTAACAGTATTGGAAAAGCTTATGTTCATTCAAGCTGAATAAAAAGAGCTTGTGAAGTATACATTCTGCTCTGTCAAGATAAGTTGAACTGATTGGAGATCATACATTCAACTCATGCTAATGTAGTTATATATATAGAATATTGAAAGGACCTTGACTGACATCTACCAGAACTTAAAGTTCAATTGTTTACCTTCTGTGGTCAGTATACTTGATACAATGTCAGGATGAATTGAACTGACTTTAATATTTGATGACAGAAAAAGTGAAAGACAGAAGAAACTGTCTGTAAATCAGCAATTAAGATAAACTGATTTGCTGCTGCTCTGTTCTCTGCTGTGTCTGCTTCTTTCTCTCTCTCCTCCACTCTGATCATGCCTTCTCTCTTTGTTCAGTTGCAGCCAAATATATCTGTATTGGGCCTGTCTCTAACTGGAGGCAGTGGAGCTGATTTGCTTGAAAGTATGATCAGATAATCTGAATGGGCTTGCTCTGATGATTCTTCTGCACTGGTCTTATGCCCTGTCCCCAAACCAGAGACTCCAATCAGTGAGGAGGCTCCTGAAATTTAAAAAAAAAAAAAAACTTCATTACAATTCAGGTTGTGCAGGTGGTTGTGTAATACTTAGTTAGTTTCTAGTAATTGAAAAGCTTCTGAATTGGGTTCAAAACCCTCAATTGGTGCATCATATGTTCCAAATTCTATATGTTTCAGACCCTTTATATGTGTATTGTAAATATATGGTTGATCTATGGTTTCAAGCTTGCGACCTGTGGTTCAATGGGTCGTGTCAGATAAACATTTTCCGATGGTTGCCCGAAAAGCTCATTTTTCCGGTATGGTCCCCCGACGAGATCACGTGGGTGTCAGGTGGTATATGTTTGCATTGTTTGCAGGAGTGGCGCATGTGGCTTGTTTCCTTTTATGTAATAATTACTCAACTCCGGGAGCACAAACCGTGCAGGTCCGGGGAAAAATCCCCTGGGGGTATGTATAAAGTAGCTTAGAAGGTTTGTCCCGCAGATGCCGACAAGAGCACGAACGAAGAGCACTGAGAGTTGGGTGTGAAAACACACTTCGCAAAAGAAAATGGCCATGAGTCACTTGATGCTTCTTTGCTGTCCCATGGGATTGGCCTTTTGTCTCCTGTTGGAATTCTTCAACGTCTGGGAAAAGCTCGATTCTTTCTTTATCATATCTGACAACTCAAACTTAACGTCCATCCGAGTTAGATAAGTGTGCTGTTCTTCTCTCAGGAAATATATCATGCTTCGCGCCGTTAGCTGAAGGTCTTCGTGATAACGTACCCCTTATAAAGCTTTTTCGGAACTTGGAAGGGTCCGAGAGTTTCGCAGCCCACGAAGCAAGCGGTATCCAGATCCGGGCCGGGGAAGACGCCGTTATCTACAGATGCATTACAGGCTCAATTTCTATCTCACATTCGAGAGAATTGGGAGTAAATAGGACCAAAAGGGTGCCACTAGTGGGAACCCACTCTGGGAATATATTCTGCTTTACGGAGTAGACATGAAAGTGCCGTGTCCCAGTCCACTAACGAAGGCTATGCTGAAATACCTCAAAGAGGGCTATACATGCGAGCCGCGGTTACTTTGTTGTGGGGACGGTAAGGTGTTGGTAGATTCAAAAACGATGCTCGGAGATATTTTCCCCATAGACAGGATGTAGGAACTGATCTCGCCGGGGGCTGATAGGGTTGGCCTCCACGTGGGCTCTGCAGGTGGATAGGACTTGGTATCGATTTCGGGTAAAACAAGCGTCCAAATAATATTATTGAACTAATTACTCCTATATTTCGGGGTTAAGAGGTCGCCAGCCTGACCACGAGAGACGACGCGCTGCCACCGTTTTAAGCTACCGGTGCATCAGAGACTGTGAGGGGAGATAAAAGCCAATAATACCACATCCAGAGCGGTCGATTTATCTTTTGCACAGAGTAACATCTCATATCTGTCTATCCAACTGACCTTTGAATGAACGCGCGAGGTGACCATAGCAGTGCAATGCAACCAATATCAATAACCAGCGGGTACCGGCGCAGTTCTGGATCGTTTGTCGGCACAACCTTATATTGCAGCGCGGAACATAAAATGAATGGTGGACAGGAGGGCAGATTCTCCACCTGCAGGCACGCCGGCAATAGAAAAGCATGCGGTAAGGGCGAAAAACGTGGCAAAGCTGGTAACTGGTGGAAACTTACCTTTTTCCACTCTTCTCACTCCGAAGCTCGCTCTTCTTCTGCGTCTTCTTCCTCGTTCCTTTGTTCTATTCTATTCTAATTCTGTTTCCTTGCCAATTGAAGAGGTCCTCTCCATTCTATAGTTACCAGGGTGACTCATCGACACCGTGATCGTCGAATGGAATCGGTGCGGCTTCACGGAGTGTTTGCCTTTTGCCCTTGTCAACCGCCCCGTCTGTGGCCGAGCCATTATTAGTTAATTGCAATTATTTCCGGGATTCTACCAAGAGTTGTTCCACCCAGAATTACGGAGTTTTTTTAGTATTATTTTGACTGGCTCGTGTGTGCGCGCCAGGCCCTCTCTGGCTAAGCAATTTCCTCCGCGAAGCCTGCGGTGTACGTTCTCCCCGAAGACATGAGCTGATCGATGATCAGTGGTCGCTCACGATGCCAATCTATCACACGACGAAGCCTCCCAGGGATTGCTCAGACATCGTGCAAGGATTCAAAGTGCCTGCCTCATTTCTTCTGTCTCGATGGTCGTGTTTAGCCCTGACGCCCAAGCAGCATTGTCATGGGTAAATGCGGGGAGCAGCTGAACTCGACCAGGGAAGCCCAGTGGAGCGGGTCAGAGAAGACGGTGACAACAATCATGATTCCGCAATGCCAGCATGATAACTAATTAAACTCGAGCAACATTCCTCCGCATCAAAGGCGAGTCCGGAGTGCTTCTGAGGTCCACCGTGACACAATAAAAGTAATGCGTACACATAGCTAGCTCCTAAGCGAAGCTAAGCTACTGAGACATTCTCGGCCGCCAAACCAAGATCCCATCTCCACGTTGTTTTTGTCCACGACAACTGAAAACGTGGTGTTCCGGAAGAAACCGCCGGGCAGGCTAACACTAACCGCCAGTGGACTCACTAACGAATTTGTAGTTAGCTGGTACGGAGTTACTAGTCAAACTAACTACTAAAAGATCCAGTTAACCGAGACCAACACACTAAAAGCTTCAATGATGGATACAGATTGGACAGGCGGCCGACCAAAACACCGCCTGTTCGAGATGCCCTGTAGAAGATTCCATGGGCGATCCATGCAAGCGATGGCGCACATCCCCACTGCGCGGCCTCACACACTCTAGACCCAACCCGACCCTCCAAAGCAATTCTGAATTTCGAACCCAATTCCTTGTGATATGTATCTTTCCCACCCCTGGAGGACCGCTTCTGCCACGATGACCCCGGACTCCAGCTGAAAAGGGCCTGTCCAAGGAAGGGCGTTTGCCCCTCCCCGAATTATAAATAAATGTCCGCTCCCGCCTGTTCTCCGGGGTAGTCCCCAGAGTGATCTGCTTTGCAAGTTATATGATTTCCGTATAACTTGCCGAGGAAACTTTCACGATGTTAGGGAAGACGAAGACATTATGTATTTTGGCGCTCTGCCTCCTCTTCGACGGGACGCAGTCTCTCACCACGCCCCGCCATGAGAGCCATCTCGAACCCAGGACGACCACAGAGCCAAAGTACAAAGCAGTTGCCGCTGCTGCACAGAAACGCCGCGATGACGCACTCAACGCCTTCCTGCCGCTCCCAGCCCTCAATATGACGGGCATTGGAAACGATCTCCGGCCCATTCTGTTGAATTCCGGTGTCTTGACCAAGTCTGAAATCGGGATTGTCCAATCCGATGCCGCGACTTTGGTCCGAAAGATGATTCGAGGGAACTTGACTTCTCAGGAGGTGACGACCGCATTCTGCAAAGCCACCGTCATCGCCCAGAATCTGGTACGTCTCCCACTTTGAAATTTCGTCAGTATTTCGAGCTGCTAATGTATACCCATTTAGACCAACTGTGTGACTGAGGTCTTATTTGATGAGGCACTGAAACGAGCGAAGTACGTCGACGACTATTTCAAGCGAACCGGAAAGCCTATTGGTCCGCTTCACGGTTTGCCAATTTCTCTGAAGGACACCTTCACTACTCCTCCTCACCCATCATCTATTGGTATGGCTGCTTATGCCATTGAACCAACCACTGAGCGGTCTGTTATCGTTGACATGCTGGAGGATCTGGGTGCTGTATTTTACGTCAAGACCAATGTTCCGACCGCCATGCTGATGGGTGAAACTATTAACAATGTCTGGGGCGAAACAATAAATCCAATCCATAAACATCTCACCCCTGGTGGATCTTCTGGAGGTGAAGGCGCGATCGCGGCCATGCGAGCCTCGCCGTTGGGTGTTGGAACGGATATTGGCGGCAGTATCCGTATTCCTGGCGCCTATGGCCATCTATATGGGTTGAAGCCTTCCCTCGGACGATTCCCCACATGGGGCTCGAAACCGGCCATAAAGGGTCAAGACATCATTTACTCTATCTCCGGGCCAATGTCTCACTCTCTCCCGTCTATAAGACTCTTTGCTGAGGCTGTTCTCTCTGAACAAGCTGCTCCTTGGTTGCTCGACCCGAAGATGAATCCGATGCCCTGGAAGAGAAGAGTAATTCCGGCCGACAAGAAACTTAAATTTGGTCTTCTTCCCTGCAGCGACGGCATCGTTACCTGCCATCCGCCTGTGGAGAGAGCTCTCAAGATTACTGCCAAGGCCTTGAGGGATGCTGGTCATGAGGTTGTCGATTGGTGAGTCGTGGGGGCCCCAAGAAGATCCCATCCTTTTACAATAAACTGTTCTCTGACCATATATCCAGGGCACCAGTGAATCCAGCGGGGGTTGAAGGTCTCACGACCCAAGTTTTCACTCTCACCGGCTCTGATGCTGTCCTACCTCCTCTTCAGGCATACGACGAGCCCCTGCTCGGGGTCTTGAAGCTTTTGTTCCCTGGTGGCACCAACGGTCCTCCGGAGCTTACTCCCGCAAAACTCCGTGAACTGATTCTCTCACGTAACCAGCTCCAAAAGGACATGCTGGACCAATGGAGAGAGACGAATGTCGACGGTATCATTGGGCCCGTTGCGGTGCCTGCGGCGGCTCGCTTGCAGATGGACCCCCAGAAGGTCTACGGAGGGCTCACCGGTTTCGGCAACGTCATGGGTATGATAAAATTTCCCCGATCCCAAGAAAAATTGTTCTATTTCTTTGCTTTCATAGAATTATATATCCTGGCTAACAGTTTCTTTTTGATGATAGACCTTCCGGGCTGCTCGTTCCCGGTAACATATGCTGATAAGGAACTAGACCCCAAGAGAGGAGCGGATTGGGTTCCAAACGGTGAGAGAGATGCCTTCGTGCAGAGCGACTACGATGCCGACTTTTGGCACGGTGCCCCCGTTGGACTCCAAGTTTTAGGACAGAGGCTGCAAGAAGAGAAGGTTCTCGAGATGACCGAGATCATAGCTGCGGCAATCGGTTTCAAGGATAGAGTGTTTGGATAAAATGATCCTTTCTGATTCAATTTTCCTGCTTCAAGGCTTATATATGTATATATAGATTAGTTTAGTTTTGGATAGATTGTACCGCACATCGATATAGAGATTTAGGTGTTCTTAGCTAGATTACTTAGTGTAAGCCGCTTGCTGCCATATTGTCATCCTTTCCTCACGCATATCCACTACCTGCCTGCCACTGAGAACCCAGTCATATTGTACATTGGTTATGCTCGTTACCCTTGGGTTTGTTCATTTTGTGTCGCTCTTTTGTTTCTTTGACCAGAAGAGTATGCACGTGACAGATGGTTGGATGATGTAATTACAGAACACACACTAACTGAAAGAGGCTTAGTGTATAGCTACTCCAGGCACCTTGGGTGGTATCGATACACCGCCAATACCGCTGAGCCCGCCAGACCACCAGACCTTGCCATGTGTCACCGCGTATCGGTTACGTATTGCGTCTTCAGTGGTCAAGCTCGCTCCCGACGCCTGCTTGTCTCGCTTTCAGGTCAGTCAGTCAGTCAGTCAGTCAGTCAGTGAGTGTCAGTCGGTCAGCCTTTCAGTTGGTCAGCATGTAGGCTGCGGACAGCCGCTTTCACTTCTCTTTCTTCCAGGTCAAGAAACCCGTTCAGAATGTCACTGGCGATAAGAGGAACATCCACTCTCAGTCGTCCTTCTTCCGCAACTTCTTGGCCAGGCTCACTTTGTTCGTTGTGCCTTGCGTCCTGTACTTGCCGCCGACCATATCCGCCTATGACTCCATAATGGACAATGCAAGCGTTTTCTATCGTATCCTAACCTCCATATCTCTCCTACCCACCAACCAGCGTTCCATGTCCAATACGTTCTGGCGGCTATGCGAGCTGCTTGCCCAGCAAGAAAAAGAAGATGCTGACAACGGAGGCTCCGAAGCTTACGAAAATGAGCCTGATGACTCCCTTTTTCCTGAACTTACAAGAGCTCTCGACGGCAGCGCCAGCAGTAGCAATAACTATGACCTAGAACCTTCAGAGGTGTCAAATCTCTCTCCGCCAGAGGCTGCTCCGATCCACTTTGACGACCCATGTGCATCCATCGTAAATTTCAAACCCAGCGAGTCGTTGAGGATAACTTGCCTCACGATCGGATCCCGCGGTGACGTTCAGCCATACATTGCGCTTTGCAAAGGGCTCCTGGCGGAAGGCCATAAGCCTAGGATTGCAACCCACCGAGAGTTTGAACCCTGGGTTAGGCAGCATGGTATTGATTTTGCGCCCGTGGAAGGCGATCCGGCCGAACTCATGCGAATATGCGTTGAGAACGGGATGTTTACGTATTCATTTTTGAAAGAAGCGTCCCTGAAGTTCCGTGGGTGGATAGATGATTTGCTCTCGTCTGCGTGGTCGAGTTGTCAGGGCAGTGATATTCTGATTGAATCCCCCAGCGCGATGGCGGGTATACACATCGCGGAGGCGCTGCGGATACCCTATTTCCGTGCTTTTACTATGCCGTGGACGAGAACGAGGGCCTACCCTCATGCCTTTGCAGTGCCAGACCATAAGATGGGTGGAGCTTACAATTATATGACGTATGTAATGTTTGACAACGTCTTCTGGAAAGCTATTGCTGGTCAGGTGAATCGGTGGAGGAAGCGGCAGTTGGGCCTACGGGGTACGAACTTGGACAAGATGCAGCCGAACAAGGTTCCATTTTTATACAACTTCTCCCCGTCCGTTGTGCCTCCGCCGATGGACTATGGCGATTGGATTCGTGTGACCGGCTATTGGTTTCTGGATGAAGGATCGAGCTGGTCACCGCCAGAGCAGCTTACGGCCTTTATCCAAAAAGCACGAAACGATCGTAAAAGGATCGTTTACATTGGGTTCGGCTCCATTGTTGTTTCCGATCCAACAGCGTTGACAAAAACTGTCATTGAATCCGTTTTGAAGGCCGACGTGCGGTGTGTTCTATCAAAAGGTTGGTCCGACAGACTCGGGGACCCTTCGAGCGCGAAAACCGAAGTCCCCCTGCCACCAGAAATATACCAGATTACAGCAGCACCGCATGATTGGCTGTTTTCCCAAGTGGACGCTGTTGCCCATCATGGTGGCGCAGGTACTACTGGGGCAAGTCTTCGAGCTGGTGTTCCGACGATCATCAAACCTTTTTTTGGAGACCAGTTTTTCTTTGGAACCAGGGTAGAGGATCTCGGTGTGGGCATTTCGTTGAAGAAATTGAACGTAAACGTTTTTTCGAGGGCACTATGGGAGGCAACTAATTCCGAGCGGATGATCGTGAAGGCCAAGTTACTCGGTGAGAAAATCCGCAAGGTATGCTCTCATCCGAGCCTTTTTCTTTCTTCCTTCTCTTCACGCTAAATTGATATTTCGATGTACAGGAGAACGGAGTAGAGAAGGCTATTCAAGCCCTCTACCGCGATCTCGAATATGCCAAAACCCTTGTCCGGCGACGCTCTATAGCAGCAGCGTCCCCACCACTACCTGTACCTCTAGGATCTCCTAAAGCTCGCCATGATTGGGAGGATGATTTGGCCGGTATTGAAGATACATGGACATTGGTTGGCCATCCAGACATAGACATGGAACTTTCCCAGAGCAGCAAAGGCCGTGAAAGCGAATTTGACCTACGGGCTAGTGCAGCCCTGGCGACAGGTACACTACCAGATATTGTTGTCGATGAAGATGACGGCGAGGAGGATGTTACGCGATGAATGATACGGCTCGACGCTAGCTATATTACAACCCAGTATGATGATGTTTGATGACTTGTTAACGAATTGAATTCAGGGTCCATTTATGGAGTTGAATTTGGGTTCGGCGCAAGTCCTGCTCTGCTCTATTAATGATAAGCTGTTTTCTTTCGTGCGGTGATAGAGTAGGGCTCAGGAGGAATGGAACTGACGTGCAATCCGCGATGCGGAGTTTCAATTCTTTACGGATTTGGAGCGTTATTTGCCTTTGATGTTTTGGGCTACTTACCGGTACCTTCTATGGTTTAGCTTGAGCGCATCTCTATTACTTTTTGAGGATTTTGTTTTATTTGTGTCTTTGTCCTAGATTAAGGTGGGTGATGCGAGCGACTCGTTGGGCACCTAGACGGTTCTGCTTTACATCGTAATCTTATCTCCTCTCTGCTTCAGGCAATGTTGACCTTGAATACTCCCCTTTTTACGTGAATTTGGGATCATTTCTTTCTCAGCTCATGTTCTCAGTTTTGCTTTGGTGCTTGCAGACAGCAGCTGCTATGGCTTTCATCCAGTTGAGTACCTCCCAACGCAAGTTAACACACTTCACTACGTGATATAGATCTAGCGAGCGAAAACAGTAGTTGGCATTTTAAGATCGGGGCAGAGTAGCTACTCCACAGATATATGATGATCTTTTAACTCCACAACGGAAACAATACATAGTCAGTTCCGCACCGGTTTTATTTATTAGGCCAAATAGAGCATTTCAGCGAAGTTGCTGCATCTCCTTGCCCTGATTCTTGTTCCGCTGAGGATGTAGTAATTAATTTACCCACCCCAATTTTGAGTGTCTAAACCAAATAACTTCGTTTTTGTTCACATATCCATGTACGTGTTAATAATTAATTTCCCTTTTATCACTCATCCGGGATTTTCTTCTCGTGCTCTCCCTTCCCTTCTGCTTTCTCTTTTCGCTTTTGCATTACGTCCCAGTTATATACGCGCGCAGTCGCGACTTCAAGAGTCTGGAAAAGCGTTAGTCAAGTTTCGTCTTCAAGGATGAAGAAACCAAATAGCCCTGTGAGCTATATATAGGTGGCGGGAAAGAGACAAATGCTATTTTGGTCAAGCGGGCACACTTACCGTGATCTGCTCCCGCAAGAATTCCAGATCCTCCTCGCAGTTTCCTAGGCTCACCTGCGCCACCCGTAGCTTGTCTTCAAGTAGCTTTTGAGCCTCGTTGATGGGATACGCGAGCATTACGTTAGCTCCGAGCCAGAGGTATACCTCGCTGGTGTTCTCTGGAGCGATGGTTGCGCGAGCATATAGCGTGTCGTTGAGCTCAAAGGCGGTTTCGATAGGGATCGAAGATTCGGCCTAATATTATTTTGAGTAGGGTCCTCTGTGTTAGCTTTTAATGGCGAACGGGTGTTTTTCGTTTTCGTTAAGCGTCGGGTGCGGTCTCTGGGAGACAGAAAAAAGGTGGGGAGGGGATTGGCGCTTTTTTTGTTTTTCGATAGGATTTGATATTTACCTTCCTCCTAGCACTTAGGAAATTCACGGTTTCCAGGGTCTTTGTAATATCCGGGATTTTATCTTTCAGTCCCTGCGCACGTCGCTGCGTGTTGAGCTCCATGAATTGGTATTTGGATATCATCTCCTGGAAAGAGCGGAGTGTGGGCTCGACATCGGCGCGCGTGGAGACATAGTCAGTGACATCGTCGACGAAGGGAGCGGTGGGTATGCCGCGCGGATTAGTGGGGGTGCCGGCGGCAGAAGAAGAGAGGGTTCTGAGAGGACGTTAGCCTGTTGAGAAGCGGCCGCATTGGGAGGTGTGTCGTGCAGAAAGTTGACCAGGAGGGAGGGCGGGGAGAGGCGGTGCGTGTGTGCGTGCATACTTTCCGGGCTGATTTTCCGCCATGATGCTGAGCGGAGAAGTTATGGAAGCTCAGGGGTGCATTATTTTAAAGAAATCAAACTCATTCAAGGGCTGCGCTGCCCCAGGGGTATTCTACTGCTCTCCCTCTCTGGATTCGATGGTGGTGAACGGGCACAACACAGATAATGTAAGCAATCGACGACGGAGCTGTTCGTGAACTTTAACCAACCAACCAACAAATGTGTCTCCTTTTTGTGATCGCCTGGGACGCCACTGAGTGCCCTTTGATGAGGATCGGAAATCATGATCAGCAGAAATTTGCGTTGCATCCGGTCACCAAGAGCGATCGAGGCAATGTCGATTTTGGATGTCCACATCTCTCCCGATCCTTATGGCATTCAAGAACTCCTCCCAGCAGATCGAGCTTCGGGTTCCCATTGCCTGCTTCGCTAACTCTCGCTGGAAAATGCTAGTGCTACGCTTTGGCAGAGAGAATAGCAATTGCGTTAAGATATCTCGATTCTTATGACCTCAACTTATCCCGTAGCTGACCGGCAATTAAGCTATGGAAAATTTAGCCGGGAACCGATTGCTGATTAGCTTCTGGCACGTTCTGATGTTAAAGTCCCAATTCCAGCTGCTCTGCGCCGAATTCATTGCTGGGGATTTTTTTTTTTTGTAAGGGTAACTACCCGCCACGAACCAAATCAGTTACGACTGCTGGAGCCAGGCAGAATTATCTCGGCCTTTTCCAACCGACCCTGGCTGCTTGATGGTGCTTGTTGCTCCATGCAGAGGAGCCATGCGCTCCAGATTTTTTCTCTTTTGCACCGGCTAGAGAGTGGCATTGATGTCTAAAGGCATATCATCTATGAGTCCTCGCTATGGGATATGGATTTGAAGGTTATTAGGCTAACCTACTCTTTCACACACCCCCCCTTCCTTTTATTGCCCACGATATCCCGTCGCTATAGTGAGCTTATCTAGCATCTCGAATCGAGAGAATTCCACAAAGCGTCGACGCAACAGTCAGATTGAAACTAATAGCAGCGGAGGCGGGGTTGTTCAAGGGCCCACCGCTGGATTATCTGACACCATTTGACCATTACAATCGAGCAGAGATAATATGGGAAAGCTCCCGTTGTTCTTCCAAGTTTCTTAAGGCTTTTACCCTTGACCACAGCTATGCATTCTCTCCCATATGCATCATGACACGATGATACCGATCTCCATGAACAAAGACTTAGTTCAAGTTCCGCTCAGAGGGAGTCCTCATTTCCTCCTTTCTTTTTTCTTTTTTTTTTTTTTTTTTTTTTTTTTTTTTTGGGGGGGGGAGGGGGGAATCGCTGCAATGAGACATCCAGCTTATCCTCTGAGAATTTCTCGGTCCTGAGGATAACTAGGCCTCGAGTTGAATTAGGCTGGTTCCACTCGTGCCTGTCACATTGAGCAGTTGAAACTTGGGCGAAATAATCTTCTTAGATTGCAGGTCCTGTTCTCGATATGCTCAGCTGCCGAAAGCTCAATCATATCCGGCCACCTGCTATGCATACCTGCGGTGTATATGGTAGCGTACAATACATCCTGGGTTGTAAAGCAGCTGTTATATATAATCCATGGCAAACACTGCAGGCCACTCGAATGTTTCAAGATACCATTTGACGACTCATCAAGAATTCACATGGAAAGAAACTTGCGAGCCTCTGCGCAAAGAAGATTTAATTGCTCTCCAAAGATAGTGGTATCGGATATGACCCTTGGTTCAACCATGCCGACCCAGATTGAGAGCATTATGTCGGCTATGAGGGGTAATGGGAATGCATAGCAGCTTGGACGTGGGAAATCCATCGACCATTCCCCCCCCGGAAATTCTAGGCTACAATGGAGCCTTCTTTTCAAGTGGCTCATCATGCCGACGGCAATACCTACTGGTCAAGCATTATGGGCAAAGGATCCTTAGGTTTGTATACTAACCTCATGGCTGTACGCGCATTATTTGGCAGCAGCTACAAAGACTCGCAGCTTTCCAATTACTTTAACGTATCCAATCTCCTGAATATCACATTGATACTTCGTCAAAGATGACGGTGCATCACAAGGAACTTTTTAATTTACCATATCTAAAGGTAGTTAAATTTAACCATATAGGGAAATGCTATCATTGTTAATTGAACCAAATGATATGTGTTCCGTTTCACGGCAGGAGCTTCTAGAGAATGCTAAACTAAAGGTTTGGGCTTCTGTGCCGTTGCTACCACCGCAATCCAATGCATTGGTATGGGTTTGTCGGTGCCATACTTTGTCTCCAAATAACTCGAAACCGTGGATGCCAAGCTACCAGCGCTCTTCTCTCTTTGCTTTTCGTTCCAGAATTTTGCTGGAATATGAGCCATAATAGGAGCAAGAGCGGGTATCGTCTCTGGCACAGTGCTTGTGGCAATTGTCTTAGAGACGAGGTTGACCTGTATGTTCTCGAGGCCCCGCTTCCATAGCTGGGCCTTGACCCAGGATGGATCATGCCATTCGTCACCGCTTCCAAGCGACATCAAGAATTCTTCTGGAGTGGGTTGGGCAAGATTACCAGGCATGGTAGCAATGGCGGCGTTGACATCGTCGCTCCATCCGGCTATCGAAAAAGTTAGCAACTGATCTGAGCGGCCTTCATGTAGCCAGGGAGCCAAATATTAGGGATACAATAAGTGATCTTATCCTCAAACCTACATTTTTTCCAAGTGGTAAATGCGACCGTTCCACCGGGCTTGAGAATACGGAGACATTCTTTGACAACTTCGTTAGCATCATTTATGCAACCATGGAGCTACACTTTCGAAAGGGTGCAAGGACGGGAATATACAATGTGTACTTACCGTCAAGGCCGGCCTGGGAATTCGGAAGCGCCATTATTGCTGGAGGTTGGTTGCAACTTTAGTGGTTAACCCTTCTTCGGAGAGCAGAACTAATTATGCTTCATACTCACCAAACGATGCAAAGACATGAGTATAGTGAGCGGCTGAAAAGCCTGTTTCCTGCAAGTCTGCGATCGCAGTGTCTGTATTTTTCCATCCTTCATGTTTGACTGTGTCCTTGACAGCATCAATCATAGCCTCGGAGAAGTCGGCGCAGATCAATTTCCACCCGGTCAAGTCATTAAGCATGTCATGAAGAACCATGGAAACCGCTCCTGTGCCACAAGCATTGTCAAGAACCACCAAGGGTGTCTGCTCTTTGGCAGTAGAAAGGATGCCGGATTGTTCAACAAGGGACTTCGCAAAGACTACCGTCACCTTCTCCGCGGAGCGGTAGTCCGCGACGATCTTGGGGTCTCTCCATATGGCTTCAGAATTATTGGACCCACGCGGGCAAGCCGTTGAGTTTGGAGGCATTCTCTATTCGTGGGGCTATAGTTCGGGATTGTGGAGGGGAAGAAACAACAAACAGTCCAAGGTGAAAATGTGAGAGGGGGACATTTGACACGGGCAGCCGCGCTGAGCATCAAGTACATCTTGCTGTGACACTATCCCTCGAGTAAAACCCTTGCACAGCTTGAGACAGATATGCTCATCTCGTAAATATTGCCATCAGGTTGCGGCCTTTTCCAGATCCGGCAAGGCTGGCTGATAAGAAGGTTCGATAGCGCAAATTTGACGGAGGAATGTTGGGCGCCGTAACGAGTTCTGCAGAGAACCTTATTGAGAGATTGAATACGGAGTACTCCGTAGTCTCGACCGCATCCTTGTAAGGCGCCCTAAGGGCGATCATTGGTCAAGGGGTCAGCTTGATGAACGCACAAATGCAAGAATGGCTACCATCGGGCAATCATTCCCAGCCTCTTGTTCAACCAGCAAGGGGCGAGAACCCTGCGGCCTCAGCATTTGTGATTTACTTTACGGAGTACGGAGGGCTCTGGTCCGCTCCTCCCCATGTCCATTCGGAGTCACCGGACGTGCCCAAGGCTTCTTGCATAGACTACCAGGCTGGCGTAGCAGAAGATAATAGTCTAGACCCTCGAGATTCAGGCGTTCCATTGACGCGAATGCCGCTGGATTTTGGGCAGATATTCCGTTAAACGGGATGATCATGTCGGTCGCAAACGCAGGCCGCGGGGCTTCAACGTTAGATACCGGGCCGTTTCCACTAGGGAAAATTCAAACCCCTCAGCCCTGCGCCGCCACTGACAAGGTTTATGAAGCCAACCCAAGAACCTCCTGAACCCCGCAGTTGCCGAACGACAGTGTTAATCAATGGCATGCCCCAAGTCATGTCTAATTTCATTCTCAAAATCCTGCTTTTGTTAGACATGCTATGTGTCTTCAGTGAATGGCCAGATTCATTGGCTTAGTTCTCAAGGAAATACGGTGTCGAGCGTAGGATTACGTGAGGTGTCAGTGTGAAAAAACAAACTCAATTAAGCTATCCGGGGCAACCCAGAGAATGGACGAAGCTTAATTCAACATCTCGGCTAAATTAGCATCTCCTGAGCTTGCACGGTCTCACAAGTCTCGGTGCTTGTGACCACCACCATCGCCAATACATGCCTGGAATTGCAGGGAGCTTTTCAGGAATTGGCTTCTGGCATCATATTTGTTAGATTCCCAAGAAAATTGGCACGGCGGGAGTTAACGGAAAGTGTACGGAGTAAGATGATAGGCCACGCAAGGCCACCCAGAGGGTCTGACCCCCGACTGACAAGAATCCGTTATTCGACCGCCACACCGCAGCCTAGTTCGTGGCATCCATGGCAAACCTCCGACGTCAGATATGATACGCCGGTCTAGTCCTGGAAATGGTCGAATCAGCCGTGAAATGAGCCCTTGGCAATCGCATAGCCCCGTAGGGCTCGCCCATTCTGATATTCTCTTGTCTGTGTCAATTTCGGACAGGCAGCCAAGAAATGGCTAAGATTGGAGAGGGAGCTCCAGGCATGGAATGGGGATTCATGCAGAATGCCATTTCTAGCCATTAACGGACGATACTGTATCCGAAGAAACAAATTGGTCTTACCCGTTCTCCATTACTACCGCCTAGACAGGTCCATGAAACTATATGAGGACTTTGAGTATGTTTATATTGAAGTGGATTAATGCATATTTATGTAAGCGCTTGAATTTTCATGGATTTTAATGAATTCGACTATTCCGATTTAGTCTGACTGAATTTGATAGGGTAAAAATAACAACTTCTCTCCAGTATACGAAGGCGACCTCTAACTGATTTCCCAATACAAACTAAAGTGGGGGCCAGCCTAGCTACTTGTGGTCCTGGATATGGTTGTGGACGTGCTGGGTGTCCGCGTATGCCCGCAGCTCAGTAATTTTCCCGTCGTGATTGAAGCGCATCACGACCACCATTTCGTGGTTCCACGGCTTGTCTAGACGTCTTCTGTTAGCTTTTGATGCCTACATCCTATTGAGCAAGAGAAGCTTCTCACTGTTGCGAGTTGTTGCGGTGCTGTGGAGGACGGCAGCTTTCCATTCCTCGTTCTCACCACCGATGACGTGGAGGACAGCACCCTTGATTGGCTTAGTCACATCAATGATGCTGCTCAAGGATGGCATATCGTCGGATTCCAGGTGGCCTTTGAAGGCATCCAGGCCCCGGTGCTTCCCGTTCAGATGGAATTCGTGACCAGAAATGTGGACCTCGACATCTTCGGCAAAGAGTTCGTCCAGGTGTCCGAACTGGAAGAGCGTCTCGGAATCGCTGTGGAGATCCGCTTTCTGAAGACGGGAATGAAATTGCGACTCCAGGAGCTCTTTGATTTCTGCATTCGATGGGATGCCCATTGTCAACGACGATAGAGTACGTAACAAATAGATTGGAGAAAACCTTTTTGAACGAAAGAAAGGTTTGGCAGGCAACAAAGGTTCTTAAGGCTAGAAAATAGGAGGTTCAATGAAGCAATGCTGAATTGCGGCCTTCTTGGGAACTTTATATCCTTCCAGATATAAGGCTTACAATTATCAGTTCACATATCAGGTGAGCGTAATCGAACCTGGGGGCGGCGTAATGCGCCGAGCACCCATCCTCCGTCGCCTTGTTAATGTAACCCATCCAGGCCAAGATACCACTGCAAGGAGCTAAAGGACGCTTTAACCGAAAACTCATGGAGCAGTGGCTGGCTGAAAGGTATGAAACATTCTCATGCTATTGTGGTCACATTGCTGATTTCATGCAGACGCACCCACACTCAATGACGAATCTCATTTTCTCGTCTTCATTGAATGTGAAATGAAAAGTGGCCTCAGCTGATGTCGCACTTCTCAGTGAATTCCTTGGCTTCGAAAGGATGAGACCGGCAAAGAAAGTTAGCGAGGGCGTATGAGATTCTCTGTGGAACGGTTCCTTAATGTGTCATTCCAAGGCTATCCACTCTCATCATATCAGCTTATCGCTTCAAGACGATTCAAGGAACAAACTGCGTTTTCTCTTCCGCAAAATTTTGTTTGAATCTTCAACATGGACTCAACGCCGGAAATATTACCAATCGATACTCTCCCTAGCGGAATGCATACCACGAATACCTCAACCGGCATTTTCCCCTCCCTGACGGACGGGTATATTGCCGAAGGCACCAACACTGGAAACAAAACCTACGAACTTGACTCTCAGGTTTCCAATTATGTTTCTGAAGCTCAAGATGTACTCGGCTCCTATGAAATTTCCCCTGAAGCAGTCGTTATTGCCGCATGGGCTTGCACCGTTTCCAAGTATATTGGAGAAGACGATGTTTCCTTCTACGTCTTCCTAGATGGCAAATTCAATTGGAAATTTTCGATCTGCCGTTTAAATCTCCATGAATCCCAAACAAAACTGCAACTCCTCCAACGGACACAGACCTTCCTTAATGATATCAAGGTCCGAGGTATACCCGTTAACGATTCATTCCAACACGAGTCGTATGAATTGTTCAGTGAGCCCGCCAATACAGCGGTTATATATTCTAATGGGCTTTGCGATAGCGCTTCACCTACACTCGAGCATATAATGCATAAGGTATTCATATATCCTCCATTCACTAGCTACTATTCACTAATTGCTTGTATAGAAAAAGTTTCTTAGCCTTAACGTTTTAAAAGGCAGAGGTGGCACAGACTGCTATATGGGCTATCAACATTGCATGCTTTCGGATGGACAAGCGATCAACGTTAGTACGACATTCGTCACAATTTTTTCTAGCCTAGGAAAGGAATTGAACATTTCCATTGGATGCATGGATTTCATGAACCAATCTCACCTGGACCAATTGTGGAAATTCAACGATACTGTCCCTGAGAAACCCTGGAGCGAATGCTTTCATCAGGTGGTCGAGCGCCATGCCCTAGATAGACCGTTGGCGCAGGCTATAGACGCATGGGATGCGCAACTTACGTACCAAGACTTGTCTAGGTTGACAACTCGTCTTGCACAATATCTCCAAACCCAAGGTGTGGGCCCTAGGGTTATCGTCCCAATTTGTTTCGAGAGATCAGCTTGGGCGATAGTTGCCATGCTAGCTGTCTCTAAGGCCGGAGGTGCCTTCGTCAGCATCCCGCCTTACCTTCCACTTGGCAGACGGGCGGCTATAATTCAAATGGTTGGGCCGACAATAGTGTTGACGACGTCGGACCATGGCCATCTCTGGACCCCCGGGTTTAACTGGATTCCGATAGAAGGTGACCGTATTAATCGCTTGCCAGCTTGTGACACCGCATTAATCTCGAGTGTAAAACCGACAGATATGCTCTACGTTATTTTCACCAGTGGTTCAACAGGCGTGCCAAAGGGGTGCATGGTTTCACATTTGTCCTTCCTGAATGGAGCCCTTAAAAAGGCGCCCGAGTGGAAGTTTGGGCCAAATCGCCGTGTCCTTCAGATGCTAAGCCACACATTTGACATGAGCCTTCTCGAGATTTGCACTAGTCTAGGTTCTGGAGCATGCGTATGCGTGCCTCGGACGGAAGAGATTGAGGAAGGCCTCTCTCATGCGATCAATAAGTACAACATAACGTTAGCGGTCATGACTCCATCGCTTGCCCGTAGATTGGACCCTCACACTGTACCCGGCCTAAAGGTTCTATGTCTAGGAGGCGAAGCATTTCCCAAGGAAATTGTCACGCTATGGTCGGAGAAAATTAATCTGTTCCAATTCTACGGTCCCAGCGAGTGCTCTATAAATTCATCGACCCGGGCAATTACTCACAGAAACACTGACCCTTCAAATATCGGGGTTCCAAATAACGCGGCGTGCTGGGTTGTTATGCCAAATAACTATAATAAGCTCGTCCCCGTTGGTGCGATTGGAGAATTGCTCGTCTCTGGGCCTATTGTTGGATTAGGATACCTCAAGGACCCAGTCAAGACATCTCAGGTTTTCCTAGATGATGTGGTATTTTTGCAAAGTGATCCTCGGTACAAAAATTTCTGCTGCTACAAAACCGGCGACCTAGTCCGCTGGAACTCTGATGGAACCCTCACATTTTGCGGTCGAGTAGACGCACAAGTGAAACTTCACGGTCAGCGCCTAGAACTCGGAGAAGTTGAGTTCCATTTGACTCTCCACAGTGAGGTCCGCCATGCCGTGGCGATAGTTCCCAAGACTGGGCGGAGCCAAAACAATTTAATTTCAGTCATTTCTTTGAAGTCAAACCCGGGAAGTCGCAGCATGACCAACAACATGTCACTGCTTAATGATCAATCAATTGATACAGTCGCTCGATCTCTCCGAGCCCAGCTGCAGAATGCACTACCAAGATATATGGTGCCAACGATATGGGCGTTTGTCGAGTCCATGCCCATGTCAGCTTCTGGGAAAATAGATCGTGTCAGAGTGCGGAAATGGGTCGAAGACATGTCAGAGACAACATTTTCTGAAATAACTGGGACTAGGCCTGAGTTTATGGATAACGCTGAGCCTACAACCCATATTGAATGGGTAATCCAGGAAGCCTGGAGCAACGTTCTCGGGTTATCTCCACAACGGGTTGGCCTTCATCAGTCTTTCATCCAACTCGGCGGAAACTCCATTCTCGCTCAGGAAGTCGTTGCTAAATGCCGCAAAAATAGCGTCGGCCTAACAATAATGAACATTCTGACGTGCGAGGGGGTCTCCGCGGCCGCAGTTATGGCGACTTCACTTACCAAAATTAATACTCCAAGCAAATCAGACTCTGTTGTCCGTTTTCAAACAGCTTGGAAGAAACTCCAGCAGGATTACAGTCTTTCCTATCTGAAAGTTTCCCACTTTGACGAAATTGAAGACGTATACCCATGTACTTCGATGCAAGCGGGCATGTTCATTGGCCAAATCCGTAAGCCGGGGTCATATCATCTTCGCTTCTTTTACAAGGTTAGGTCTAAGACGGGGAGTTTGCTTAGCTTTGCAAAGGTGGAAGCTGCATGGCGTAGAGTTGTTGCTCATCATCCATCGCTTCGCACAATCTTCGTGGACGATCTTGGAGCTGACGCTGCCTATCATTCAGTTGTGATACGGCAGCCTCGGGTTGACCTTCGCGTGCATGAGGTGCCAGCAAATACATCCTCATCTGATGCCATGGAAATCTTCACTCGTTCAGTAGAGTCTTTTAAAAAAGGCTCGCCCTTCCACCGAGTGACCGTATGTGTGTGCGATAGCGAGGTCACCTACTTGATGGTGGAAATTTCTCACGCCCTGGTGGACGGAGCCGCGATGGAAGCTCTTATGAGAGACTTTGCTCATGCTTGCGATGAGAAGTCGCTTTCTCACCACGCTCCAAGGTATCGCGATTTTGTGGAATACACGGCCACACGGAACAGCGAGGCAAGTGCTAAATACTGGACGGCTTATCTTGAGAATTGCCCGCCATGCATGATTCCAGTAAACACACGGATTGCCTTCGACTCTTCACCAACTTGCTTCTTGCGAAAAGATTTCGATTATGAAAGAAGTGATAACTTCTTATCCAGCTGCAAGGAGAAGCATATAACTATAGCATCCGCGATTAGAGTTGCATGGGCATTGGTCCTTCGGGCCTATACTGGTTCTCGAGATGTCTCTTTTACTTATGTTGCTGCTGGAAGGGACGTTCCAATCGAGAATATTGATCAAATGATTGGACTATGCCTAAGCATACAGCCTTGTCGTGCGCAGTTCGTACCCGATGCAACCTTGGCAACTCTTGCGAGGAAAATGCAACAGGAGTACATTGAGAGTATACCATACCAACACTACCCCTTAACAGAGCTAAAAGGTAGACTCTATCCTGAAGGCAGCGAGGCAATGTTCAATACAGCGGTATCAATGGAGTGGACAGCTAAAACGGATCCGTATGCTGAGTCTTCTTTAGTCCTTGAGGAAATCAGGGAGCAGGATGACCCAACGGAGGTAAGTCTGTTTGGTTGTTTCCATTGGCCTTAGCACACTAATAACGTGCTTTGCAGTACGACCTAGTTGCCAACGTCGATATTTTGCACGGCCAGATCAAACTTGGCTTCTTATACTGGCCATCCCTTACTGATACCGACGTAACATACATCGCGAATACATTTAAGAAGGCTTTAAATTGCTTCCTTGAGTCTGTCGATGCATCCATCGATTCTATATCGTTGCTTTGCGATAGCGACTTTAACAAAATGGATTCCATGCAGCATCCACCACTGAATGCGGTGGAAATGAGTGTACTCGATGCTGTGGAGGGGCAGGCGACGTCACAGCCAGATCTCCGAGGCATCCTATCCTGGGATGGAGAATTCTCCTACAACCAAATGGTAAAATGGTACACGAGACTTGCGAAGTATCTAATCTGCCAAGGTGTGAACCGTGGGGATCATATTGTCGCATGTCTCGATAAATCATGCTGGTCTATCATCACTCTACTTGGAATCATGAAGGCCGGTGCTACTTTTGTAGCTGCAAACCCACTTCATTCGCAGCAGCGCCTTAAGGCTATTGTTGAGCACTGTTGCGCGAGACTTGTCGTTACTGAATCCAAGTATATTTCACTTTTTGATACCACCGAAACTCCAACGATTGCGGTAGGCAAGCAAGATGTCGAATACTCCGTCCCATCTACCGAGGTTTGCTTACCTGTAATAAATGGCACTGACAAAGCATCGATCGTCTACACCTCGGGAACCACAGGAGCCCCTAAAGGGATCGTTATAGACCACGGGTCTCTCGCCACAAGCATATTGGTTGGACACGGACGAAGTTATAAATTTTCCCGAGAGACGCGAACGCTGCAATTTGCATCCTTTACTTTCGATGCCTCTCTGCAAGAAATCCTCACAACTTTGGCACATGGCGGTTGCATATGTGTGCCTTCTGAAGATGAGCGACTATCAAATCTCTCGCATTGCATTAACCAGATGCAAGTGAATTTGGCATTATTTACACCAACTGTGGCAAGACTAATTAGACCTCAAGATGTTCCCTGCCTGAAGACTTTGATTCTCTGTGGCGAGCAAATGTCCCGCCAGGATGTAGCAACATGGGCTGACTTTGTTGATCTCTACAATGGATATGGTCCAGCTGAAACAACCATATGTGTTTCTGTAAAAGGTCCAATTAACCCAGCTGATGATCCCACAAACCTCGGCCATGCGGTAGCAGGCACCCGTATCTGGATTACAGAGGTAACAGACGATAACCGGCTTGCCCCTACTGGGTGCGTAGGGCAGCTTGTTGTTGAATCTCGTCAAGTTAGCCAGGGCTACCTCCGTGATTTACAGAGGACAACGACCTCATTCATTCATCCGGCCTGGCTTCCTCATGGGAGAGTGTACAAAACAGGAGACTTGGGACGACGAAACGCTGATGGCAGTCTCACCTACTGTGGACGCAAGGACACACAAGTTAAAATACGCGGCCAGCGGGTTGAGCTTGGCGAAGTTGAACACCATGTGCGTGAGTGCTTTCCGGACGTATCAGCAGTAGTGGCGGAGGTGATCCGGCCGGCTGGAGAAGACAAGACGGTGCTTGGTGCGTTCCTATGTTCCAGCGCAGGTATAGACTGTGTGTCAGCTGGGAATCAACATGCCATAGAGGAGGTTGTTACTGAAGTCCGGCCTTTGTGGACGTCAAAGAGTGTCATACAACAGCTGGAAGATCGCCTACCATGCTATATGGTTCCCGCAGCATTTTTCGCCGTGTCCGCAATACCAATCACTGTGAGTGGCAAAACAGATCGACATCGCCTGCGTGAGATAGGCTCCGCTTTCTCAGTTGAACAACTCGCACAGACGAACAATGAACATGGTCGAGATAGGCGGTCGCCTTCAACTAAGATAGAGCTGCAGCTGCAACAGTTATGGGCCACCGTGCTAAATGTTGAAAAGGACCAAATCAGTTTGGACAGTAGTTTTTTTCGTCTTGGTGGAGATTCTGTCTCGGCCATGAAAGTGGTCGCGGCCGCGCGGAAGACCGGTATCATATTAACCGTAGCAGACATATTCCGCCATCCTCATATTGATGAGCTGGGTAGAATGGCTAGATCTTCATCTACTCCGACAGTAAACCCTCTTGTCGCCGAGCCATTCGTGCATTTCGACACAGGAAACCTGAAGCACATCATATCACTTACACAGCCTGGCCCTTACGCCAGAGATGTTTCTAACATCGAAAATGTCCTCCCAGCCACTGATGTACAGGCATTTTATGTCGCGCGTGCATCCGAATCCTCCCAAGAGGCCCTTAACTACTTTTATCTTGATTTCAAGGACGACCTTTGCTTGAACCGTCTGAACAAAGCTTGCTATGACATAACTGATCATTTCTCTATATTACGCACAATATTTGTCTTATTTTGTGGCAAGACATATCAAATCATCCTCCGCAAACTCAAGACAGTCCTTCAAGTTCGTGACGCCGAGGAAGACTTGTGCCAAGCAAGTGATGCGTTCTGTCTTAAGGATCTAGAAAACGGAGTCAACCCTGGTTCACTCTTTTGGTCGCTCACGCTCATTCGGCATCCATATTCGGGGTCTCGACTCATTTTCCGCATTTCTCACGCTCAATATGATGGCATGTCGTGGCCTCTTATCCTAAAGTGCTTTAGGGAAGCCTATTTAGGATTGTCGTTGAGTCCAACTTTGAGCTTCTCCAGCTATGTATCGTATATACTCGAACGAGCCGCCCAGTCGCGCAAGTATTGGACTAAACTCCTTCAGGGATCAAGAATGGCCCAGATTTCCACGACATTAGCAGCACACCGCTCGCCACAAGCGGAGACCCTCAAAACCCATATTGGAAAAACTCTCCCAATGCCCATTTCACCAAAAGGAATCACTGTTGCATCCCTTGTGAGCTCCGCTTGGTCACTTGTCCTTAGGAACCTTACTGGAAGTATGGATGTCGTGTATGGTTTCATCGTCGCCGGGCGCAACGCTAGTATTCCTCAGATTCAGGAAGTTGCTGGGCCCTGCATGAATACCGTCCCAGTTCGAATCCGTTTCTTCCCGGCATGGACAACTACCGACCTTCTGCATCATGTCATGGACCAGCACCTTTCCATGGGGGAAGCAGATTCTTTGGGATTTCAGGACATAGTACAGAACTGCACTCAGTGGCCAACTGAGACTAAAATTGATTCGCTGCTCCAGTACCATGATATTGACGAAACCCCAGAAATTTCCCTGTCCGAAGACGAAAGCTGTAGCGTTGCAAAGCTGGACTGGTTCAGAAAGCCGTATGCTGTACCGACCAATATCGAAGTATCAGCGCGGCCAAAAGGCGACCGCCTTGAGATATCAATTACTGCTGACGGTCGCTTGATTGATATGGAGTCAGCAAACATAGTTTTAACAATGTTTGAGAGTGCTATAAACAGCCTTTCAGGTGGCCGTGAACTGATGTTGACAAAAATGAAATTTTCATCTCTCACATCCTGCCCGCACCACCAACCAAAAGCACCTGACATCTGTGCATCTGCTTACTTGACCTTCCAGGTACTGCGCTTGATGTTCAAGATGGGATAGCTAAACCCCACAAAAAAAAAAAAAAAGGAGAAGGGGGGGAGAGAGAGAAAGAGAGGATCACCAAAGCAAAACGCTTATCGCATCTGTATATATTTTTAGGAAGTCATGTATGCTATGTCACCGCAGTGTATACTACTAACGAAACCCAAGCTCTACCTTTGGTATGGAGTAGCAATTGCCACCCAGATCATAGGTAGAATAGGATAACATGATGTTGCGGGGCTACCTATCTTAACCCAATATTACAAGCTAAGAAAGTGTCTCAAAACTACATATCAAGATCAAAAAGGTGAGAGTGCTCCACTGACCTAAGCTTTCTTCTCCCACCATATGCCCTTATCTTCAAGAGCCATATTTGGCTCCATCTCAATCAAAACACGGCTTATCGTTCCTTCTGGACTGAGTTTGAATTCTGCCTTGATGGCAGTAGACGCACCGTACATCAGCGTTCCAACTATCCAAAAGTCGCCCGTGACATGTCGGAGTTCCAACACCAAGGCTGAATCACCGAACGCGCTCTTAGAAAGTGTGGCACAAAGTTTCAGGGGGCCTAACTTTTGCTTGCCGGATAATGGCGGGAATAAAGAACGATCGGGGCATTCGCTGGTGATATTAAGAGTTGGATAAGCAGCATGAGTATAGACACCCTCGAATGCAGAGAGCATGACAGGAGGTGGAAGGGGAGGATCAGGGATGCGTGGATAGAGATTCTGGAGTATTTGGGGAGGGATCTTGGTGTTATTTATGCTTTCCTCTGCCCTGTGAAGTATTCTTTCCTGTCAGCCAAAAATGTATATTCCAAGTGGAGGACCAACAGGCAGTAGTAGATACGCAAAGAAAGACGTGCCTTCTTCGCCAGTCAAAGCGATGTTGCTGTGGGATTTCAAGAATCTCATCAATTAAGTGATTTCCAAGCAGCATCACTGCAGCATTCATCCCGATCATATTATTTCCTAGAATGGCAAATCCAACTCGCCGCTTTGGTAGGAAACAAACGAAGCTGCCGAATCCTTCTATTCCACCAGGGTGCTGAATTATTGCTTCCCCGGCGTACGTTCGCAGAAACCATCCGAGCCCATACAGCAATGGCGACGTATCCGGTGCAACTGGCTCCGGCGAAATAATCGTATGGGCGCCCATAAGCGCTGCATATCCTGAAGGAGAAAGTGGCAAACGATGATGGATTAAAGCATTGACCCATTTCGAATAATCCGCTGCAGAAGAGATAATATTCCCAGCCCCCCGTATGCTTTCTTGGAACGATAATTCTGTGTCCTGCAGTTGCCCTGTCGAGTTTAAGAAGTATCCGCGAGCGATGTCTCCCTCTGCTGCCTTGGCATCAGAGAGGGAAATATAGGTTTCAGTCATGTTTAATGGCTTTAGGATCCGTTCACGCAGGACGTCCTTAAATGGTTGCCCAGTCACTGTCTCTATAAGATGAGCTGCAGCCATGTACATCAAGTTGCAATACTGGAAGCTGGTGCGAATAGGTGCCGTAAGTGGCAGATCCCTCATCTTGTACACGGCCTGCTGAAGCGTTATGTTGGCGAACCAAACCCAATCATGGCGAGGCATACCAGAACGATGCGACAGCATATCCTCTATGGTAACTTGCGCAGTGGCCCAAGGGTCCTGAAGAATAAAATCATTTGGAATGATATTATGGACGGGAGTGTGCCAGTGAATGTCGGGATAGTTCTCGTCGTCAACGAGAAGTGCCATCAATGCTGCAGTAAAGGCCTTTGTTGTACTGCCACCAAAGAAGAGTGTATGCTCCGAGACAGCTCGTGAGGTGGATAGATCAGAAACGCCATATCCCTATAACACAATAGTAAGATGGGGCCCATTGTACCTCGACACTGGGACGTTATACGGAATATACGTAGAGATCGCAAGGAGCTAACCTTTGTGAAGACCTTGTCGGCCGTAATGAATGAAACTGCAAGGCCTGGTACGTTAAAATGGTCAAGCGACCAGTTGACCTTTTTTTCGAAAGCCCTGGTCAGGGGCGACGGGGCATAGGAGCTCGTCTCAACGGCAATGGGGATTTGTCGAGGAATGCATCCCCGTAGAACCCAGAATAAGAGGAAGATTGATTGGTAAATCGTCATTCGAGCAAAATTCAGATGTATATCCGGTAACTAGCTGATTACTCTTGATTTTAAGAGGGACACACAGCCTTGGGACGCAACCGTGCGCACAGAGAGTGAAGTGAGGAAGATATGCAAACCAAGGGAGATTTGGCCTGCATTGCTAGTAACTTTCCGTGTACGACATCCGCCACTCTCTTACCCGAACAAATCATCGTCCATGTCTTCTCCCCAGTAACTCCGTATTGCCTGTCCAGTAATGACTGGCGAGACTTTTTGATCGTCACTCCGAGCCCCTGCTTTCAGCTTTGGGGTGATCGTTCTGGCGGCGTTGCTGGCACTACGAGTGCCAGCCCGATGCCTCATTCAATGCTCTCAGTATCCATCCTCGACATTCTCTGATGGAGCAATTTCTTTTCCAATCTTCATCGGTAATTATGTACACGCCAGGTATTAAGACCACCTGCTCCTACTTGTGTGCCAGTGATGATTCTTGCTTCCGGCAAGAATCTCAACGGTTTAATGCCGCATAATTACAGGCATCAGGAGAGCAAGGCGAATCTGTCAACCGAAAAGACATTGCTGACCAATGTCGCGTGTATTCTCCTCGTGGTAGCCTCGTTTCGTACTACTCGTAGGGTTGTTGCTGGGATTTATACCTTTTCCATTCCCTGCGTTTAAGACCTGAAAAGAGGACGGGAAAGTAAGCATTGTAGCTGCGCTTTAAGAATTTAGCTGCCTGAGGGTCTAGTACGACCGTGTATCCGGATCGAAAGATGATATCCGAAACCACGCGTGGAACCAGACACCAAGGCGAAGAAGTTGATCGCAGCGTTGTAAACCGGGGCTTCCCAGTCTACCTCGTACCGAGTATAATTTAATCATCATCTCAACGGAAGGACGAAGCAGAATGGCGATACTCTTTGAGCTATACTTCCCATGAATGGTCGATTGCGCTTCGGTGAAAGGGGAGGAAGCGAGAGGCCGGATATCTAGTTACCAGATCGTCACCTCTTCAGCTGAATAAACTCATGACTAAGACGAGCTTCGAACCGGACAAGCAAGCTAGATAATTTGAACCTCCTTGAAGACCCCTCTGCTATAGCCTGTACGGAGTACGGAGTATTGTGAGCAGAAGTGCTTCGTGGCCAAGCAAGATGGTCCTCCTGATCATCACACCCGCGATCTTGTCCGCCCTCGAGTCCATCCCCCAGTCCATCCGCGACGAGCTCTCCCTTCCGGCTCCAGCATTGAACGAAGCCATCTCCCACTCGCAGCTAATTACCCTCTCACACAAACTCTCTTCTCCAGATTCAAAAGGACTAGATTCAACAACTAGGCATGAACCGTCACGTGCCTATTCTCTCAATTGCCTCCTCCGCGGCGCGAAGCTGTATATACCTCCTCCACCGCCCAAACCTGCACCGGTATGTGACGGGAAAGAACATTTCCCCTCAAAAGAGATACAAGTAAAAAACAAAATACTGATCATGTCTCTCCAGACCCCCGAATATCTCGCCCTGAAGGCCCGTCTTGAAGCCGAAGCCCAGGCCAAAGAATACCATGCCTACCTGCATCGCCCATCGGCGTCCCAGTTAAATCGCCAACCATCACCGATCTTTTCGCCCTCCTCACCCACAGATGAACACTTGGCCAACACTGACGATGACGCGCTCACTCCTTCCCTAGTCCTCAACATCCTCGTATCGATTCTCTTCACTGGATTCGCGACATACTGGGCGCTAACGAACTTTCGCACTCCACAATTTCTCTCCACCATCTTCTCATTCTCGGGTTCTAACAGTGCATATGCGCACAACTACCCCGGATCTGTTTATTCCCAGCCCAGCAGAGTGTTTATATCCCTCCTGGCAGCGGTGGTTGTTGGGATAGCGGAAGTGGGCGTTTACGCGGCATACTTGAGAAAGGTTGATATGGCAAAGAAGAAGGAAAAGAGAATAGTGGAGAAGAAGACCGTTATCGGGGAAGTTGGTGTAGGCTCGCGAAAGAAGGATGTAGATGCTGGGCCATTACAAGATGAAGACCGCGAGAAGGAAGAAATTTGGGGAAAGGGAGTCAATGGAGGCGTGAGGAGGAGGGTTAGGGAAAGATGGAAGGAGAAGCAGGATCTAGAAGAGAAATAAACGAATATCTACTGATTCTAGGTGCTACGGCTCTTGGGCATAGATCTGAGCACAGATGTCCCGTTGGTCAAGGCATTTAGTCTCATTTGCCGATGCCGTTACAGATGATCCTATTGATTTAAGCGTTAGATTTGCATGTATATTATACCCAATTTCTTTATTTGTTTGCTCTTTGGGGGTTATTTCGAGAAGGCTCATCTTGAAAAGGGCATTGCTCATTTGATGCTTGCATCGATAGTGTATGTATATTTCAAGTTGAACAAATGACCAAGGGTGCATTGGGTTTATCGCACGGAGAGAATATTTAAGAGCCAGAAAGCTTAATGTTGATTCAACAGTAGAAAAATAATTCTTCGTTGCTGGCTTGCTCGAGTGTTTTTTTTCTTTTAAAAAAAAAAGAAGTGCGCACGACCGGATTCGAACCGGCGATTTCCGCATGTCATGAGAGTACGAGTGCGACGCCTTACCGCTTGGCCACGCGCGCCACTTTACGTTTGTCATCCGACGAAAATCTTCCTGAGAGCTCAAAGCTGTGACGCTAGGTTTCTGCTTGAATCAAGCGTCATCCCGCGAGGCTATAGCAAAAGCTTTCCCTGCGGTTTCCCATCGCCAAACCCTTCATCGCGACTAAACACCCGTTGGCCTCTGAGCCACGTCTCTCTCACCACCCCCCTCAGCCTCTTCCCCTGGTACGGTGAGCACTTGTTCCGAAACAGCATCGTGTCAGGTTCCACAGTCCATTCCGCTTCATCGTCAAACACACAGATATCTGCATCGTATCCCACGGCCAAGTCACCCTTTCGGCCTTTCAATCCTACCTGTGTAGCAGGGTTAATACAGCACCATTGGACTACATGTTCAAGTAACAATCTTCCCGAGGGATGTGCTGTTGACACGTCGGGATATCGACGATTTAACCCTGTCCAGAGAATTGAAAGCCCAAGACCGACGGATGAGATTCCTCCCCATGCGGCGAGGAAGTCGCCTAGGCTTTCACTTTCATTTTCATTAGCGTTTTGCTCCTTTTTTGTTGGTGGGGCACTGCTGGGTATATGCCCAGGGAGAAGTTTCAAGTCAGGCGTGCAGGGCGAATGATCAGATACGACTGTTTTGATGACACCGTCGTCAGACTCGTGTCGGAATAATTCCTGCCATAGCTCGTCTTGGTTCGCTTGCTCGCGGATCGGTGGACAGCATTTATGTCTCGTGTCTCCGTCTGGGATATTTTCCGCCGCCATGGTGAGGTAATGGAAGCACGTTTCCGCAGTAATTTTGACCCCCCTTTTTCTAGCTTCGCGCAGAAGAGGAATTGCTTGCGCGGCAGAGAGATGAACGATGTGGAGAGGCAAATCTGGCGCAAGCTGCGAAAGAGAGAGAATTTGCTCGATGGCACATGTTTCGAACACTGGGGGTCGAGAGGAGAGGAACGTTGAGTATGCATTCGATGATTTTTGGACCAAAATCTGCATATCGATCTCTTCCTCAAACGTCCCTGGGGGAATCATTTCTGCATGGAACATGAGCGTTGTCTTCTCGTCTGCCAATTCCATCAGGGCCTCTTTGATATCACTAGGCTTAATTGCAGGAAATTCCTCAACCTGAAATACACGTCAGTGATTCGGATCTCAGCCAAAGAGAAAAATATCGCCCAAAACCCACTCCACTATCGATCAAAAACCCCTTAAGCCCTCTCACACCCCTCCTAACCAGTCTTTTCAACTCCCCTTTGCCAACATTTCCTGGGACCACTCCCCCGTAGAACCCTACATCAACCCACACCTGCTCCTCTGCCGCTACAATCTTCTCTTCCAGCCCTCCCACACTAGTTGTGGGTGGAATACTATTCAGCGGCATGTCAACCACGGTGGTAACCCCGCCAAACGCAGCAGCCTGCGTGCCCGTGTAGAATCCTTCCCATTCCGTGCGCCCTGGCTCATTAAGATGTACATGCGCATCCACAAGACCAGGAAGGAGGATGTAAGGTGAGAAGTCAATGTAAGGGGTATTGGGAGGAAAGAGAGCTGGTGATAAGATAGAAGAGTGAATGGCAGTGATCTTACCGGTGGCGCGGGAGACGGTGATGGTAGCGGGGCACAGACGGCCAGAGACAAGAGCTCGCGAGGAGCAGAGCATGATGGTGTCTGACTGCGCCGCGGCCATTTGGTGCTGGTGATTTGAGTTTCTGCCTTCCAAAGCCAGTGAGGGTTTGGAGTTAAGCTGTGTGGAGCTATGTGGCCGTCTGGAAATCTTTGAGAATCAGCTCTGTATGGAGGAGAGGTTGGATTTCAAAAAAGCCTAAAGTTCCCTTGCTGCACGCTCTGCTACGTTCAACCGGGACTCTCTGCCCCCATTGCTTTTTGGTGGTTTACTTATGTCTGGTTGAGCTCGCCGTTGGTCAAAGCACACAACCTCGTGGACACCACCGAAAGATTATCCAACAAGCACATGGCATCAACAAAAGAAGACATTGGGGAAAGAGAAGAAAATCGACGATCTAAAATGGTCTCGACCTGCTCTTCCCCGCTTATCCCGATCTCAACAGCAAACCATGGTGGAGGTGAAGAGACGGCTCGCTGAGTACCTTGTTATTAGTGAACGTGGAAGAGATCGGAAGATGCAAAGTTAATCTCGATCTCTAATCGATGGAATTATAAATTAGTATGCAATGGTGCCCCTTTCTCTCTCAAAGCCATTGCTCACACCAGACAGGATGAATTCGAATTCGTCGGATTCGGTCTCTGCGGAAGCCCCATTGCTTTCGGGCTCAGATGGCTCTGAAGGCCCTGCGAAAGACATATCCCCATCAGTAGAGCGTCGCCTCTACATATCTCACTTTCTCTCAACATGTAATTCCCGCGTGTTTGAGTTTGGTGCTGTGTTGTATCTAGCATCCATCTTCCCCAATACCTTGTTGCCGATGTCAGTCTACGCACTGGCTCGTGGTGCTTCAGCGATTGTATTTTCCCCAGCGATTGGTCAGTATATCGATTCCGGTGAGCGTCTGCAGGTCGTGAGGCTCTCAATTGGTACGTCCTTCAGTCCATAGAATACTGCCCAACGTCTGAACCATCTTTCGTGTAGTCCTTCAGCGAATAGCTGTGGCAGCTTCCTGCGTTGTGTTTTGGATCTTAGCGACGGAAGAGATATCCGGGGGCGCATCGAAGTCATGGCTATTGGTGCTCCTTACGGTGTTGGCGTGTGTTGAGAAGCTTTGTTCCATTATGAATCTTATATCTGTTGAACGAGACTGGGTTGCGCACCGGAACGGAACCTCTACCCATGAAAGCATGCTGATATGCAATCATAACAGGTTGTTATCATTGCTCAGGGTAGTGAGCCATCGTTACGAGGTAATTTACAGGCCCCCTTTCTTCTGTTCCCAAAAGACTCACAGTACGATCAGCTCTCAATGCGCAGATGCGCCGCATCGACTTGATCTGCAAGCTAGCAGGACCATTTTTTATAGCCCTTATCGACGGAGTCTCAACCCAAGTTGCGATCCTAGTAAACTTAGGAATGAATCTTCTATCAATTTCGGTCGAATACTACGCTATCGCAAAGGTCCGTTATTGGTCAGCACTTGTCGCCTGGAAAGCATGCTAACCATGCCATCCAGGTCTATCAGATGGTCCCAGCACTACACGCACCAAAAAGATCGACAGTGGAGGACACAGGGGCTAGTGACGCTCAGCACGGACGGCGGTATCTTAGAGCACCTCTTACCGTACTGCGAGGCCTGAAATTTTACTTCCAACACCGAGCCTTTCTACCATCCTTTTCCTGCGCTCTACTTTACTTCACCGTGCTATCCTTTTCAGGACAAATGGTAACATACCTCCTCTCCATCGGCTATAACTCGTTTCACATCGGTATCGCGAGGACAATATCAGTCGCGTTTGAAATATCAGCTACATGGATCGCCCCAGCTGTCATGTCAAAAATTGGTCCGATTCGAGCGGGAATATGGTTCCTAAGCTGGCAAATGATGTCCTTGGCAGCCGCAGCAAGTGGCTTCTGGGGGATTAGATCTGAAATTATGGCTGCCACCTGCCTTGTTTGCGGTTCAATTTCTAGCCGTGTAGGACTCTGGGGGTTTGATCTCTCTGCGCAGATTATAGTGCAAGAGGTAAGTCTGCATTTATACCTGATTTAACCTACCCAGTTAGAGCCTCCGCTAACATATCCCTTAAGGAGGTTGAACCTGACCACAGAGGCTCTTTCTCTTCGATGGAAGCATCATGGCAGAGCACCTTTGAACTTTGTTCGTATGCTACGACAATTATTTTCTCACGACCAGAGCAGTTCCAATGGCCCGTGTTGATGAGCTGCGCGGCCGTCTTCACCGGAGGAGGTCTCTACACTATGTTCGTTAGGTCGAGAAGGGGCCATCTCTTCCATTTGCCCCAGTGCATCGAACCGAAAAGAAGGGGCTCAGTGCCCCCAGGACTTCGTTATGAGAGGCTCGCTTAGCCGAATAGGTTTAAAATCACGCTGTTACCGGCTGGGGTGGGGATATTTTGGTCACTAGAGGCTCCAGACGCCATTTCCACACATAGAGAGGGAGGCCCGGGTCAGGGTTCATAGTCACCTCAACACAGAGGCAAGGGGCCTGTGAAAGCTTGTTTGCTTTTGTTTGTCCCCCTTACTTCAGTGAGTTTGGGCCCAGCGAATCAGTCACTATTGAGGGAAATAAGAAAACGGGCTCGTCGAACATAAAAAGAGGTGCCAACTCTCAATGGAATAGAAACTTTCTATGCAATCCTAAATCGAACAACTAAAGAGCATAAACCAAACATCTATTAACATACAGGCCAATAAAGTCAAGTCTACAACTCATCTCTCTCCCTCATTTTCTCATTCTTCTCATCCCCTGCCTGCCCCTGCTCCCTTGCAACCCTTCTCCCCAATTCCGCAATCTCGTCATCGTATTCCGTCCACTCCGGCACCTGCCTCCTCGCCCTCTCCAACTTTGGCTCCTTCGTCATCGGATTATTACACAAATCAATTGTTCTTGCCGTCTTCAATGCCTCATCTGAGCACCATGTTTCACACCATAGCCAGTCCTGCGACAAACTCTTGATCGGAATAGCATGCTGCATATGGTTCGGTAGGTCCTGGTCCAGATTGGCGAGGCTGTTTGGATCAGCTGAGAGAGATTGATACTGTCCTCGGAGCCGGTCACCAGCAGCGAGTTCACGGAAACGGTTGAGATCAACCACGTAGAGTGCAGAGATGTGGTATGGAAGGCCTTTGAGGAACTTCTTCCAGTAACCTTGCTTCCAGAAGCGGAAGCCTTCCATTTCTGTCCGCGAGTCGCACATGGGCGTGAACCCGTATGGTGCCCCCTCGAGATCCATACTGATTAGGTCGTACATGTCTGTCCGGACAATTTGGTCTGCATCCACGAAAATAACTTTATCCAGAGAAAGTGGGAAGAGCACATCCAGAAACAATATCTTATAGCCCCAAATCTCTCGCTGCTTCTCCCGTTGTGAACGAAGCCAATGAGGCCACTTATAGGTAACCATTTCGTACGAGAATCCATATTCCTTCGCCAAATGTGGGAGAAAAGATTTGAATGACGGTGACAGGAACTGCTCAATGAACCAAAACTTGACCGAGTGCTTCGTATGCCGCATTACCGACACCATCATAATATTCAACATTCGCTCGTACAAGTGACCGCTGGCGACTGAAAAGATGTTTATATCTGCGTGCTTCTCTTTCTGTGACCCAGTTATGCTAGAAATCACATCAGACGCAAAGTTGAGACCTTTTGAAAAGTAATTTTTAACAGATCCCGCTTTCGACCCGGCTTCCAGAACGTCGTCCTCTTCGTGGCCGGGCTTCCGCGATAGTCGTGGGAAAAGAGTCGTGCCCTGGAAGGACAACAAGGCAACCTCGTTTGTCTCATCGCCAGGCTTCGGAACATACCCCATACCACCAACACTATCTAACTGGTAAATGCGTTCGCTTGGTCCTGGCTTCAAGGTAATTCGCCAACATCCAGGCTGGGCCTTGAATTGGAAGTAACCCAAGTTCGCCATGATGATTGTATCGGCAAAATGTGGGGTTTTCTCCGTTCCCAGGAGAAGTTGAACCCCTCGAGGAGGGCTTCCATGTGTCACATCTCTTGAGTGTCCCTCGATCAAAATGTGCTCGAGTTCATATACAGCGTCAACATTTGCACCCTCCCTCAGGGAGCTTAGTTTTATATTATCCAGGTCATAAATGGACTCTTTTGGTGCAACCAACCAAGACGGAGCGACGTCCATGCCTAACGTTAAGAGTGCATCTTCCGGTATACTTGTAAAAGATGCCTCCGGTCTCCGCACGGAACCATCATCGTTGAACGATGGCTCCGATTCGAAAACTTGTCGATAGAACCGCTTGATAGGCAATTCTTTCAATGGCTGGATTGGACTGAGGATTACTTTCACCGAAACTCCTGAAAGTTTAGAGAGGACCTTCAGGATAGGAATATAGCGCTGGGCGGTTTCCGATGCAGGATCAATGACAGCAACGACTTGGATCACAGGATCGTCTGCGTGAGATAACGTAAAGCCGGAGTGCTCCGTACTCCACTTTTCGTAAGAGTTGGTGCGTAAGGCGGGCCCGCTATCGTAGATATCCTCTGGAATATCTAGTTTCGTGGAACGGGCAACAAGAGAGGTCAACCTCGCAAGTTTAAACGGACCGTCGATCACATCCTTGAGCTCCAACGATTTAACGGCTCCGAAAAGCGGTTCCAGCCGCCTCTGTCGCTCATAAGCTAGAAGTTGTTCCAATTCTTGGACACCAAAGAGTGATGAAGAGGGAATTGGGCCAATAAGCCTTCCATTGAACACAATGTCAACACCACCTTGGTTGCTTCCTAGCTCTCTCGCCAGCGGTGAGAAAGACGAAAAATAATTGCGACGCCGCTCCACGTCAGGTTCTTGGGTGAGAAGTCGTTCAGAGCCAACCTCTAAAATGGATTTTAGCGCAGACACATCCACATCCCGGCTCTCTTTCATAAGATTGAAAAGTTCAGCCGAGACACGACCAGAAAAATCTAGGTGGGAATCGTGGAGAAGAAGGACTTCAATTCCCGGATTCTTTTCACGAAACTCAAGCACGGAACCCAACTGTTTTATTCCATCTTCGCTGTCAAAATCGGCAATCAATATCAAGCTGCTCCAATTCTCCAAATTCGAGTCGCTAGATGCTCTAATCCGCGGAAGGGCATCAAATGCGGATCGACGGCTCTTAAATGCGGCGTGTAAGTCCCGGATTTGGATTGCACCAGGGTCCTCTGGTATGATCAACGGATTCCGGGTCAACACAGCTCCATCAAGGAAATGAATGGGAAGCCAGGAATCGTCATCATAAAGCCCCCCATAGATTGCTTGTTGTATCTCCTCCAAATCCTGGGCTAATCTGGTAACCAAAGGTTGCATCCAGTGTTCATCCCGAGGAATTATAGCTCCATTCACGAACATCGGCGGGTTCGGGCCATCAGAAGATAATCTTTTTAGGTACGCCTTTGTTTTTGTGATGATTGTTGGTTCGAAGTGATCAGAGGATAAGATTTCCTCAAAAGTCAACTTAGGTCTGTCCGCGTGATGTTCACGGTCTTGAACCGCAGCGTTGAAGCTGTCCTTGCTCGGCCAGACTATCTGACTCTTGGCCCCCTCCAATGCCTAGAATTGCACCCAATAAATATAAGCAGCGGAAGAGAAGTATCAGAATTGAGAAAACTTACATTTTCAAAGTATGTCAAAAGAGTCTTCAAACCATATGTTTGGTGCAAGTAAGATGCAACCCTGATCTGCTGCATGGACGCTTCATCCGGTAATGTGGGAACCATCCCAAATCTAATAGGTATCTTTCTAGTAATAAACATTTGAAGCTGCGACACAAGCATCCGTAGGTCTGTCCGATCGGCCAAGTTTAAAAGAACGATTACATTATTAACATCGCGGCGGGCTTGAGGGAATTGACCTGGATACGTTCGCTGAAGAAGCTAGAAAAGCAATCAGTAAGGGAGGAACAGCGTGTTCAAAAGAGTACCCATACCGCAGCCAATCCACGAGACCAGTTCGAATATCTCCTATCCTTCTCCAGGTCATTGAGCCAGATAATCACACCCCCACCTTCTGTCTCGTCCCTGTAGTCGTACCGTGGGGCTTCCTCAGTCGCCTGAGATCTCGCGACGACCGGATGAGCGAGTAACTTCACGACATCCCCAGCAGATAGGTCAAGCTCACGAAAATTGTTAATCACCTTCCGTTCATAGCGTAAATGGTTCAGCAGTGAGAATGCATTAGTTCGGCGAGGATCCAATTGAACGCCGTTGATCCACATGACGTTATAGCCGGCGGGGAGCATATGTGCCTGGTTATTCGCCAATTCAACAAGAAATTCAGTAGTAGCGTTGGTATTCGCAATAATAGAGGAGTGACGGGGGAAATCTTGAGATAGCTTCAACAGCGTCTCGAACGGATCCTCGCTGTTCATAATAAAACTGGCGGCATTGATTCCAAGTGTCGAGACTTCCGATGCAGACAAAGGCTTCAGGTCAGCCGGAGACTCTTCCTTCAAGTCCTTAGCCGTTCCGTGCGTAGCCTTCGCTTTCTCTGAGCTTGAACTCGAGCTAGAACTACTCTGCTCCGCATCTCGATCATCGATTACAATATAATCCGTCCGTTTCAAGGCCAGTTCGACGCCATAGCCACTCACAAAGAGCCGGTTGGCATGGCCCAACGAAGAGGGACGGTATCGCACTCTGTAGGAAAACTCTCCCTCCACAGCCCTTTTGCTTAACTCCTTATGAAAATCACCAAACAGAGGAGAGGAGATATCAGCATACAGAACCAGCGGTTGATCACCACCGCCGAGCACACGATCAAAAGGTAAAACATGATCATCCCTAATATCAGAGCAAAAAAAAAATCCATCAGCATTGTTCATTAATACACTACTCAAACTCCCGAACTCACGCACTGGTCTCCAGAAACACTTTGCTGTGCATGCTTCAAGCTCGGCGAGCAATGCTGCTTCCCACCATAATGCGCCCAAACCTGACACACCGCATCCTGAGCGACCATCAACGATTGCTCCACAGAGGTATTATAGTACTGGTAATGTGCTTGTATTCTCGGTGCCGTCGAGCGAAGCGACATGGCGAGCTTAAACGACGACAACGCATCCGGATCACGTATATGTCCTTCATCCCGCAAGACACGTAGAAATTGGTCGTATAAATCCTTATCCGTCCGAGATTCCGCAAAGGCTCCGTCTGCGATACGGTCAAGGAGGGGGAAATAGCTGGTGGAGTTTTCTTCGGCGGCTGTCTCCCTGTCGTCAGTTAGATTATTATTCGACGTCCCTATGCTACATCTTCGCTCGGGGAGTAAGCTTCAAGAGGATATACCTACAATAACTCCAGAAGGTACGGTGGAGAGCTAAACGAAGCGCTCAAGGCCACGTTCACCGAACGGCTTGCCTGGACAGCAGGGGGAAGCAATAACGCTCCCAGAAAAAGGCCCAATTGCCATGGTAACGAGGCTGCCTTAAATGGCATAATGTGCCAGTGTCGTCTACGTCCAGACTTATTTCATAGGAAGCTAGGACAAAGCTCGAGTTGGGCTCACCAGGAGCAAGTTCGATAAGCCCGCGAGATCAGAGGGGCAGAACATTCACTGATTTTGAGGGACAATTCATATTCGATAAGAGACCTAGTGTTCGTAATTGAAGTGACTGAATGTGCTGTAAGCTACCTAGCCCACCAGACTTCCTAAAATCGCGCTTCCGACAGCGAGGCTGGACACGAAGCGACTGTCAACTGTTATGGGAGCACCTGGCGTCTGTTCCGGCCACATGTTGGTTTCGGTCAGCACTTTGGGTATTAATGGTGTACCGTAGTCATCTCTCACGCTTCTGATCAAGAGGACGACGGAAATCATCACACCAAACGCGACATATAACACTGGAATACGGGAATATTGGTAAAAGCGCATCAGATCTAGGCTACATTGTTTAAAGAAGGTTCATCAAGCGAATCATTCACGTATCATTCACACTGCAGACATATCAAAGATACATCAACATCGGCATCTCAAGTCATCACAGGTAGCTCGGTAACAGACATCTTTAACTAACACACAATAAAACATGGTGGAATAAGGGTTTCATACAATGTGCCAGAATCCAAACGAAGAAAGATGAAGCGGGGACCCTCAAAATAAGGCGTACGCAGTGGCAGTAAAGGAAAAGCAGACCACCCATCGCCGTCAGCGAAAGCGCCCAAAAGGATACAGTTTTGCTTTGCCTTTTTTTTTTTTTTTTTACGCTCGTGAGAGCCACATCCATCTTCGAGGTGATATTCAATCCGATACCGTGCGCCAGATTTCTCCGTAAACAGCATTTGCAGTGGGCTTATTGAACAGCGGATAACTCAACAGTTCCTCACCAAAATACAATTCAAAATGAAACGACGCGTACGATAAAAAGAAAAAGGTCAAGCATGAAGAATTTGTTGGAAGACTCCGAAAAACGCCGATATCATCATATACTCATAATACTCATTTCCTGAAGTGAATCGTGTTTCGCTCATGAATTGCTGATCCGACGGGCATGTTCGAGCTTGTCGGCATTCTTCGCCTCCCACTCCATTCTGCGCTGTTTGAACTCTTCTGGATCAAAAGGCGGATCACTGTCCGAACTGCCGGAGTGACGCTTCTCTTTGTCCTTGAGGAGACCGGATCGCATTTTTTTGAGGCCCTTGGACGCCTTCTTTTCTTCCTTTGCCGACTCCCCCAGGTCACCACGCGATTTGATCTTGCGAATTTCTTTGGCAATTCTTTCCAGTGTTGTTCCGCCATGTTTGGACTTAGCTGAGGTGGGAGACTGGGGAAGCGGTTTGTTGAGGAGCTTGCTATTGTGGCTAGTGATGCTGCTGCTTGTGGATGGTCTGTCGACAGACATAAAACTGATCCCGGAATCAACCTTTCTTCCCTTGTGTTTCCTTTCGAATGGTGGCTCCTCGAAATATTGTCGGCTTGTAACGTCAGCGCATTCGTCAATGATTGCAGTAGCTGCACGAAGGTATTTATCGATATACTCTTGGGCGACAGGCCATCCGGTAGCATCGCCGGGACGCATATCCTGTTGAATCATTGGCTCAAGAACCCGCTTTCCCCGCTTTCCAACATCCAGGATGAGGTCAAAGAAGCCGTTTCTCTGGTCGTTGAGGATTTTCGAATTGAGATGAGAAGTAGGCGGGGTGCCGACGATCGGTGGGAACAAGGTATTGAGCATGGCAATACAGTTAGCCTTGTTAAACGGCTCGAGCAGCATTTCGTTGATCAAAGTCTAAATCAGCAATGTCAGCTTAGGAGAGTCGAAACCAGACGCGGACGAATTCCGCCACGCAGGTAAATCGCTTTTGCACTCACCCAGCGACGAAGGCGTATGTAAACTTGAGTATACAGTGCAGCAGCAACTCTTTCTTTGCATTCCATGGCGTCAATCCATGTGAGCACACCAGGATAGCGCTTTGAAAGATCCTGCTTTTCTCCTTCGGCCCCAGTAATGCCCAGTCTGTGCAAGGCGTCCATGACCCCCTTTCTTCTGCGATTCTCGAGGTCCCGAAGGTAATCCAAAGCTGTCAAAGCCTGAGGAAAGTCAACCTCTTCAACGACCGGCGGAAAGCATCGACGAACAAAGGACGTAATGAAGGTGGGCGGAAGCGAGCACGGCTGCGAGGGCAACTGCGAGATCTGGGACATCAGCTGTGCCTTGAACATCGCGGCAGTATCAGACACGTTCGGCACGTTCTGCTTGTCGTTGCTGGTCCTGGCGGCCGGAAACGCGTTGCCCTGAGCTTCGCGAGAGAATGCCGAGCTGGGCGGGACTAACGGCGGCGAGAGAGCGGGAGGCTGGGCGATTGAAGTCGAATTCAATGTGTACATAGTTCGAAGGGGGATCTCATAGTTTCCGGGATACGCAAGCAGGTGTTCCAGGATCCAAGGCAGAGCTGCGCCTTCGTTTGGATTCGAAGAGATGCTGCGATGACGGGTGTGGTCTAGGTGACTGTCCATTTTGGCTACTAATGAAGCGAGAACAACAGGTTGCAGAGGGTTAAAGAACGAACAGCAGCATCAAGTTGGCAGAAGCAGACAAAGCAGAGGAAGGGAGAAGGACAAAGAAAGAGGCGGAAAGTAGCGTTAGTGGTTGAGTTGACAGGGCTGTTTGGTGGTTTGTGATGTTTATTTATCTGATCAAAGGAGAGAATGTGGGACAAAACAAGTGTGTTGAATTTCTGCAGGGCTTCCGGAAGTGTTTATTTTGGTCTGCAGCGAGGCTTGAATAACACCTTGTGCTTTTCTCTTAGGGTCCCGACCTGTAGAGATTGCTGTCCACTGCTGAAAAAAAAAGAGAAAAAAGCAAATGAGACAAGATGAGAGAAGCTAGCCAGGGAGCTGGTGGCGAGCAATTGAGTCACAAGAGAAGGAATGCCACAGGGGAAGAAGAACACCAGATCCTTTCAATCAAGTGAGGCGATATTTAGAGGGACTGTCTGAGAGCGATTGTCCGTGAGGGAGTGAGGGAAAAAAAATGGAATATGATATCTGCCGTCCGTCTCTCCCACTCTGTGTCTGTCTACCTTTTGTCGTTGCAACTGCCCACCAATGAGCTGGAGGAAGATGCAAACGGCCTTTTCCGTCCCGAAGATCCCTCCTCTTTCTCCTCCTCGCTGCTCGCTAGGCTTGGTTACTTATCTCTCCGGCGAAATAAACCCACCTCCGAACTAGGATCTCGCTTCGGCTTGGGGATGTTCTTGAAGCTCAACGCTAAAACACGAACCAGGGAACCGGCTCACATTTCCACTGATCCCACAAGGAACAGGAAGTCAAATCTCCACCAGCTGCGCTGCGCCATACGGAGTACCGAGTACATAAATACTTATGTCGTGAGTTCCCCCAGCTCACCGTCTGCCCCTAACTCCGGTGACAGAGAGGACACAGGACGCGTTACCGGAAACCTAGGGAAGAGGAACTGGAAGACCTCCCTTTTTTTTTTTTTTTTTCCCCCTTGAGAATATCACATCGTACAGTAGTTACTGCGTACAGGTGCAGCTCGAGTCCAAATCCAGCTCTATTTCAAAACGCGCGGCGCCTGCAGTCACAATGCAGCTTGCTCGACACTAAGGTCCAGGCCAGGCCCAATAATCGCAGACCGTTCCGCGTGCCGGCCTTCAAGGCAATTTAGCTTGCACCACACCGGCCAGATGCTGTTGGTGCAGCGAATCGCCATCCCTGATCGTTAATGGGGGCCTATCAAACACCGCACAAATAGGGCTGCGAGCCGCCAGTGGGACCTGAGATAAATCGCTCGCTTTTCTCTCTCGCGGTGGATATATATGGTGGGTGGTACGGAGTACTCCATACTCCCTATTGCGTGTCCCCAAAGTCACTTCTGAGGAATCCAAATTTCTTTCCTTTTTCCCCGAAGATACGGAAAAGGCTGTCAATGCCTGTTTTGAGGATGCGAGCCTCTTTTTTTCCCCCTCTTCAGCTGTGACTGTCACCCCTCGGTATGTTGCCTATCACTATGGCTGGGCGTATGAGGTGCTGAGGCCTCGGGCGCATGTTCTCACCAAAAAAGTGACCAAAATGTGAGCCCCAAAGTACTCCGCTATCCGTCCGCCCTTTTGCCTCCCCCCTTCTTGTATTTCCCTAGAAAAGCACACGACAGTAAAGTGTTACAGTGTGACACAGAAAATATCTGTCCCTTGCAGATGATGGAGCAACATTGAGTCGTACTTCTACGACGAAAGACGAAAAGACCAGCTCAGGGGCGCAAGGAAATTATCTAATGTGGCCAGAGTGCACACCAGGACCAGAGAGGGGTGTTTCCAGAAACCAGATTGCTGGGAAGATCAAAGCTATCTGGCTTGCGCATCCTCTGACCTGAAACGACCTTGCCACCACCACCGCCGCCGCCGCCAAAGATTTGATGGATCTCAAAGATCGACTTCTGGCCCAATGAAGGCCTTTCCACAGCTTGGCCACTAACAAATCAAGTTGCACTCATCAGTAATGTATGTATTGTATGCAGTGCTGTGGAGAATTTTTGTTCGAACCGCTTGCTAGATTCCGCCAATTGCGGATCGTTCGACAGGAAACCGGAACCCTCCCACCACTGACAACTTCCGCTGGCTCAAGTCTCCAGAATGGATCAACGCAAATCAATGCATTCAATCCGCTCGCCACACAGATCGGAAGAGCTTTAAGGATGGATGTTGATGCAAGTCGGAAGGCGAGGTGCCTACATTGGTGCCAAAGAAGGAAAAAATGTGTCCGGGACACATGCCGATAGCTATGGAATAAGAGCTTGCGATTCCATCGTAATCAATGCCGTCATGATGTGCGTGATAGGGCTGCCTACAGCAACATGTTCAATAAAGCGGCTACCGGCATCGCCGCAGGTCTGCTTCTCAACTCATTCCTCCGAGTCAACATAGTGACACAACAGGTCGCAGGTCTTCACCTGTCATAAATCCTATGCATGGCCACATTCACGGCAGGCATCTAATGTCATTTGCCTTTTTAAAATGCAATAAAAAATTGATAATCTTCTGCGGTATGATGAGATGCAACAACCTTTCCTACAAGCGGACTATTTGGAAAATGTTACATGAATATTTTTATGGCCCAAAAATTTCTACTGCTTGTCAAACCAGTGGCGGGAATTGGCAATAGAATACTCAATGCGTCCAAATGCAGATAAATATAAGCAGTAAATGTGTTCATTGAGAGCAACCGATATCTGACTCCACGATACAAGGACTGCAAAGCCTTTCCCTGCCCGCTATCTACCTTGGATCGTCAAGCTTTGCTTAGTCGGGTGAGTGCCCAAAGACGCTCTGAGCTATTAATATACCAGGCCCGTGCCCACCATCCCGAAGATATTTTGCGCGGAACAGGCATTCCGAGGGCCAGAACAGACGACGAATTATTAATTCCCTTGCAGGTGTCTGATCAAGAGTTAACTTTCAAACTGAGAGACAAATCATTTTGATGATTGGCGGCAACAACAAAAAAAGAAAAAAAAAAGAAAAAAAAAAGAAAAAAAAAAAGTTACGAAGGAAAAACCACAATGACTTGTGGTGCTGTGACGCCGCCATGCCCGTTCATGGCTCCATCAGTACCAGGTCTCTGTCAACAATCCACCCAATCATGTCGGTGACCCAGAGCAAGCATTATCCAAGCAACAGTGAATTTTGCCCAAACTCTTATCATGAAACACGCTTTCCAACGGCTTTTCGTCGATCACGATCTTCAACCATCACTCTTTCTCGCATGCCCTGAATCCATCAACCAGAGATCCGGAGTGTGACCGAGTTCAACGCGGACGAAAAGCTTAAGTTTATCTGCACTGTATGAGCTTAAAGAAAACTTGCTGTCATGGATGCTTCGATGACAGTTAACAATAGTTTTAGGTGGCTAACATCTCCAAGTGCCAACTCTGAACTTCGGAAGCGTCCAAGAACTACAAAGAGCTGGGACCGTTCATTCTGACGATTGAATTGATCTCACACGGTTCAACATGGCAGCAGGACCGCATACATTTGGTGAGAATGAGTCCATTATCCTTGAATTTGCACATGTGGTCTGCTTTCCTTCCACCCGCCGGGCAACCCTGCTATGCATTTTGCCGGCGGAATCCACTTCACAGAGTCGGATGCCCATCCTGCCAGAGATTGCATTCATGGCCATGATACCTCCAAAATATTTTGCAGACGATCCATCTAACTGAGAATCGACAGTTGTTGCTGATGTCTTTGCATCGGAAAGGTTAATTACAACTTTTCCTTCTTTTCGTCGTGGATTACTTTATATTCCCCCCAACCAAGTGCAGCTTTGTATCAGAAGAAGAGAATATCCTACCCACTATAGGGAATAAATACCCAGATATTCTTATGTTTGATCGTTTAACATCGAATTCGCTCTAACCACCAGAATAGATATCTCGGCAATCAACTTGCCATCGTCAGCATTCGTAGCAACGCGCTCACTTATCAACAAAAAAGACAGATCGCCAAAGAATTCAATCATTCAACGACAGCATTCCTCCATGATAGCCCTCACCCATATCAACCGCGCAAACTCGAACTGTTCAGCTCCAAAGGTGAACGGCATTTCGCCGCTGATGCCGTCCTAGGAACGGCTCAGTATATTTTCCAATGCCTAGCGACAAACGAAGATGCCACCGCTCTTCCCAGTCCTAACATCGCCTCTGGGAGTAAACCCGGAGCGAAACTATCCAAATGTGCTTTGCAGACAAAATCAGGCGCGATCCATGCATTCTTCGACCCGGCAAGACAAGTCACTGCCATCGAAGTCCCCTTCGACATCCACGTCCATGCCAAAGAGACGTCGAAAGACGAAATTCTCGCCGTGCAGCGCAAACTCGGCACAAGTCCGCAGATAGATAAAATGAAAGCATCATACTCGGTCGTATCTATTTACGAAGGTGTAACATTCACCCTGGTCGACTTCACCAATTGCCCCACCCTGATTAGCCTCCTCCAGCCAAGCGAAGCCCCGGAGCCGAACCTCGACGCTGGATGGAGAGCAGCACCAGTGGGAGATGATGGTGGCGGTGATTCTCCATCGCCATCTTCTTTCTACGGCGCGGTATATTTTATCCAACTCCAAACCGATTTCACCGAAGAACCGTACATTACCAGGTTAGAAGCCCGTGTCATCGCTGACGGGGTGGAAGAAGCGGCTAGCGCGAGCGGATGCTGTGCGCTGGCGGCACATCTAGCGATGCAGAAGGGTGGGAAGAATTCGAGACATGCGTATGCCATTGAGCAAGGGATCGAAATGGGGCGGAAGAGCCAACTTTGCATTGAAGTGAGATTGAACGAGCAAGGTTCGGGGGTGTCGAGGATTACACTTTCGGGGAGGGCGACAATGGTGATGGAGGGGAAGCTATTGTAATGTTTAAGGGAGACGTTGACTGCGGCTCTTTTGCCCTCTTGTTTTTCATTGCTTTTCGGAGCTGTGTCACGATCAATCTACTGGGTTCGCATTTTACATCAAATTCAGGGCAAATTGGTCCATATATACTAAGTTACCCCCTCTCATTGCCAATCACAAATTTCACCTAGATGCTCTACATACACAGATGTTTGGCTGTAGACCTCTTTGCTTTCAAAGCTTCTATTACACTAGTGCTGTGATAATTCACACCGTCGATAGTTCATGGGCCTTTTTGAGACCCTCACCTTGAGCAGTCTATTACTGCTGGAGCACAGAAGCCTGAATAAAATCATCTAATATCTTTTTTTTGAATGATGCGGCTATGAAAAGGCTAAACAATACTTGTAACCGGCCAGGGAAGAAGGGGAAAAAAAAAAAAAAAAGGCTATATCTATCCTTTTCTAATCAGATAAGAGAAACTCATTTCGGCAAATGACTCGTGCTCTCGTCATGACCACCTATCTAAGCAGCAACTCCATTCTGAGGACCGTCCACAACACCGCGAACGCCTCCCTTCGCACCCACCTCCCTAGCAGTTACTTGCATGACTAAATGCTCGTTAACACTGATCATCACTTCCACTTTACCATTAGCTTTAACTCCCTTAATAGCAAACTCCGCGATCGGCTTGGATACATTCCACACAATTTCACGGATATCTTCTTCCTCTTCCTCGCTCTCATCGTCAGAGTCAACGTCCGAGTCTTCCTCGGGTCCAGCGGGCTTGGGTTTGGGTTCAGGCTTGATGACTTTGATGTCGCGAGCACCTTCGCAGACGCGAATGATGACATCGCCCCCATCCTTGGGAACGGCGTATTGCGCAGTGCGGCGGGCGGGAAGGGCAGTCTCAGCGCTAAGAAGCGGCTTGAAAATTGCCGTGGATTCAGCACTTTGATCGGCTGAGACGAGTTGCACGCCAATTGCTTTTTCAAGGTGGGGAGCGACAGTGACCATAGGATGCGTGGACTGCTCAATGTCTTCCTTCTCAAACTCTTCTATTAGTGAAGCTTGGATGGCGGCTCCGCGAGCAGCGAGGTCCGAGGGGTTAATTGCGGTGGGAGAGGTAGATGGCGAGAGGACTGTAGTTGAGGGAGAGAAGAGAGACTGTACGAGACGAGCGATCTTTGGAATGTGGGAAGTTCCACCGCAAAGAATAACCTATCATATTTTAGTTTCAAGCGCTGTAGAATTGGGTGTATCTAAAACAAACCTCGTCAATGTCCAGCACATCCAACTCAGCTTTTTTGATTGCTTGTTCAATCAGCTGAGTAAAGCTGCTAAAGACCTTGCCGGACAACAACTCGAATCTCGTTCGATTTACAGTAGAACTGAAGTCGATACCGCTGGCCAGGCTTTCAATGCTGAGCGCTGCGGTGGTTCCAAGGCTCAAAGCTTTCTTTGTGACCTCCGCCTCAAGTTTCATTTTCGCCAAACTGCGCTCGTTCTCACGCGGGTCGGTTTTATGCTTCTTGATAAATTCCTTCGCAAAGTGATCGATAAGGATTTGATCCAACTGGGCACCTCCAAGCTCAGGGTCATGGACGGTAGCCAAGACAGTGTACATCCCTCCCCTTGAAGCAATGATGGCGATATCCGATCTAGTCCCACCGAAATCCGCAACAACAACTAACTTATCCTTGACTTGTGCCTCGGGTATCGCGTCGTACGCCAATAAGGCTGCAACTGGTTCATGAACAAATTGAATAACATCGACGCCAGCTTCCTTCGCTGCTACTTTCAAGGCGGTGCGCTGCGCTTCAGAGAAGTCTGTGGGAACGGTGACAACAGCAGCGTTAACATCTTTTCCGAGAAAATCAGAGGCAGACTGCTTCAGCCGTCGCAAATGGCGGGTAGTGATCTCGGAAACAGTAATAGTGTTGGGTTCCTCGGCGGCTGTATCGCGGACGGTGAACGCAACGGACGAATCATGCAATTGAGGATGCGCAGAAGCGTGAGCAGGAGTCGGATCTATAGATTTAAAACTGAATGGAGACACGGCTTAGCGTATATTCGTGGCTATACCACGGGCGGGTTGATGCCCCCCGCCCCGGCCGGGGGGACGTACTCTTTTCCTAGATAATCTCTGAAATATGCAATGGTATTTTTTGGATTCCGCACTAGTTGAGCCTTTGCCTGTGCACCGTGGTATTCTTCACCCTCGACATAGGACAAGACAGAAGGGATATGGCGATCTACCAAGTCACTGTTAATCGAGCAATTCTTTCGAGGTACTGGTGCAGGGTAACCGACCTCCTTCTTCGTTGGCGATAACCTGAGGTTTTCCTTCCTACGAAAACAAGGCTAGTTAGAGCCGCCCTTTCAGACACTTGTGGAAACAGAATATATCTGTTCTCACCGGTGAGATATGAGCTATGGAGCTGTTCGAGTTTCCGAAGGAGATACCGATGGCGTATCTCTCCGTTGTCTCGGCAGCAACGCCGTTAGGCTGGTCGCTCATGGTGCAATGAAAATTATAAGGACCCCCAAAGGTTCGGCCAGGAAACTTGAGGTGAAAACCCGTCTTAGCGGAGGCAAACCAGCGACAGTTCGTGTCTTTTTGCTTGCCAGCAATTTCTCGATCGCGAAAATCCAAAAAAGTTGAGGCTCGCGTCAACTTGCCGGTGTGCGTTATCGATAAGATCTTCGGCTAAACCTTCTAGTTTTAACTTCAAGGCTGAGCTTATCTTTGCACCATCGTCGCCAGCTTCGCGGCCGGCCGTGGTCGTTGTCTGTTCGGAGCATAGATCCCCCTCGTTAATACGAAATGTGAACATCGAATATTCCATCGTCTACCTGGGAAGATTCTATGCTATTGACTATGACCGAGCTAAAGCACAAGTATCATCCTGAACTTGTCTTCGAAAGGAAAAACAAAGATCTTAAAAAGCTACCAAAATGTAACCTGAACTCCCAAAAATAAGGCGTTGAAGGATTTGAGATAGATTTCTCTTTGCACAGCACGGGTACTAATTTTTTGTTTTAATTTTAATATTCAGATGTCCGGGTTGAAAAGCGTCCTATTCCCCATCCCCCTGCAGCCTCCCCTTACGCCGGCTCTAAGGTGCCGAAGATCGTCTATGTTTCGACTAAGACACCCTTCATGAGCGCAGCAAAACGCGTTCAAAAACTCTTGCGAGAAGTTGAAAAGCGCGCTATGTCCAAGATCGACCTCCATGATAGCAAGACAGGCGAGAAAGCTAAGGTAACCCAGCTGAAAGAAAGTAGCCAGGCCCTGCAAAAAGAGGAGGTATTCATCAAAGCTACTGGTCGGGCTATTAAAAAGGCTATGGACATTGGCAAATGGTTCGGCGAGAAGGAAGGGTATAGCATCACTGTGAAGACAGGGACGGTCTTAGTAGTCGACGATATCGTTGAGGATGAAGGCCTGAAGAAAAAGGAGCTGAGCAAGAGAGCAAAGCCGGAGCAGTTTAAGAGCAATGTTCAAGACAATAATATGGAGGTGAATTCTTTTGCAGAAATTGCCCGGACGGCAGGCCCAGCGCTACCCGATGTGCACACAATGCACAGCCCAAAACAAAACGGAAAGAGGAAGAGGCTTGATGCAGATGACGACTTGCCTGAATCGCGCACCCGCTGGGTTAATGTTGTGGAAATCGCTGTAACTTTGAAGTGAAGCCAGAACTCCAGCCCTGCCTCTCCAGCCCTGCCTTGCTCAATTGTGATCGGATAGATACCTCCTTGAGACGACGGCCATCCGGCCCCGCATATATCAGCCGACCCTACCCTCTATGGATTTTGACCCCGTACTTCAATTCAGCCTCCGTTGAGACATTGTTAGTTGGGAAAGTGAAAGCATGGGCGAAATATCCGTTCCAGGTTGATATTGGTGCCCCAGTTTTTACCAATATGCTTTCTTATTTGGCGTTGGAGCCATTTATGCTCCCATGGCTGCCGCAATCTGGGACCCTGGCCAAAGGATATGGTACAGAAAATACAAATTTCCCCCGAAACAATGTGCAGTGGCTTATAGAAAAGACCAATGTCGAAACGACGAGGTCTCAGTGTTTGAGCCACTCCGTACATTAAATTCAAATTGTGTTTTGGTCCACCTGGTGTAAGATATTGAGATTTGCTCTTCTGTGATCAATGCTTTCAGACGGATTAGGTGGCCACTATCGGAGCAAGTGTCTCAAGAAGTATGAGGGACAGTACCATAACCTGAGCACGGGGGCAAGATCCCAGCAACTTCTTCCAATGGTGATATACATCCTTTGTCGATTGGTCAGTCCACAGTTCCCGTTCTTAGCCAGTTCGTTAAAAGATGGATGTAAACTGGAACACGACGCGGGATGGTTTTCTGCCTGAGAAGCAGGACTATCGGCTGGATTCACCGTTTGCTTGCCGCCGTTGATTCTAGATATCTGAGCTAGTCCTAATAAAGTTTAGCTTTGCGAACAATGACTGATGTCATCCAGGGACCGAGCCGCCTGACGGGAAGCTGACATGAGGCTGGCAACCCGAATCGTGTCTCAGCCGCATGAGCACCCAGAGAGCTATGGTGTCTCGCTCGTACATCATAGATATGAGATGATGAAGACTCAAAGGAGGAGTCGAAGCTCAAAGCTATGGATCCCACCCTGCTCGAAACTCTAACCGCAGAAGATCTCGCTCCGCCAACCCCCCCCCCTTCCTACGAAGAATCCGCGTCTGGCCCAGCATCGCGCGTAGCCTCCGGCCCCAAAACATTCAATCTTACAATCGATAGAACTGCTATTAACACTGTTGGCTATTCCTCTGCTAACGAAACGAATCTTACTTATCGACTATCCCATGAGCTAGACACTGGCCACAGTACTATCGCAATATCCCGTTTCGCCCCCTTCACTAACTCACCAGAGTTCGCCGGCAGACGGGACAAGCACATCTACTCTTTCACCCAATCTCTATTCTCCACAACCGTCGAAATCATCGGGAAGCGTCGCAGCACACTCCCTGGGACCCTATATCTCCGGCTGAATCACTCGTTCCTAAAACAGAGTTGGGAAGTATGCCATCGTCCTCCCACAAGCGATCGGAGCACACTTCTGTTCCGTACCCGGCCCACCAGAAATCCGCACAAGGTGGATAAACTTCAGTGGGAAGATGCGGAGAGACAGCTTGTTGCCGTGGAGACGCAATGGTGTGCGAATGATGGATCAAAGCCAGGCCTACATGTGGTGAAGAACTTGGGGGACAAGTTGGTGGATGTGCTGGTTACTGGATGGTGCGCGAAGATTTGGAACGGGTGGCAGATGTCGATTGCGGAAGCGAGAGAAAAGGAATTGGATTCTTGTATGTTCTACTCTTGCTCCTATTTCTCACGGCATGTGACCCTTTTAGGAGTTCTGACATTTTGCTTTTATAGTTCGTCGAAAAATGGCATATGGAGGCCAGATGTTTTCTATCCGTGATTCGAATCCCGGGACCAGCCTTTGGTCTCTCTGATAAAAGCAGAGATATCCAGTATCTACGTTATTCTTGTTGCATCTAGTGGGGTTAGCATTCACAAAGGAAAGCCAACTGCTTGTGTACAAAAGTTGGACTGTGAGGTGAAAATGATGTTCAAAAGAGATCATTTATGTTTTATGAACACTTTTGTATATGAATGAACGCATTCGATATAACCCAATTTTCGCCAACAATACCTTTATCCTTGATGGTATATTGAACCGCAGGCCGCCTGTATTCACAACTCCATAGAACTCCAAAAAAACGTATTAGTATAACTCGACAAGGGAAGCGATGCGAGTACAATGGTCACCGTCAGTAGGAAGCTGCTGGGTATCAGGCTCCAAGTCCCATCTGCTTAAGGACCCTCGAAACCAGCTTCTTCTGCTCCCCAACCTCCAAATTCTCTTCATCCACCTCTCTCAGACACCTGCCAACCGCGACAATCATTTTAATCCCTTCTTCTCCACCAGCCGAACTGTCCACCCATACTCTTCCATTCTTTCCCACGGCAATCTCGAACCCCCCAAGCGATTCAAGTTTCTTTCCCAGCTCCTCCAACACTACGACACCTCCACTTCCTCCCGGAGACATCAATCTCCCCGCCAAACCCACCGAAACGTCAAACACCATTCCGCCATTCAGAGGCCCAAGCCCACCCGGCTCTGCCTTGCCTGTCGCGGGATTCACACATGTTAACTCAATTTCAGCGCCTGGCCCCAAGCCGACCGACAGCACACGCGCATACACTAATTCGCCACTTTTCAACTGTGGGCGCGTTTTCCGCGTGGCGCCCTCGAAAGCTAACTGTGGGAGGAAAACATGCGGCGTGTGCGGGGAGAGGGTGCAATGAAAATAATCGGCACTTGAGTGGTGGATTTGAGCGATAACAAGATCGCTGGGCTGCGGGATGTAGCGGCGGCGTGGAAAGGTGAGAATATTAACGGAATTACGCTTGGGATCTTGGAGTAGAAGGCCAGCCTGGGTGCTTGTGATCGGGATGGGTGATGTGGCGTGTGATAAGACGTGGAGGTTTTGGCCGAGTTTGAGAGAGTTGTTACTGGCGGTTTTGAGGTGGCTTGGGACCGTGTCTCCCGGTAGGAGAATTAACGGAGCCGACATGGTGCTTCCGGGAGTCGCTAATGCAGAGGATTCTTCATTAGAGCCCGTGAGTGCTCCACAGCCGTTCACTTCGTGGAGTCCAATTCGCGTCGGTCGTTCGCTTTGTTGCAGGTGAGGAAATTTCAAGAGGGATCTTATCGATAAGTAGCCGTCACGTGGGGCGCTGCAGCGAAGTACGGCGCCTAAAATGGGCCAGTCCGCCAGGATTCGTAATTGACTAGTAAAGTATAATGCCACCATGAGAACTTATCCCAACAGGCCAATCGGCGTTCAGCGATGCGGAGAGCAGCTCTCTATGAGGATTCATGGGAAGTGTAAATAGAGGATCATGGAAGGTTCAATGTCTTAAACCTCTATAGTCTTATCCCTACCGGGGGGTGGAATAGGTACTTAGTTATAAAGTATTTCAGCTATGCAATGTGTATGTTGAATCTATACTCCGTACATCTTTCTAAATCTCAGTCAATAGCATACATTGAATCTCGTAAGTAGTTGATCAGCGCCGAGAAACCTACTCTGTACTCTGTACGGAGTAAACTATTTAGTAGTTGTGTTGTGTGAAGTGACAGAAGCTATGAGAAATCAACAGACTGGCTGAATGAACCTCTCGAGCTAACTCATTCTTCAGTTCAACCCGGTAGGTGAGTTGTGACGAGAGACAGCGCTCTGCTCAGCGCTGGAGGTTAAACCCGAGACTCGCGTGGCTGGGAAATATCGACATCGTCGCATTTCCTCCATTACCTCAACTTTCATTGAGCGTATTCAGCCCTATGTACGGAGTCCGGGGTACGGAAGCTGAAGGCCCAGCTGGGGACGAGGGGAATAACTTTTTGATATGATTTTTGCCATGCAGAATCTATTTTAAAATATTGAAAGTTATCGGATAGGCCTGCTTTGCTTCAACAAATAGACGGAGTACGCTAACAGCTGCGGTACCAATTTTGGGCGTCAATGCAGAGATGCAAACCTCCGGCCATGTCCTGTCGACCTGCATATCTCCACATCTGAAGTCTGCAAAAGGAAATGCGTCTTGCATATCCCGTACCTCCTTAGTGCTAGTCAAATTTGAATGGGCGGTACCTCGCGTGGAGCCGGTTGACTACCCATAACAGCAGGGTGGTGTGGGTGGATGTAGGAGAGAGGAACATGGCGCACCTCATTCCTCCATAGAGCATCCAGGCCTTGGATCCGATTTCAAAAATAAAAATATCAAATTACAAATTCCAGGGCCTCCGACTTGGTGACCAACGCCTGTGTGCTCATTGGCCCGTAACGACCCCCGTAACCAACTCGGTAACTCAACTGTGTGTGTGCGTTCTTGGAAGTTTGTTAAATTACCAATTTGCGGGCTGGCCTCCATGGGCTGCCGTGAAACTGCCTCAGCCAACGACCGAAAATAGACCCTCCGGGCGATGACGGGATGCCGGGAGAAAAGCAATTCTATGTTGCATCAACTTTACGTTTTCGCCTGCAACTATATAAAACGGCCGATTCCATTCTCTCTGAAATTGTTCCCAAATCACCCTCTTTTCTATTTTCCATCCATCGTGGCCGTTAGAGCTGGACGTCGAGTTCAGTTCACCGTCGCTTGCTCGCCATGAACTGCCCGTCCCGAACGGAGCATGATCCTGACCGCCCGGACTGGAATCAGAACCCACCGGTTCTATCTCCCGATCTCACCGCGCGGCAGGATCTCAATGGCCGTATAAACGCTACCCAATTCCGGGAGCTATCCTCTCATTTCTCGTCTCTCGGGTTCGCAGCCGGTGCCGATGAAGGCCCCGAGAAGGGACTCGACGTCCCTCCTGGCTCCAAGCACCGCCCACCCTTTGCAGATGCAAAACTTCCTCGTGATTACTACGAAGGTAGGCGTTGGTCAATGCACAGTGGGCTACTGATCTGGTGCAGGTAAATGCTGACTGAGGGTTGGTTAGAATTTTGCGCTGCAAGTCGTCAGATGCCTTACAGGGTAAAGACGTTAAAGTCCTGGTTCCATCATGGCTTGCTATGGTGGCTGCCAGCAATTTCAATGGCCGTATTCTCTGTCTACTATATGGGAGTTGTCCTCTCGACCTTCCGGCCCCGTACGTCAACCATGTCCATTCTCCTGTGTTTATTCTAACTGCTGCCTTTCTAGGGCAAAAACTAGCGACGGCCCGCGTCGTAAAGAGAGCCGAAAGCTGTCAAACTGGCAGCAGTAAACCAAACTACAGCGTTGGCCTGCATGTCGCTGCACTTGCTATCATTTTATTCGTATCCTTTGGGGCCTGTGCATTTCCAATGCTTGCGGTCAGGTTTCCACGTCTACGAATCCCGCATTCTTTCCTTTTCTTCGTGCGACATTTTGGTACCGGTGTCTTGATTGCCACAGCATTCGTCCACCTCTTGCCCACCGCTTTTGTTTCACTTGGAAACCCATGTTTATCACAATTTTGGACGGTGGACTATCCCGCAATGCCTGGCGCCATCGCTCTGGCAGCCGTCTTCCTTGTTACCACGGTAGAGATGGTTTTCAGCCCCGCTAGACATATCTGTGGTGATACCAGGGGAGTCACCCAGATGATCTGCCATCAAGATTCAACTCCTACAGGCCACCAGGGTTACGGAGCAACGGCCAGCCCCGTGGAAGCTCTGGAAGGCGGAAAATCATCCGACTCCGATCCTCATCTTCGCGGAGATTATGGAGTCCGTAGCCCTATTTCTCGTCAATCTACGGCTGAAGGGCCTGAAATGGTGACGGGGACTAACGCGGTCAACCGGGAGGGTGCTGAAAAGGACGTGCCCGATGTGCATGCTCCTATCGTTCTAACTCCCGAGCAGAGGACCCGAAAAGCGTTTTTACAATGCGTTCTCTTAGAAGTTGGAATTTTATTCCACAGTGTTTTTATTGGAATGGCGCTGAGTGTTTCCGTCGGAAACGAGTTCGTCATTCTGTTGGTTGCGATTTCATTCCACCGTAAGTCAAAGCACCATCACCAACCCCCCCCCCCCCCCCCACCAATTTTCCCCATTTTCTTTGGGACGTTCGGTACTTGTTCTGCTAACTTCCTTCGCAGAGTGTTTTGAAGGTTTGGCGCTCGGCGCGCGTATCTCAGCCCTTTCCTGGAATCCAGATGCCAAACAGCCATGGCTCATGGCTCTCGCATACGGTTGCACGTAAGTTGATGGCTTGTTACATCCGAAACGGTGATAGCAGGGAAAACTACACGAGGAAGGTGACGCTAATAGGCAACTTAGAACCCCTATTGGTCAAGCCATTGGCTTGGCTACACACTCCCTGTATGACCCCGATTCCGAAGTTGGCCTCATCATGGTTGGCACCATGAATGCAATTTCGTCGGGTCTGCTTGTTTACGCCTCTCTCGTGGAGCTTTTGGCTGAGGACTTCCTCACCGATGAAAGCTGGCGAATCCTGAGAGGGAAAAGGCGCATCTTAGCCTGTTTACTAGTCTTCCTTGGCGCATTTGGAATGAGTCTAGTTGGAGCATGGGCGTAATAAGGCCTCTTGTACAGGGATTTGGTCGAAGAATTACCCCGAGAATGGGTGGTTCTTGAGTGGGGGTACCGGAGACGAATTCAACATTCTCTCGGTGAAGTTTTGCACACGTTTTTTTACCCTCTGATTTCAGGATTGGAATCTCTTCGATGTCGGTTGGTATTGCGATTTTTTGAGCTCAGCTGCGGGCGGACGGTCCTGGAGCATGGGATGAGTCTTGCTCTATTTCGCGCAGGCGAGTGCGCTATTTGGATTCTACGTCGCGGGATATTTTCTCACTTGGGGGATTATTTGTTTTTTCTTTGCTCTTGAATTCTCGTGGATGGATGGAGTTTCTCCCCTCTCCACATACTCTCATATTTGTACATATCTCAAAGGGCCGACTGGTTATCGCATCCTTGAGACTTAATTTTTTATCCTAGTTTTCGATACGTACTGTACATCCATACCCAAGATATCTACGGAGTATACTACAGAAGCTATTTATATGAAATATGCGTTTTGAATTCTTCCGATTCGTCCCCTTTTCCTCTTCACGTGGCATGTACGGGGGATTGCGAAGATTGGGATCCATCCCATCAGACTCGCCGAATCCATGACACCCACTTTTCAAGCTGCTAACCGCATACGTGGCTATTGGTGACTAGTTACGCCGTTGGGACATACGTGGGATGAACACAAGGCCAATCCGTCGCTCCCCTTGACGGCTTGGAGAGGCCCGTTAGCCGGTATACCCACCAAAAATCATTGAGCGGATCTCGACAGGCAACTAGTTAGCCAGCTCCACGCGAAAGCCACTCCAGTGAGCTACATGACGTCAAACCACTTGTGGCTTGGTCTCCCTGTGTGAATGTGTGTTCATTCACGCCCCGGGATAAATATATTGCTAGTCTGAAGGCAATACGAACATGCTCCATTGTCCATACTAGCACTGTTTGAGCTCTGTGGGGAAATGCGTTACAGGCTCAACAGGGTTGCTGGCTCTATGGAGTACTCCGTACTCCGTACTCCAATGTATAATTGTTCAATTATCGACTAGCAAAAAATACCTATGATTTTTTCCCCATGTCTGTAGAGGTATCGGTTCTTTTCGGGTGTTCGCGCCACTGCGCAGCCAATGGCGGGTGGGGTTCCACCGTGTGTTTTCGCGAGACATCGGGGAATATCGCGATAAATTTTGCCTGAGGCAGGCACTCTGTACTGACCGGGATGTATAAACAACCAATTAGACTGCGGATCGAGTACCCCTTTTTCCTGACCGCAGGTCAATGACTTCGCGGGATCCCTATGTTTCAATACCTGTATGTATGTCTCCTGCTTAGAGTGAGGACCTTGAGGTGGTACGATGCAGATTCGAGGACAGTTTCATGGAATCGCGGGAGACGGGTCAGACAGAGTCCTTATGAAGTTCAGGGATGGTTAGGATTACCGTTGTCTCAAGCACTGCGATGTCGTGCGGGAGTTGAGAAGATCATGGTTCCACGGAGTACACCAGCCGGGATATATCACTGATCGAAGCCATTTGCAGCCTTTTCAAAATAGTCCATTAACCAAGAAAGAAGAAGCAAAGGGTGTGAAATGCCAGCACTCAAAATCGTACACAACAACTGCAAGATGTAGCAAAGAAATAGGCATGAATACATAAAAGTCCGTCACCTGCATCATGTGGAGAGCAAACCCCGGAGCACGGCAGAGTAAGATCAGGCGCAAACGTGATATTTGTAGTTACATTTCAAAAAGGGGAGCCGCTCCATGATCGACTCACTTAAGCAATGAACTCCCTCTTGCCGAAGGAAAGGCGGGTTCGTCCTCCACGCATCATCGTTGGGCGCTGACGGAGACGTCTATTGTCACCTCCTCGACCGCCTGCATTGGCTCCACCATTTGCTCCGCCATTGTTGCCTCCATTATTTCCACCGTTGTTTCCGCCATTGTTTCCGCGGTTATTTCCACCGTTGTTGCCGCCGTTGTTGCCGCCGTTGTTGCCGCCGTTGTTGCCGCCATTGTTTCCACCATTGTTGTTGTTGTTGTTGTTGTTGTTGTTGTTTCCTCGGCCGACCGTAAACTTCTGACAATCATCCTGGGCACCGCGTTGTGCAACCTAAAAAGATATTGGCCATCCCACTACATGACACTAGAAGAATGAACAAGCAGCAAGAACTTACAGGCATGATGACAGGTTGATGATTGGAAGCTGAATTCATGGTGCACACGCGATATGCACCAGCAGGCAGCCCACCCTCCACAGTAGCCTTGAGACCACCTCGACCATTGCCAGCGTCGTTGATACCTTTAAAGAACACAAACTGCTCGGGATCAGGAGGGGTTTGCGTAGCCAGATTGTTGCCAAGGGACTGAATAGTGACGTGACTGTGGCCGACAATGTTTCCGCCTTCAAGCTCCTGCGGTGCCGAGTAGTAGGTGTTATCGGGGTTGGTAAAGGAGCCAGCAACCAAGTTTGAAACTTGGAGTTCGACATCAAAGTCCTGATTTGCAGGCAGATCTTCTCCGGGTCCCGGGTTCATTATAATGGTCGAAACCATGTTATTCTTACTGGGAATATCTCCCATCACTGTTAAAAGTCAGTATAGCTTTTTTTATGGACAGTGGGAATTCATAATAGGACCAACAAACCGACTCCGTTACAAGATCCGCCCCGGATTTGAAGACCGTTGGTTAATGTCTTTCCTGTGCAGAAATTGATGAAGTTTGCGTTGTCACTGCCAACAACCTGTTAGTACGGGTAAGTCGTATTAGAATCAGCATACACATACGTGTTGGAAGCGGCCTGGCCCTCTTCTGCATTTGCATTTCCATCATTCTGGCTGCCCTTCTGGATGTTTTCTGGGTTAAGCAAGAGCTCATTCTGGTTGCCATTATTGCCGCCGTTGTTCCCACCATTGTTTCCGCCATTGTTTCCGCCATTGTTCCCGCCGTTGTTCCCGCCGTTATTGCCTCCATTGCCCCTCTGATTGCCACCGTTTTGACCACCGTTCCTCCCACCACCACCTCGGGTCTGGCCCATTACACCGCCGAGAAGGCTCGACGAGAGGAGTAGCGCAAGGGCGAAGTTCTTGGTCAACATGGTTGATAACTGACTCTCCTAGATCCACTGCGTCGAGTCCAAAGCGTTTCTGCGTTTAGTCAGGAGTTGGAAAACCCGTATTTTAATTTCTTGTTGATATTATTGTTTTTTGGAAAGGTGTTCACCAGTAACGACTCCGAAGTGTGAAAAGGAAAGAAAGAAAATAAAGAAAATAAAATCCACGATCAACGTGAACTCATTAGACAGTGGATGGTTGGAAAGAAAAGAGGGTGACTTAACATGGAATGAAAGTAACCCCTTAAGCGATTGTCTTCAACCACTGCACCGAAAGTAAGTCACAAGTTATTGATTGTGGGAAGATGCAGAAGACAAAAGAGGGAGAAAGAGAAATAGGCCAACGGACTTGGGTCATAAGTAAGAAATATTTGAAAAGCCAAACTGGTGAGACAGACCCAGCTTGCAAAGCAAAGTACTGAGGAGATGTGAGAGTGATTGCAGCGCTTTGAAACTCGACTTGACATCCTCACTGTCACAGATTACATTGAGGAGATCTGCTACCTGTGGCCCGAAGAGGTAAAGGCCATGTCATTCTTGGGAATGGGACAGCGGGGGAGGAGGAAAATTCCGGAGATTCTGCGCCGTGGAAATGCATGAATGCTGGCCTTGGCTGGTAAGCACAGAAATCACCGAGAGGTTTGACGTGAACCATCGAATGTCGCGATCGTCGAACACGCACTGCCGCACCTTGGTTTGAGCTTGAGGATCGTCAAACCGTTGGCGCGTGGGCAGGAACTTTAGCCGCGGTGGCTCATCCCCAGCATTGATATGGAAGTCGTAGCTCTCCTTTTACATAAGAATAATTCTCCAATTCCATCATCTTCTGTCGCAGGTGGTGGGATTTGGAATTGAGGAACGGTCCTGGGGTCTGGTGACGAGCCAGTACCTGGCTTTAAATTTCCCGAAGAGGCCCAGAAATAACCATATCCCTGGTAAAGACCGTCAATCTTTTCTTGGTCTGATTCAACAGTGCTTCTGGAAAATAAACAGGAAGACCAAGTTGGACGGTTGAAGCGCCATGCTGACGACGGCCAGCTGGTGGGATGTCAGGACTCACGGGGTCCCCCTGATGCACTCCTGCCAGTGGTTAACTCACTAACGTGGCTTAGTCAGTCAGTCCATCCCACGCCATGGGATCATCGTCACCAAAGCAGTAATTGTGTGAAGTTGAGAAGAAATGAAAAAAATCTGACGACATGCGACTCTGCTGAAGCATCAGGACTCCTCCAGAGTCATCCGATTTACTAATTGCAGTATCATGGCGACTTGGGTATATCCCCAGCTGCCTCCGGATCAGCTCAAGCGGGAGGAAGAAGAGTCACTGGTAACGGCTTTCATGCAGCGGCTAAGCTTAACTTCTCGACTAACGAAACATGGTTTTAGTCCCGTGAGCTCGAATGGCTTCTTCGGTCGCTGCAGGAATCTCTGGCTGCTTTGCGGGAGGGACTTCAAGAGTGTGCTGCCCTTCTTGCTCCCACGGAGCCCGGCTCTACCCTGGTGCTTTCTTCTCTCCGGTCCGAGAGCGTCAAAGGCTATGTCACGCGGGTAGGGCCGAGGATCGTGAAAGGGGTGAGTTACCTGGCGTATATCTACCTAGTGTTGCTACAGCTGTAGGATGCATCACGAAGATGTAAGATAGTATGGCTAAGTATCCTTTCTAACCGATAGGACGTTCACCTCCGACTGAACTCTTTACCTCCTCCTCGCGGCTCACATGCCACCAGACTTTGTCTTTCTACGAGTCCTACCGCCCCAGAGTTAATACTGGACCAGATTGCACTAGCGCGCCGGCACATAAATGACAGTCTCGACGTAGTGGACGTCAGCACCTTTACGGGTGATCCCATGAATGCTAACTTTATATCCGGCCAGTTACGGTTGTTGCAAGAGCACATAATGGAAGCGCGGCATGCCTTAAAGGGTGACCGCGAGGATATGAGGAAGCCTTGGAATGAAGGCAGCGCGGATGCAAATGTATTCACCTCTTCTTCCTGCTCCACCTCTCAAGCTGACCTTACAACAAGGCATTCGATCCACCGCTACCTAGTCATTTATCGTTTTACCTTAGTGTCTCCGAGGCGGCGTTAGTCCTGTACGTTCGTACACTGGAGCCACATGCCACTTCCGATATCCCAACTACCTACTTTGCTCCAGAAATCGGCCTAAGCGGCTTTTCTCTTCGAGATCGTCTGTTCGGAACCAAACATCAAAGTCATGATGAATCGGGGGATGTATTCTGCTGGAACGGCGAGGAAGTTAAAGTGAAAGAGAAGGTCAGGGTGGAAAGTCAGGACCCTAGCTTGATGGCGGCCATGGCCAAGCTCACTGCTTTAGAACATGAAGTTGCAAAGCTCAAGAAGGCGCTTGCTGTTGTAATGGGAGATGAGGAGAGCGACAGCGACTGAATAGGTATTAGTGCATCTTGAACCAAAGTTTCTTAATCATATCATGGGATCATTTGGGTTGAAAGCCTGTAGCTATAAGACCGTCCATCTTACAATATCTCTTTTGCAATAATAACCATCGTAGAACTATATAGTAGGTCTTCTGCTGTCTGCAGAGTACTCCATAATACTGGTTATATTGACGGCGGCGTTGCAGCGATTGGGGCCAGAATCTGGATCTGCGGAGTCCAGACCATGGACACAAGCCACATCGTGGCACATGCACTAAACCCGTTTTGGGCGCGCAAAGCTTGAACGATGGAGATTCAGTTCGCCGTTGCGCTTCATCTTTTTCCATTACGCTAAGGGTGACATCCTCTGGAGACATTCGACGCGCCCTTCGCTAAACTATGCTTTCTAGCCGGAGAGTCTGCACGGCTTGTTCTCCAGATCTCTTTCGTGCCCTTGCCCGTTGCTCGTTCAGCTTGGTGAGAAGCCCTGCGCTACGCTCTCTACAATCGCGGCTTGGGGTGCCGAGAGTCCTCCGTTCACATAGCTGGCTCTCCAGAGTATCATTATTAGCTTTAGGGTCACAGAATGGGCGGCACGTCGGAAGCTGTCATAGTCAACGCTTTTTCTCCTCCCCTTCCTCGGACCATGCCCCCTCCAAGAAAGCCGCCGTGTTCGCATTGCTCGATAGGATACATGCCCACCACTACGACCTCTTGGAGGATGTACATGACCTAGGGATGCTAATCAGGTTTCCCGAACTTGGCCACCTTTTTGAACTGCGCTTAACGGATGAGTTTGTCGATATCCTGGGCCATCTGAATCAAGAGACCTTAGGTGAAAGAGTCAGGCTCGCAAGGCAGCAATATGGAAATTCCCTTCCGGAGGGCGAATTAAATGAGGAAGAGATGACCCTATATACACGGCTATATGGAGAGCCAGCAACTTTGTCGGAGAGTGAGCCTCAACCTCCGGAGGAAGCGGGAAACACGCTTTTTCGGCAGAACAGCGAAGGTGAATTTGTCGAAGTGGACCTGGAGTCTGAGCTCGTAGACCCGACCGGGGAGGAAAACGCACAACCAAGTGACATCTTTCCCGTTGATAGCCCGGAGGAACTTGAAAGACGGATGTATGAGGTTGCGAAACAACTTGAAGGGGATGTAATTACCGAGTTTCCTCCAAATGACTATTCGTATGGAAACGCACAGCCTCGTGCACACCCTTTGACCGCCGCTGCCGAGTTTAGGACGTACCCTTCTACAGTGTACATGCCAACAGATACCTTTACGAAACCTATCAGGGATTTACTTTCACATCACAGCCCGAAACATATCAGCGAGGCTGCGCATAACCTATTCATGCCTTGTTTATCAAAATCCACCACTACCACCAAACGCACCCCTCAAGAGCCTATCACCTCTTCTCCATCACAACGCATCATGTCTGGAATTGAAGCTAGCCTCTTTCTTGCTGTTCTGTATCCTGGCATGTACGCGACCACTTTAAGTATATTGACGGAAGTCCGAAAGAGACTAGGGACTAAATGGTTACGCGATCTGATATATAAAGAGGGAGGCCCGACAGTACTCGACGCTGGGGCGGGTGGAGCTGGTATTTTGGCATGGAGAGACATACTCAAAGCAGAGTGGTCGCTGATGTACCCTGACCACCCTTCAGAATCCCAAGCTCCTCAGGGAAAAGCCACGGTTGTGGTTGGATCCGATTCATTGCGACATCGGACCAGCAAGCTTCTCGACAATACGACATTTATCCCACGCCTGCCGGATTATTTGCACTTGAGAGATAAGTCGGTCATCGATACGGATGCCTTGCCGCCAAAACGGAAGCAGTTTGATGTGATCATCGCACCGCATACATTGATGCATTTCCAAGAACCTTATATGCGCAAGGAATATGTTCTGAATCTTTGGTCCTTATTGAATCCGAATGGCGGTATTCTTGTTTTGGCGGAAAAGGGTATCCAACGAGGGTTTGATGTCATTGGAGGCGCTCGGGAAATGATTTTAGAGAGGTTGATCGCTTCCCCCGGATCTACCCAATATGAGAATGTCCTAGAATCTCCTGGCGATGAGGCAATCGTACAAAAGGAAAAAGGCATGATTGTTGCTCCATGTACAAACCATTCCAAATGCCCGATGTACGTTGGTCCAGATGTGCATGTCCCGAAGAGGGATTATTGTCATTTCAGTCAACGTTATATCCGCCCAGATTTTCTCCAGAAAATTTCAGGAGCCATTGGCAAAAATCATGAGGACGTTGAATTCAGCTATCTCGTCGTCCAGAGAGGAGTTGACCAACGCGAGAATCAAGGTATAATACAGGGGCCCAGTGCCGCCGATGCTGCTTTCTCCGGTTATGAAGCTTCTGTGGATAACGCAGGCCACTTTGAAATCCAAGAGCTGAGTGAAATGAATGAATCTACAACCCCACAGGTCAACACTCTCTCCCTTCCCCGACTCATTCTTCCCCCGATAAAACGCAAAGGACATGTGGTAATGGACGTGTGTACGCCCGCCGGTAAAATCGAACGCTGGGTTGTCCCTCGCTCGTTTAGCAAACAAGCATATCGCGACGCTCGCAAGTCCAAGTGGGGGGATCTCTGGGCCCTAGGTGCTAAGACACGAATGACACGCGCCTTGAAGCTAGGGACTGCGAAAAAATCGGTTATCAAGACTAAAAAGGAAGCGAGCAAATCAAAGAATAACAAGGACGACGTCGATGATGAACTCGGAATCATGGACGAAGATGGATTTGACATTCCTGATTTTGAGAGGATAATGGAGAAGTTCAACGAGCGGGGCGCCAAAGGGGGCAAAAACAAGAGGATCAGCGAGGATCAGGACAATGCGCGGGATATGAAGCCCAAGCGCCGACCATCTGACGTGACAGTGCCGACCTGGATAAAAAAGATGGAGAAAAGGAGGGCGCGAAAACTTCGGGAGAAATATAGCAAGTCTTTTTCGGAGACTTAGAGATGTGCTTGTTGCTCGGCTATTTGAATGTGCATCGCGACATGGCGTTCCAAGAGGTAGGCGAGATGGTGATGGATGTTGTGAACATGCACTGGATATTATACTTTGGGTTCTGTTCACGAGTAAAATATATTTTCAGCGTTTGTATTAATAGCGAGATCATGGACGGAGTACCATATACATAATTCCACTTATTTTACTTCGTCATCTTCGTCAACATAGGTATTGAGGGAACTATCCTCCAATCGAGACTTGAAAGATGTGCAGGAATATTCCAGTCAAATGAATCATCTGATACCATGGGTACCGCCCATTTTCATTCTTCTTGGTAAGTAAATGTTACCTTGAAGTGTTTGCAGCTTGCCTGATTGGCCCTGACCATGGATGGGCATAGAATTCGGCTGCATAGAGCCAGCGCAGAGTTCCATATACAGCAAATTCAAGTTGCATTTAGCGGCCTCCGATACGCTGTTAGAGAATACGACGACTTTCCGCCCATTTTGACCTTGTCCATTCTAAACAGTTTCCCTCATTTGATAGCTTCAAGAGTATCACCAAAACGGATCGCCTTGGCATCCGTAGAACATAACGATTAAGTCCTGTAGCTTTTTATTGGTTTATTTGATGTCGGAATTGACGTCGTTATTGTTGAAGATCAATTTGATAGTTTGGGTCTTGGTTCGGGTCTGGGAATATCGGCTCTCGATACCTCCATTGCTACCAACGAGAATTATCAAAGTCTCCCACTTGATCATTTAAGGGCAGCGTAGAATGTCGATTGGGGCCCAGGTAAAGGTCCTATGACCTCGTTTTCGCTTTTCCTTCTGTGGAAAAGCATATTAGTTCAAAAAAAAAAAAAACTTGAACCTAGTTGCAAAAGGTTCAAGCATTGTCTGCCGGTCCTTCACTGTGCCGCCATGCTCTTCCTCAGTTGTCTTTCCCTCTGTCGTGACTGCAACTCCAGTCTCTCCACGGCATACTTTAGTCGTTCTTTCTTTTGCACCAGCTTCCGCAGTTCAGCCGCTCGAGCACTGCTCGCAGCACGTAAGCCGCTGGGTTCGGTCTTTCCATCGGCATGACCACCGACACGAGAAGACGGCCTTGAGTCGCGAGACAACCTGCCTTCCTGCAGTTCACATTTAGCCTTCAGAGCTTCTTCGCGTCGGGCGAGTTTGTCAATATGGTTCCCCGAAAGGCGTAGCAAGTGAGCGATGCTGGGGGTGATTTCGTCGAGGATAGCCTTTTGAGCTTCTTGTAAAGTAGGTTCCGGCAGGAGTTCAAAATGCTGGAAGTGATCGTTAGATCGAGTTACTCAAAGCTGTGGTTATTTCAAATTGTATGCTGCTGTGGTGTGCTGGAAACTCACTCTCGTCGACTGGAGTATTTTGCAGAGGCGGGGAAAGTCGTTGACGCCATTGTCCAGGACATCAATAGATGATTCTAGCAATTGCAGCGATGATTTCAGGGATGCCACGGAGGAGGATAGTGAAGCCGCCATCTCGACCGTCGTGGCTCTTGAGTTTCTCGGTCCGCCGGGGGGGTTCATTGTTTACATACATGGGACGTACATGGATGGTCTGCCCACTGGCGACGAGTTCACGTGACTTGGGGCAAAATGAGCCGAAATCAACCCGCAACTCCCAAAAGCCCATCGACGACAACAACCAAGCCAACGGTCTCTCCTCGTCCTCGCAATTCCGCAACCGTTCTCGCTACCCTACACAACAGCCAAAATGCCCTTTCCCTGGAAGAAGTACCCGGTGCCTATCGGTGAGTTCGAACTGTATTAACGAAGAATCGATTGGTGGACTTTGCGCTGACCGGAGTTTCTCGCGATAGCCCGCCCACTCGCTCCTTTCATCGCCGCCTGTATGTTCCGCCCCCATAGCATAACCCTCTTTTGAATCGATTATTATAATGTGATGGATTGCTTCAGCCGATGGGGCGGTGTGGGAGAGTGTCAATTTGAATGCTAACGTGTGGCCGGTAGCATTCGTCATCCTCTACGGCGTCAATTCCCTCCAGAACGCCATGGTGAACTGTGAGCATCTTCCCCTCTACAACCTTTTTTATATCGTGCATTGTCACATTCGCCTTTCCGCCTGGAAATGACTATCTATCTTATATCGTGCATTAACTAACACACTATTACAGCCGAGGAATTCAGAAATGACCCACGAAACCCTAACAGGCGCGTCAGTGCTGCGGAGAAGCATTAAACTTTGAGATGATGATAAAAAGCATGCCTGCGACCGAGATATAGACCGCGGCAATCATGGGGGTTGAATGGGAAAGCTCGGCCGGAGACCTTTGTACATTGATTATAGAATACTTCTATTGAAAGCTCTAAGCCCCGTTTCCGATTGAATGTACGGAATACTTCTTGCAGATAGACTCTTTTACTTCCCTATGTTGAGGCTTTCGTTGAGGTGCCAAGAAAGCACCCTGCCACAGTGCAAGAAACCAGGTCCTGAAAGAAGTCTCTACGTCTAAAAATGCCTGGATATGACGACTCGCCTTGGGGTAAACGTGCGTAGATAAAGTCGATCTCCGGCCGGGCGACTTGTGTTTGATCTGGCTGTAGTATAGAACAATTTCTAATTTTATGTCTATATTTCCCCACAGTACGCTTTTGCTTATATAAGCCTTGGGGCAACTTTTGGATAAGTTAACTATCAAAGTTGAATCTCTTCAGCAAAAGACAGGTAAAAAAGTGAAGAGATCCCGTCTCATCATGTCTCAATTCCGTGCGAAGCGGCTGGACATTTCCGGTTTTATCACATCCAAGGTGATCCGCGACCATACAAAGCGGAAAGTCTTCAAAGAATTTGAACCCGAAAGGTACTCCCTTTTCCCATGCTCTGACGCAAAATATTCTACGCACCTCACACTCTTTGCTAACTTATCTGGATTAATTAAGACAAGCTCTCCGCTATCTTGTCCGGAATACCTCTCTTCCTATGCGTGTCCGCGCCCAAGCACAACTCCAACTCTCACAAATGCACTGCTATACTCGACCGACGCAAATCAAAAACCGATGTATTGCTGGTGGAATAGCGAGGGCAGTATTTAGGGATTTCAAACTGGCGAGAGTACGTGTGATGGTCCTTTTGCATTATTCTATGCCTCCTAGCCAAGAGCTATCGGAAGGAGGTCCCTTTTCGTTTTCCGCGGAGCTTCGGTCAATTTCACTGACTCTCTTCTCTTTTCCACAGTATCAATTCAGAGAACAAGCGCTAGCGGGAGAACTTCCGGGAGTCAAAAAGGCAAGCTGGTGATTTTTTGGGATGGTGCGGTTTTGGCCATCTTTAAGCGGATTCCTGCATCTTCTCTTTCCATGGACTTAGGCGTTTTGGATCATATGTATACTATGTACAGTATATGAAAGGAATAATGCTATATATTCCTTTGTGGCTCTTCCGAAAGCTTCTTCGTCCAACTTCCTTTCCTTTGACCAAGTACAGAGCACGGCCCGATAGATCAATCCCCAGCCAGGCGAAAGGATTTAAACTTTTGAAAACTGTGGGTAAACCTGGAGGCTTAGGGATCGATCTCGCAATGGCCAAAACCAAGTGCTCCGATGATTCAAATGGATTAGAAGCACGTAACTCAATGAGAAGCGCTGCAGCAGTTGTGCGGACAATGTATCTCCACTTCAAGCTCAGCAAACGGACGCGCCTGGCAAATCAACCCAGAACCCTCTAGTCTGAAAGAAAAGAGAAAGAGAAAGTAAAGTATTGAGTCAAACAATATACAAACTTGGATTTAAGCTACTCTGCATTTTAAATAATACTCTATCAATGGTTGATAACTTCTTGCGTGGAACAGCAGGTTGATTGGACAAAATAAAAATAAAGATAGATTAAAGATTCAACCCAAAATGTTTAAATGAAGTGGCATACTAATTATATTCTACTAAGTTGTGCTCAATTTTGTGAATTGATTGCATGTTAACATATGCATGGAAAGAGATACAAAAAGATTGCAGAATATATCGTCCGTACGGAGTACTCCGGACTCCGTATAGAATTTCAATTTGCCTCGCCGCGGCCGGTTTGGCGGACGGCGCCCCTCCCAGTCTGGCGTTCTGAAGCTAGCACTGAAGACACTAGCAGTGAGGGCCATGAGAACAAGGAGGGCATCAAAGAACAGGGCGGGAGCTCTCTCGTGTGTAGAAGGACAGGACTTGGACGAGGTATACTGTCCACCGCAGTAGATGGCCGGCCTTTAAAGGGGCTATGATCGCTAGCCAGTGAGCCGGGCGATCAATTGCGGGCGACAAAGGTGATCGAGGTGGAATGGAGCCCGTTTTTGGTGGCCCTGGAGTGAGAGCTTGTGGCCATGAGTGCTTCGGCGCTGTTTAACTAGATACTTCACGACTCCATACTCTGTACTCTGTATTTCTTACACAAATTCTCGGTGAGCAGATTCCATGGTACCAGAATTCTTTGGCAGGCCTCAGAATTTCCTCATTCTGTGTTTGCAAGGCTGGAAGAAATAGTTTTTGAATCAGGGGGAAACAGTTGCTTTTGCTGACTGGGTTGGTCATCAGAGTGAACTGCCAACTCAAGCTTACAAAAGTGAAACAGTGTCATTCAGCTAATCAACGCAGCCAACCACCAGGCATCACCATTATTATCAGAGGCTGTGAGATTGTGACTAAAGATATCCAAAATACTCCGTACATAAACATTGCTGATCTTGAGCATGTGAAGTGATATATATAGTCATTCACTCCCTCTTTAGCTGTTGCTTCATGTCTTGAGGGCAATTTTACAGAGCCTTACTTCTGCTGCGTTGAGACGATGAGCTGCAATCCAACACATTCATTCCAACCTGTAATCTGAGCGAGCTCGAGGGTTACTGCAGGCTTACCATTCACTCATTTAACTTCCCCTGACTTTTCCTTTGTTTCCAGTCAGAAATAGTTCACATATATATAATCCCCATGGTGAACTTGAACCCCAACTTGCACTCTCTCTTCCTTGCTCCTTTTTCCTTTCTAGCTTCAACTGTTGATTCTAGATTACTTCGTCCCTTTCTTGACTCCATCCACAGCAGAATCAAACGTGCCATTATGTTTGTTTTCAGAAAAGAGTCACTGCCGGGAGATGTTGTCTTCCCAACTGATCTGAAGCAGCTTGGGTGCGTCGTGGTCGCCTTGGCTTGCCTTTCTTCTTTCACAAGGGTGTTCATGATATGGATCCATACTAACATCGGACATTATGATACAGCTACTTCATTAATGATAATGACCAGATTAGGATGATTATCGACCCTGAGCAGAAGTTTCTCTACAGGATCAACGCCAATGATCGATATAATGAGATGCAGAAAGAATCTATGAATGGTAAACTAGGCCTGAATACCTCTCTGATCTGGGGGTTCTGATTGTGCTAATGCGTTGCTGAAACAGCTTGCATCCGCGAGATTGTCCTTTCGCGATTGCGTAATCTGGGATTGGAGATCTTGCGTCTGCCCATCGGTGCATCTCCCAAGTCACAGCATGTCCCAATTCTAGTTACTCCGTCTCTAGAAATCCAATCGCGCGTCATTGTCGTCTTTGGGGAACCCGTCCAAGACCTCGGAATCTGGGCCTACCGCACTGTAGGGGACGAAGGCATCAATGTTGGATCCGCCGTCAACTTTGCCAAAGCTGTCATTGGAGATCCAGAAGAAAGCAAGGATACCCAGAGGGACCGTGAGACGAGCCCAGCGCCAGGCCTCATTCTAACTAACCCTGGGCAACTGGTTTGGTACTGTAATGGAGAGCGTGCAGTCTCCCTGCCAACATGGCACGCCATCCCTCGTCAACATGCTGTCAGCCCACCCATGAAAATGAGCCACCACAACAAGATTCCGGAGAACGGAAACTGGCAAGAACACATTACATACGTATTTGAGGAGGTCCTCGGAAAAATGGTCCCCAAAACCGCGAAAATAGACATCATCGGGCTTGCAGAAGGTGGTCTTGGAGCGATCAGATACCTGGCCGAACACTGTATGACCTGACCTTCCTCTTGCTACACTAATCGAGTTGAAAACGCTTCGCTAATTCCTTTCCTTTAGGGCAAACGTGGCAGCCCCGTATCTCAGCAATCTGCCTCACCAATCCCCTGCACGATATCAATCACCTCCATCCGTCTGAATTCGCCAAATTTGTCTCCACACGTGCCCGCGCTTACCTGATCTCCGACAAACCGCTCCATCATCACGTTCCTGGTAGGTACAGGTTCGGATGTAACTGCTACTCGTCTGGAGAATCGCTCAATGTGGAATGCATTATGCCGCGAGCAGGGGATAGCATGCTATCCTGGTTGGATAAGATGCATGGCTCTCCGAGGCTGGAGGAGATTGAAGTGGTCGTAAGGGACGATGTGGAGGACGACGTGACTGATCTCGCCGGCGAGGAGTGACGGTGCAGAGGATTGATATATTGGTTTTGGTGATTGCTTTACCTTTCATTAATCCTTGAGTTTGTGGTAATTATCTAACATAGCGATTGTGTTCGAGCGATGGCGTGATATCAGGACCGTTCAATGATTTTTCTTAATACTGGCCAATGATTACAACTTTCCTTGTATTTGAAGCTCAGTTTCTCTCAGAATGACTATGTTCGTTGTTCAGTCTTTTTGCGAGTATACTAGGCTTGCTTCTAAATCAGACTTCCAAGGTTTTTTCCGCCTAACTTTCTATGACCAGTACATCCCAACATGTTTGGATTTGGTTTGCTACATTCCTAGCAATTCTTTTGGTTTTTTTTTTGTTATACAATGCGTCCCAATAACGGTTATTTATTCTAGTTCTCTGTGCTCTATGCCGGACGCTAAATTTCTTTTAACAATTTTTCTGGTTTGAGGTTTGTTTGTCTTGAATGTCCCTCCCACATGCCCAACTACAACCCCGCCTTAAAAAAGGTAGAGGCCACAATCGCTGCCCAGCCACCCTCGGAATCTTCGATCCATTTTCATACGGCGTACAGTCCCACCATTCTACCCATTCCGCTCGAGGGACCACATATGTTCGTGCACATACCGAGCACGTTCGGTCGCCGGTGAGCTTGACCTGTTTTGCAAGCCGTAGGAGGCGCACGACGAAAGCCGGAAAATCGGGGTGCTCTTCCTCCGCTGCATCAAGGGCCGTGAGGTCGAGAAAGTGGGAAACTTGCGGCGAGCGAAGACAGGCTTGAAGGGACAGTTCACGGAGGGATTGGGCGCGATTGGGTGGCGGTAGGGTGTCACTGTGACTCAGCGGATTTCCTTCCATGTCGAAGTAGCTAACCGGGCTGTTTGCGATGTGGATCGGGAGCCACACCTTCGGGTTTGCATCGCCGGAATAGGTATTAGGTTTTAGTCTTTCTGTGACAGGAGCGTCTCCTTCTTCAATGTCCCAGAACCATTCGGCGATGTTGAGCTCGTCCAGCTGGATAAATGGATTCGGGTGGACAGTTAATCGCTTCAAGTCGCCTTTTTGCATAAGGCTGAGTAATTCCCATGGGAGATGTTCAAGTCTATTAACTGCAAGGTTTAAATCTTGCAGGTTAGTTAGCTTTTGAATCGCGCCAGGGATTTCATTGAGCTCGTTTTGACGCAAGCTAAGGACCATTAGTCCTTGAAGATCGAACATCTCTCTGGGGAGCAATGTGAGACAATTCTGTGCGAGGTATAGGCGGAGGAAAGGTTCCAAGGGACTATATCCTTCCTCAGAGGTCGGGGCGTTTTCCAGAGCGGGTTCCTTTGTTAATTGGATGAGGGGCTGGAACGTGCCCGGAGGAATCTTTTGGAGATTAAAGTATCTATCGTTCAAGGCGTGAGAACGTGTGCCCCGATAAAAAAAAAAAAAAAAAGCGGGAGTCTTCAACTTACGAGAGGTCCACATTATCATTTCCTTCCTCTAAGCAGCGATCTATGGCAGACCTCGCATGTCTCTGCGCTTCGGTTTCAGCCGCTCGATCTGTCCTGAGAAACTTTCTGGATGCCTTATCCCCTCTGAGCGCGGTTGAAGGCTGTACGGTGTCCAGCGTGACCGGGCTGTCCATAATATTATCCTCATGTGTATACGCGTGTCCGTTTCCCCTTCCTCCTTCCCCATCGTCATCAAGAATATCCGAACTTAACAAACCGGCAGAGTCGTCACTACTCATCATCCACACGCCGCTATCCATATCTCTCTTATTCTTAAATCCCGTCCTCGTCCTCTTCTTCCTACACTGGACTTTTTCGCCCCACCATGTCCCACGATACCGTCGCTTCCGCGCACCTCCATCCCCCCGGCCATTGCAGGGCGCTCCAGTCGCTTCTTGCGCCGAGGTCAACGCGGGCGTGTAATCCTCTAAACCTGGTTGAAAATCGTCGCTAGAAAATAGTGGAGTGTCGCTGGAAGGCGGCCCCGAGAGTCCATCGAAGTTGAATCCCGTTGTACGATGGGCGAATGGGAAAGGGGCACTAGGCGCATTGACCAGGGTTCGCGGGGTAGAGGTACGTTTAGCACGAGGAGCAAACGGTAATGGGGGATCAGAATCCATTGTCGTTGCCTCCAGCCTTGCTTTCGAAAGGTGAGCCCTTTCTCAATTTTCCACCGTACCCTCTCCCGTCGAGTCGAGACAACGTGAGGCGGCTGTTTACTCCTCGAACTCTCTCGCTGCGCGATGACGCGACTCAGGCCAATCATCGTCGGGTGGGTCTGGTGCATCGGCGCGAAGTCACATGACCTTGGCCAAGCTTCTCGGTGATTTGTCAGCAGGCGTCAGAGTTGGCGCGGAGAAAGATCGTTCGATGTGTCTGGCTGGGCATCACCGATGGAGGCAAAGTAATGGGCGGTCCCATATCTCAGTTCGTTACTCCGTAGAGCGAAGTGCTGGCAACGCCAAAGGCTGCATGTTCTCGCCGGCACTTTATTTTGCTCTTACGGGCTTTCGGCATCCTTGCTCTGGGTCGCTCGTTGTACGTCGCCTGACTCCTTCATGCAGGAACGGAAGCGTAGTATACTTATTTCCCAGTATGATATTTAGCTGCAGCTGCCTTGTATGCTCTGTATCACCTGCAATTCAAGTACATACAATGCCTTTGTTTCTCCTTGGCTCGCAAAAGTTGCAGCAGTAAGGGCTATATTGATGCATGAAGGGGTTTCTTTGTCTTTCAACCAATATTACTCCGTACTCCGCAAGCAGTACCACGGGGTCAAATTTCCTGGCTACATCCGTTCATACCACCGACGTCACGCTCTGGGGTGGCGTAACCATTTTTTTTTTTACCTCGAGACACAACTGAGACAGGGGGCACCTCGAATCCTAGCGCTCTTCTAAGCGTCGCTTTCCTAGGTTTCTCACCAGATCGAGAGGGCGAGACGGGGGGAAAAAAAAAAGTAACTGCTAATGGTCCCAACGAGGGTCGAACTCGCGACCTTGGCGTTATTAGCACCACGCTCTAACCAACTGAGCTATGGGACCGGTTGTTATAAGTTGAATTACTTGATCGAAACAAGTAACCAAGCCCACCAATTGGATCCATTTATGAAGGCATGCAACGGCAAAAGGTGAGTATCCGTACGGAGTAGGATAGCTGGAGTCAGTTGGTTCAAAAAGATAGCCGCGGGAAATATGATGTTTCCAAGGGGAATGAGCTATGCCAAGAGTTAGCTATCTGTGCATATCAATTTGAAGCCCGTAGCCAAGGGACAGGTGTACGTAATCACTGGGCAGCATGAACAAACCCTCAGGGATGAAAAACATTTCGGTTCAGTCCCAGCAGTAACTTGTTATCATTTCCTTATTCTGTTTGCCAGATCATTGGAGTCTGCATCAATACAATTCCCATGGCTTTGAATTGGGATGTGTTTGCTCTCACTGCAATCTGGACTGTTGTTCTTAGACAGGCTCTACCAGATGAAGACAATGAGGACGGATCGTTTGCTGCACCTCCCACCCTCAACGTTCACTACAGCCCAATGCTTATGGTTTTGATAGATCAATGACACAGGAAGGGAAAATTTTGAGAACAGATAATATGTAATGTTATGTGCCATAAAAAGAAGAAAAGAGAAGAAGATACTTTCATCCCCAAGGAATTTTAACAACTGCTAACCCATGAAGCACTATCTCAAGAAGGAGAATAAGAGTACCTGCCACTGGACAACCAGCTCGGTCAACAAGAGATAAACTAAGCAGGTTTGCCTTCTTCAGAGCTGCAGCGCGTCAACACTCCAAAGCAGTTGCCTGTGAAGAAGCAGTCCTAAGTTCCCATCGATGCTCCAGCTAACCCCGAACCTGCCGTGAAAGCACTCCACCATCATATCCTAAGAAGAAATGTCGTCGAAGGTCTTATAAACATAAACATCAATCCTACCTTCAAGCGAAAAAAAAAATAAAAATAAAAATAAAAATAAAGATCTCCGGGGGCCAGAAAGAGTATAGGGGCTAAATGAATAAGATGATAAGAATAAATGGCTTCATATAAAAAGGGCCCCGGGAACATTCGAAGTTTATTTATACGGGTATCGCATGCGAAAGAAAAGTCTCAGGCGGAGCCGAGAGTGAAGTACGGTTTTGGGTATCGATAAGGCCGGCGACCAGCGGCAAGAATATATATTCGCTGCAGGACAGCAGAAGGAGCCGATGCTCCTGCCATCAACGAAACCCGGCATGTTCAAACCGGCCACAAGCCGAGGCCACCAGACTCATGCGTTACGCGCAGGTTTTCGCTTTATAGCAGGGTGCCTAGGAGGGCCGCGACCGATCCAGCCATCACCATCGCAGAGAAACTATTTGGTACAACGGCAGCGGCAGCATTTCCGGTTTCAGATGGAGCATCCGTCGCTGTGGATGACTGAACGGATTCTTCGGCCGTGGTGGTAGACGGGGTGGGGCTCACGACGGTTGTGGTGACGTTTGTGGCGGCGGTTGTGGAAGCACCGACGGAGTGAATGATGGTCATAGTCAGAGTCTGAGTGGTGGTTTTTGTCGAGGTGACGGTTTCCTCTGCGGCGACTAACTGAGACCCGATCATGAAGAAGAGGGCGGTGAAGAAAGTCACGAAGAAGCGCATGTTGGGCGAGGCTTGGGAGGCGTGCTTGTGTGCTTGTGTGTTATGAAGCTGGCTTTAAGGTGAAGCCCAGGGCAAGAAATTGCGCGCGTCGCGATGGAAATATAAACGGTAGGAAAGGAAGTTCAGAATGAGACCGAGGCGCTGACAGCTCGATAGACGAATAGGCGCTACTGCGACAGAGAGACACGGAGTTGTTGTCGCGATTTGAAACAAATCGGCGGAGACTGAGTAAGAGATTTAAGTGAACGACGGTTTCAAAGCGCAAAGAAAGGAGAGTAGGTCGAGATGCAAAAGAGTGAGCGTATCTCAGAGCAAAAAGGTATCAGGCTTCAAAAAAGAGTGTGGGTGTGTGAATGAGCGCTGGTCGGGTGGTTTTAAAAAGGAGAGAAAGTTGGAAAAGGCGGAGAGGGGCCAGCAGCAGCCAACATCGGAAATGAGGCTTCAAATTTGGCGACGAGCCTGCCAGGCCAGGAAAAGCCTGGTCTCAGCCCAACCCAAAAGCGGCATAGCGCTAGCTGTCATGACCGCTTTTTCGCGCCGCTTGGCACCCCGTTATTTCCCTAGTAGGGATTAGCGTCAGGTACCGAAATACACATTCCTCACATTTGGAACAGCCTTCGGTACGAGCACAGCCAGCTTATCCCGGCGATGCCAACTTCTGATTCGCCTGCTGGTGCAAATTTTTTTTTTTATCCAAGGCGCAATTGATGTGGCACATTCCTTGCATAGGGACGAATCGTTCACTTCATCACTCGCATTGCTGAGTCAAAGGTGCCTGTCGATCTGTTGGTGCCAGCAAAGAGAAACTTTGGATCGAGCCGCCACGGTCTCGGTGCCTTGATTGGCTGGTGGGGTGATGCCGAATCTCGTCCCATCCCCCGTGACCGCATCTTGTGAAGCTTTCGTTGCGCCCCTTAACCTCACTAAGATAAGCTCAGGCACGCAACGTCTACTTTTTGCTCATCACGCCTGTTCCAGGGCAAGCAAGCGAAAAATCCGGGTCAAGGCCGTATTACCACGCTTGGGGGAGAGTGACTTAGACGGGGAGAAAGGAAGAATGGAAGGAGCTCCCTCTTTTCCAAACTCTCTTGTCCAGCTCTGGACTACCTGGTAATTATTGATCCTGGCGTGGCTTTTTCCACAGGAATCGGGACGAGTATCGTGGTGGTACGGTCGCTTGGCGCCGGCCAACCACCGGTGGTGGTAAGATTATGGTTGCTCTGCGGATCCTTGGTCGGCGTGACAATTTATCACAGGCACTCTGGAGTGCGCTCTGTTTGTAACCCAGCCTTTAATTCTCACTACTAAAGACAAAACACAGAGTACGGAGTGCAGAGAACCCCATATACATCTTCCCTCTAGGATGACCCTGTCTGCAACACTGTAACTGAAATGTCAGGGTGCTAAAAACTTAGCTGGTGAATCTCTCCTTTTCCTCAAATCTCACCCTTGTCTTAACTCTTAAAGGCAATTCTCCCCTTGCTACAGGGTGTAATTTGATTGCCGCACCTGAAAAGCACTGAAAGCCACAACACTAACTAACCACAGACGAAGGGATATTTTCTTAGGGGTTACCCTGTACACTGTACAGAGTAGTTGCTATCCATTTTGGGGAAGCCATGGACCTCATGTTGCGCTTCTCCTATAGACCAACGACTCCCAGTCTTCAGTACTCCTACACATCATACATTGAACGGCCGTGGATCTAGAATATACCATTAACCAATGGTCCTAAGATTGCCGATGAGAAACCATGGTGTAGCCATGGAGGGAGCTTTTGCGTATTTTGCTACGGGGCATCCCTACACCTAGATAAAACCAGCATCAAGGAATAGTGCAAACACCTTGAACCCGCCTTCAATGCATCTTGCTCGAGTTTTGCAAGAGCTGTTCAAAGTCTTGGATATATTCCCCTCATTATCTGGTTGGTTGCAATGAATAGTCTGGCAACGAAGCACGCTTATTGAGTTGCCTGATGTACAGACTTTCCCTGACAGCGTACCGTCTTCCCCAGGCGCCCAATTTGGTCAAATCTGGGTGATGATTTGCCTCTGGACAAGAAAGACACTTCTGCAGATGTGGAAGGCCCAACCAGGTCCTCAAGAATGTCATGTAGCAGCGTTTTCCCCACCGCCAGCTTCGTTGGCAGAGCCATATCCACTGTCAATTGTCTACGGGATATGGCATCGTCTTCCAGTATCAGCCTTGCAGCCAGAAGGGCACCTGGCCTCTATCCAACCGGGACTGAATCCTGGAGTGGAATCTGCTCTCTTGTTTTGCGTTTCTTAGAAGGCAGATATTTTGAAGAAGCTGTCAACTAGAGTGGTGCACACTCATCGCCTTTTTTTTTTTTTTTTTTTTTTTTTTTTTTTGAGTGGAAATCCTCTCTTTTTGCGTTCTTAGTCCAACGGAAGAAGAGTCAGTCTACTCCGTACACCATACGCCATGATTTTGTGTACGAATTGAAAATTGGGGCGACGAGACCGAATTCTACTATTACGAGGAAACTTCATGCTTTTCGAAGGAGTGATATAAGATCTCGTGACTTTCTATTTCTTGGGAAACGGAAGGTTGAAGCTGGTACATTTAGTCTTATACACTTCTCATAAAATTAAGCAACTCCCAACTGGCAGAATAATAAATGCTGAAGGTGTGCTTTATTGTGAAGCAAATGTGCATACATACAATGGAGTCTTGGGAAACCAGTGGTTGTGGGGATCTAGTAATCAAGGGGTTTGTTACGGAGTACAAATGTTATAAGGACCACACACCCAAAATAACCCAGTTATCGATGTGAGCAACCTCAACATCAAGTTGGTCAAATGTGCGTGTGCCTCAAAATTGAGGGACTAGCAGCAGTTACGAACCCTCTAGCCACTAGAGGATACCCCTTTCCGAACTGGCGGTCTACAGGTGCTTTCTCGTGTTGATACACAGCAAATCTGACTCTACTGAGAAAAATACTAGACTCTCTAACTAACTAGTTAACTAAGGCTTCTATGGATTAATAATATGCAGTGCTGCAAACCAGTGGTTAGTACTCCGTACACTTGGACCGAAAACATGTACTACTCTTGATCCGGGCATAGGCTCATCATCTGTCACAAGCAGGTTGTCGATCAAAATCCCATTTTTAACAAGGACAGACAGGCCCAAGTCAAGCACAATTCAATTACTTTGCTATCCGTCCATCCATGTTTGCCCATAATACTGCCTTCAACTAGGGCTAAGCTACATATGCAGTTGAGCTGCTGTCCTTTATCTTAGTGCCAGAGGATGAATCTGGATGATCCTGTCCACCGGTACCATGCACAATCTCATGACTCCAGCAAAGATAGATTTTGATTTTCTTGGCCTTTTCATTGATGTAGGGCCAAAAGTAGATGTAACAGATGAAACCCTGATATATATGTGACCTTCAAAATTTGGGTAAAAGCTAAGAAGGGGAGAAAAGGAACCCTATCAACGCCGATTAATGGAGATTGGCCTAGGCTCCAGTGCTCTTGCATCCTCAAGATATTGAAAACAAATGGGAGGTGAAAGGCAAAAATTTATTTACAGCTGGGGTTTGGGTTTGACATAAAGAAAATACAGAAATTCTTTCAGCATCATTAAATCATGGTATAACACGGCACAAAGGAAAGTTCCCCTGTGCCTCTTTTGTCTGGTTGCTTGTTTATGGTACATCACCGGGATTTCGACTTAATCGCGCTGGGTCCGGAAGGCACTCTGGGCCGTGGAGAGCATGATGGGCCGCCGGTGAGCCCTTGCCCAGGCATGGTACGAACCGTGGGGTCCTTCTGTTCTGATCACGCTTCCAATAGACATGAAGAACCTGGTTGGAAAGAGACCGTGGTCAGCATTGACCGGGAGTACATCGCGGGATTTGCCATACATACCCAAAGGTGGCGGCTGAACCAGCCATATATTTGCCCAGAGTCCGCATTATACCATTTGGTCCGGCACCATACTGGAATATCGAGACGGTTCCTGGCTGAGTGTGAGCTGCAAAATCTCGGCCTGCGCAGAGATCGAAGGGTCGACTAACCGATGATGAAGCCCATGATGAGACCGACGGCTGGAAAGGGAAACGGATTAATATCACGAAAAGGCCATAGGAAATGCTATGAAAGGGGTTCAAAGAAACGTACAGCCACCCATCATGGCACCCATTTTTACTGATAAAGCATTGTCAGTCCAGCTCTAGGTAGGTTTCGGGAAGGGATCACAGACGCTTGTCGAATGTTGACGGGCCACGCATCCCTCCACCTCCAGTTGGAGCTGCTACAGCAGGCATTTTGAATTTCGGGACAATGGAGCCTGTTGTCACACAAGAGCGCAGAATTTGGGATTGCTGGACAAAGCTGAACGGCACCGTCTGCTGCTTGCTCTCTCGCTCGCATTCTCATCACAGCTTTGAAGCAAGCCGCAACAGGTGAGCAGCTGACTCAGCAACCCGGCCGGCGCTTTACCGCCTTTGGTGCTAGTGGTGAGTGCGTGGTGGTGGGTGTGGCTATGTGAGACCTGAGTGGTCCAAAGCTACCACGTGACGCCAAGAACGAGCCAGTTGACCCTATTCCTTTCTTGGCTGTTTTTGGCAATTCTCTCACTCTGTCTCGCTTCGCCCCGAGCCAGCGCTTCTGTCTGGTATAGCCAAAGGACAGTCTCGACGGGTGGTTTTCCAGGTTGCTATTATTCCTCGTTGTCTTGTTTATTGATAGCCCTCGCTTTTTCTCTGACTCATCTTTCTACGACCTTCTTGTGGCTGTTTGCTGGCCTTTTGCCCACCCCCTCCATCTTCTAAACGGCACACGACTCATCTCGCTGATGAGACGGCCATTGCCTCCTATTCTCGATGACATTTAGTTCTGGTAGATTACAGTAATGTTAGTGCCCAATACCATCCTGAGACCTGCTTTCCTCTGCACTTGTGAATATTGGTGAAGTAGCTTGGCTCTCACGGGGTAACAAAGTCACTGACAACAAGAATCTCATTGACCATAACTAGACCCGCAAGCCCTCCTTCTCTGACGTTCCTCTGCCTCACTTACATATGCTGCTTGATTGCTCGGATCGTTTTGCCAATCCTCCAGGCAATTAACTCTGGCAGGAGCATAGTCTGGCAAGCGCTACTCGACTCGGCAACCGTCACCTCCGCGTTGATCGCATCCCCCAGCGTTTTCTCACCTTACCCATGACTGCTGTGGCTTCTCCTCCTAGTGTCCAATCCGGCCCGCGCTTAGGATGGTATTCTGCTGGTAACAGTGGACAAGGTGGTTTTTCCTCTGCCAGTGCAGACGAGGTTTCACGGATGTTCATGCCTCGGAGAGGTATCCAGCGAACAAGCTCTTCCTCCTCTATTTCATCTTCCACTTCCTCTTCATCTACCGCCACCGTGCGCTCGCAACTCAGTAATGGTGGCCAAAATTCCACCTCAGAATCGAACAGTGCACCTCCAGGGAAAAAGCCATCCAGATACGTTTGGTCCGGTTCGAAGGCGGAACCTGTTTCTGGAGTGACGAATGCTCGTACCCAGCCTGTGTCTGCACCACCCACCGGATCTGCAGCATCATCAGCAATGTCAGCCTTACATCAACCTTCCCCTGTTGTACCATCCCAACATGGCCTCCCCTCTGCGCAGCAAAATGGTATCCGTGGTGCAACTCGACCGAGCCCTAACGAACCGACAGCGATTCTGAGCTTGATCCCTTTGAATGGCACTTTTGAAAGAAAGCAGATTACAGTTCCTTATTTCCCAGAGCTGTTGCGCATAGGGCGCCAAACCAATGCGAAAACCGTTCCGTCTCCTGTAAATGGATATTTTGATTCAAAAGTATTATCGAGACAACACGCTGAAATTTGGGCCGATAGACAAGGGAAGATCTGGATTCGTGACGTTAAGTCGTCGAATGGCACCTTTGTCAATGGCCAACGTTTATCGCCTGAAAACACAGACTCGGTACCCCATGAGCTGCGGGAGCACGATACACTCGAGTTGGGTATTGACATTGTGAGCGAAGATCAGAAATCTATTGTCCACCACAAGGTTTCTGCAAAAGTTGAACACGCTGGGGTGTATGGACCCAATATAAATGTTTTGGACTTGAATTTTGGCGACATTGACCCAACCTCCGGAGGTGGCCTACTTCCTCACCATCTTACTCAGCCATTGACCCATATGCGAGGCCGCCAAGGAAGTACATCATCGGCGGCAAGCTCTCGGAGTTCCCAGGGAGTTAATGGAAATCACTTGAATGCATTGAACCAGCAAAGGCAGATAAATTACTGGTTATCGCCGATATCCATTGAGCAAGTAGTAAAAAAACTTACGGTAACGATACCCTTACTTCAGTTCACCTGTTAAGCTCAGCTGACGTTCCTGTAGACGGAAGTGAAGCAAGCGAAGTATCATACACAAGACCTAGGCAAAACAAATGATTTCATAACGCACCTTGTTGCACGTGACGGCTTAGAGAAGGATCGTACTAAACTCTCACCCATCGATGCTCCCCCAGCCGGACGCCAAGTTAATGGCCGGCCAAAGGTGCATAGAAACGACTCATTCTCCCGATTTTCCGACCCTCCTGCCCCTCCTCCGCAACAACCTTTACCAGAGAAGCCCGATGTGGCCGCGCGTTCCAATCATTCCCAAGCTATATCGCCAATAAGACGTAGCGACACTGAGAAAGCGAGGTCTCCTGCAAACTCTGTTCGCGAGTCGAGTCAGATATTGTCGCTGATAGAAGCTCTTGCATCTGCAAAGAAGGAGCTAGATTTACAAGGCACTCGCGTTAAAGAGTTGGAAGAGCTGCTGCGCCACGAGAGAATTGCTCGCGAGACGGCGGAAGAGCGTGCTCGAAAGCTTGAAAACGAGCGTTCTGTACCAGTTGAACCACTGTCAGTGGCCCAGATCGTCGAAGATGATGACGATATGTCTGTGACCACTGTTGTTGAGCCTCTGGATGAGAAACAGGTGAAAGCATCAGAGGTGTCGGAATCGTCTATCGAACTGCCGGCTTCTGATTCGGCTGCAAAAGAGCTACAGTTGCGGCTTGATACATTAATCTCCGAAATGGATGAAATGCGCAAGGAAGTTGACAAATATAAGCGTTCAGCGGAACAGGCCGAAGTCGAGGCTGCGAGGAGCCGAAAGACCCTTGCAGAGATGGTTGAGCAGGTTCGACGCGAGCGTGCTGATGAGGTTGCAAAGAAGCAAACCGAGCCAGAAGGCACGTCTTCCAATGCTCCCTGCGAGCCAGTATTTAGAAAAGAGAGCGAATCGCTTGATACAAGCGCAATCGAGGCGCTAGAAATGCGATGTCGGCCTATAGCAGCCACACGCATACAGGAGCTCGAACGAGCAGCCACCGCGTTCGCAAAGCAGCGGCAGAAGCCAAGTATGTTTGAGCAGACAGCTCCTTATGCTTCGATGATCGGCGTTGTGTTACTTGGAGTTGGGATAATGGCGTATCTCAATGGATGGCAAAGGGGGGACAGATAATATTAAGTTTGTCCTCTTGGTAAAGAATATCATTATTGCATACCTTTTCGGTCCACATGAGACAAGGAATGGTTGCGTGCATTTTGAAATGAGGATGATATGATTGAATTATGGAGTCTTATCCCACATCTTCGCTCCTTGAACATAGTGTCCTTTCCTATGTTTCTTTCTATGGTATCCTTTTTTGTTTTTCCCCTTTTTCTCGGCTCACCTTTCTCCTTTGCTTTTTTTGGCCTTTTACAAGCGGGCTTGGGTGGTCATTTGGAATAAGCGATATCAGGATTCTATAATACTTCTGTCTACTGGTTTGTATCGTTCGATCGATCCCGCTGTTTTCTCTATTCGCTTTTTTCCGTTTAATTTTCTTTCGAGTGATTTTCATGCTGCATCTAGTGACGTCTCCTGGAACAGCAGAAGATCATAATGATCAGTGGTCTCAAATTCGTCCCATCTTAAGCTTGCAATTCGTCTCTTTGCTCTTCTCTTCTTTTTCCTTTCCTCCTCTTTTTGCCTTGATTCCAGTTTCAACGTCTATTATACTCTTCTTATTATGGCCCATTCTTCAGCTTCAAGATATTTGTCTCTCTGTCTTCCGTATACATTCTTCCCCTTTCATATTTTGTTGCCATGAATACAATACCTATTTCTTCCTCCAGTCCCTTCATTGCTGTTTCATAATGATTGGTATTTGAAAAATTTTTCTGATCGAGAGACGAATGAATTTCCTTTTACCACTTATACAGCACCTTATTATACCGGGACTACACATGGGAATATTGATTTGCTAGTGTCCAAGCTTTGATAACTCGATTTCTACCTGGTACATACGAGCATGCTATGTATATCGGAGGCGATGTGGTAGGAAATGTAAATTAGTATCAGACTTTTTTCTCCTGGATTTGGTTCGCACCATCCCGAATGGCTGTCTTGCGGAGTTCCAATCATGTTTGGCGCCGCAATCATCTTTCACCCTATCAAATGCCCCATTTGCTTAAGCGCGCTCATGCGCTATGACCAACACCGTCGCAGTCGGGGAGCACACTTCAACCAATCCTGCGTCGCGAAGATGCGCCGCACGTACCCCTTACCACCATGAGGGTAACCCCCTGTGGCTTGGATCATGGGTCCCATCACAAGAGCCGTCGAAAAAGGTCTGCCTGTGGAGTTGAATCATGCGTCCATCAGACTGAGATGTTGCACGAGCGTTTAAGCCGTTCATGCGTTGCGGCGTGACGGGTGTCTGCTTTCTGGCGTTTCCTCTTAATACGAGGGATTGCGTAGCGGCTTTGGTTTCCCCACCTAAAAGACCTGGTCTTTGTCTTAGAGGTTTGGTGCTTGCGATGGTTCTGGAGCTGGTGATTTGCTGGCTGGATGGCAGGGCGCACTCGCACCCCGGACGCTGTGTGAGGGGAGCGGGGTGCGTGAATTGAAAAGGCATTCTCTGCTTCTCTCTTGTTGAAGGAATTTTAGTTGGGCTGATTTGAGAAGAATGAGAGAAGGAAGTATAAATTTGCTCCTCTTCTATTGCTTTGGAAATCCTTCTTGATATCCAATTGTGCCGGTCCACCTTGACTGTGTCTTGAGAAACTGCAACCTTACTTCGCTCTACTCTTTGAATTCGCCTTGTCTGCTTGATATATCCCGGAGGATAACTGCCTATTCACAGCGCTCAAAGTGTCTCGCAGCCGAGAAATCGTCGATATCTTTCATAGACCCACTCTCCATCCCCAATCATGGCCTCAGTCGCCCAAGACACTGCTGCCCTCCAAGACATTGAGACCCTCGTCAAAACTGACGTTGCCACCGTGATAGCTGCTGAAATCACCAGCCAAATCATCTCCAGGCCTCCCTTCCTCACTATCCCCGGCGTCTTCAACGTCCGTGATATCGGCCAGCCCACCGGCACTCCCCCAGTTCGCACCAACTTCCTCTTCCGGTCCGGCCTGATCTCCTCCATCAACGACGCCGGCAAGATCAAGCTCGCTTCCGAACTCGGTGTTAAAAAGGTATTCGATCTGCGGTCCGCGGGCGAGCGGGAGAAATTGGGTGTTCCGCAGATTGAAGGGGTGGATATCTGGTGGTTGCCGCCGGCGCAAGACCCGCGGCCGGTTGTGTTCAGCGAGTTTGGTGCAGAGGATGGTGGGTTGAACGCCATGTTGGATATGTATAAAGATATATTGATCACCCATGTACCTGTGTTTAAGGAGGTGTTTGGACATATCAAGGATGAGGCGGACAAGCCTGTTTTATTTCATTGTGCAGGTGGGTAGTGTCACAGTCTCTTTTCCTTTTCTGTTTCCTTCTTCCCCTCAAAAAACCTTCTGGTTTTTGCATGTTTCAATGTAGCTTTTTGCTAACGTGGTGTAGCTGGGAAGGACCGTACTGGAGTGCTCACGGCGCTGATCTTGCGCCTTGCGGGTTGTGCTCCTGATATTATCGCGCGAGACTATACGCTCACTCGTATTGGAGTCGAGCCCGCTCGCGACATCATCTTGAAAGATCTCCTTTCGGGCATGTTCACGTCTGACCCGGCCATGCAGAAGGGTGCTGCCGGACTGTGCAGCGCCAATTATGAAACCATGATTCGGTTCCTTGAAGATCTGGAGAAAAACTACCAGGACGGTGCGGAGGGATATGTTAAGAGCGTGTTGGGGTTTTCTGACGATGATGTCGTGAAGATTAAGAAGAACTTGACTGCTTAATAAACTGGTAATTGGAGGGCACGCATTCTCCGGGATTTTCCCTGTGATGCTACCATCCAATCTTGATTAGTACTGAATAGAGTTTTCTTGGATTATCTGTGATAAACACCAATGACCTTCTTGATACCTACAATCTGAGAGGCTCGAGAGAATATGTGAATTCGTCGAACATTAACTACAATAGTTATGCATGAGAACCTGATATGAAGGGGTGGGCCAGAGTCCTGGTGTCCATGTCCTTGCTCCGGACGCTTCTGAAGCTCGTCAGAGCTTTTCACCTTGATCTTCTTTTCGAGTATTTTTATCCATATTTTGGAGGGCGTTCCCTAAGTTTTAGTGACATGTTTCTAGACAAGAATTCAGGATAGTAGACGCTTTTACGGAGTACATGCTCATTTATTACGTGGTAGCAGAACAGTTATCGAAAATAAGGGAAACACTGAGAGGCCATCAAATACTCAACTTCCTAACAAATTGCCAAAGAATTGTGCAATGAAATGGAAAAAGAGAACGAGCTGACTACCGATAGGTATTTACATGCATACCTAGCTAACATATCTCCAGCATTTCTCACGCGCGATGTTCATCCAGAAAAAAAGGCATTACATACCTTTTAACCACTCGAGGCCGCGCTGAAGTCAAATTTGGAAAGTAATTCCATAACCTCATTGACATAGTCATCGCCATCGTATCTCTGAATCACACCAAGAATCGAATGCCACTTTGAAGTATTCTCATCCATGTATGGCGGCAAGCCAGTGAATGGAATAGCTGGATCATATTTCTCTAGACACTCCAAAGCCTCCTTGTATCCTGGCAAACCTGTGTGTTGTCCCAGCCAGGCGTGCACCCCATGGACGGCGCTTTCAAGCGCGCCAACGACCCACGCGTGATGGGGACTGGCTGCTTCGCCAATGATCACGAAGTCACCGGAAGGTTGGATCAATTTGTTCCACATGCTGCTGAACTGTTGGGGACGGAAGAAGCCAAAAGAACCGGTGGCATTTGGTTCCTTGTACCAATCGAAGGAGTGGTGGTCCAGATATAGACGGCTAATGAGCTGGTAAATGTCTTCCTCACTCTTTTGCTCGGTTTTGTGAAGGCGAGCGAGATCACGGAGGAGGACTTCCTTGAGCACTAATTCCTCTTGGGTTTTCTGTGAGTGGTTAGGATTGGAGGAGAATAGAGAGGCGATGCGTTCTGCGTCTTGTTGCCACGTATAAGAGCAGAGTAGGACTGCAGGCTTGTCGGCAGGGTCGTTAATATTGTATGATGGATAAACGCAGGTGCGGATGGTTAGATCTGAATGGCCGAGACCACCTTTGACAGTATGATTTCCTAAGTCATGAATCCACCATGGACGGCTAAACTTGATCCCAACCTTGCAAGCTGCTCCATATGAAAGGGAGCGAGCTGCTTGCTTGGTGGCGTAGTTGAGAGCCGCCTTGGAGGTGTCTATTCGCCTCAAACAGCCGAGAGGCACGGAGCTAAAGACTCCAGAGTATGTCAATGACGCCGCCGAGCCGTTTTTAGCCCTGACATCAATCTCCATAGTATTCGCGTCCTTCTTTCTGATTGCAGTTACGGTGGATTCGTAAGCGGGTTTATAATGAAGCTTGGCTTCCATTCTTTTAGCTATCTCCTGAGCACCTCCAAGGACGCAATACCACTTTGTCTCGTCATCAAACTCAAAATCCAATGACTCTAGAACGGTTTCGCTGTGAGCTTGATCGTACCAATTGGTACCCCTGAAAGACTATTAGTCTAACCCTGTATAAGATGGTCAAAATACGTACCCATTAAACGTCTCCATCCACTCAATGGTGTCGTAGTTATAGGGTGGTTGTGGAATGCCACGGGAAGACGTGGAAGACGTGGAGGCGTTGGACGCCTTCCTACGTTCGGGATTTTAGTTGTGATCTTAACATCTGGCGGAGGGAAGTGCTTACACGCCTAGAAACTGGCGGGTGCTGTAGGTATCATATGTCATCAAGAGATCCCATCCTTGGTGACCGGGAGGGTCAGATTTTGCATCCTTCCTCAACATCTCTCTCAAGGGTTCAATGGTGCTCATCATGACACTGTCAGGAGAATTCTGAAAAATGCTAGATGGAGAACCTTTCAGTTTCCGGAATTAACGAGGAATTTGCTCTGTGAGAAACATACTTTGCAGGAATTGTCCCTGTACTATTGATTTGGAATGGATCTCCTCCCTTTGCCTGTGCCTGGATGGCGTTGTAATTACCCCACATTGTGATATCATTATAATGCCACGGTTCACCGGAGGGGCTGTCGCTTTTCATGTAGTAAGGGATTAGAGATCCTAGCGGAGTAGATTCCTCTAGATCCCTTTTCTCCATACCAAGGTTTTTGAAGAGAGCGAATACCCTGGTCAAAAGTTAGTCGCGTGCGACAAGATAACCTTAGAATGCGGACTACCTACCTTCGCATAACCGGATTATCGGGGAATCTCATTGCTCCAACATCGTAATAGTCGTGGGGCTCCTTGCTGAAATGGTGAGTGTAGAGCCTGCCACCGACTCTGTCCCTTGTAGAAGCTTCGAGAACATCATAATGAATGTGGGATTTGTGCTTGCTGAAAACATTGTCGTTAAGATAATCAAATATCATGCCGGTAAATAGACCAGCGGCTCCAGCGCCGATGATTCCAACCTTAAGCTCCGACTGTTTATTCGGCTCTTCTGGCAATGGTTGGGGGGTTTGGAGTCCAGGGCTCCTTGGAATATCAGTGTCTAGGCTATGCTTATCAAGCTCGTCGAAGACACCCCGGATGGCATGTTTGTTAGCCCACTGGTCTCTAATGGAGACTTCTGAGTTAATATCTAAAAACATGATGTGGTTTTGGATAACACAAACACTAGAGAGTTGATTGAATTTGAGTCTACATCGAAGCGCAATAGAAAGGCTAAAGGAGCATGAGGGTTTAGGTATTTGCTTTTATAGTGGTCTGGCTCTTCATTAGCTGTGGGCGTGGGCGGATTCGGCCATCACAAAACGGCCCCGTCTGAATCTCGAAGAACTGGCGGGCTTAGGCAGGAATGCAGAAGCTGTGTTCAGACAATCAAGCCTGAACTAAAATGTAGGCCGCGTTCTCGAGAGCCCACTCCCAATGAATTCCCGTAAAAATTTCATTGCGCACAGGGATCCCATGTTCGGTGTGCCAAACTTGAGCCAAAGCGTGCTCTAGATCGAACTTATGGTGAACCTGTGGGGAAGACAAGTTCAATTTGAAGGACAGATGGGGTGTGATGAGACGACTTGTCCTGGGGGTTGGATAGTGTCCTCTCTGCCAATGAGTTGCCATTTTGTAACGGCTTGGGTAGAATATGCATCAGACACAGCCAGCCACAGGATGAGGGGCAGACTGCATCAACGTGAGGATGATGAATGGATATCTTCCTGGATGAAACATGATTGACTGCCGGTGCTGTTGGTGACAAGTCCTGACCCCTCACCATCTTTTTTTCATCCCTGTCAAACCTACGCAGCAGTGGCGTTTTTCCTTTGTAGGTATATGAAGAACATCCAAACATTCCACGCTGACAGCACAGGGTGTCTCTTCAGCAAGAATAGGATGATTTTGGTCTCGAGATATTCAGATTAGCGGTATTGTTGGTTGGAGGGGCGGTGTCCGGGTCGTGAAAACCGCTAAACCGGCCAGCAAAACTGTTGGGTGGATAGGCAGGGGGCCGAAGTGAGGGTTCCAATTTGATGTTTCTTTTGTCGGAATACTATTGTTGAGGTTGTAGTGGTCAGTCACTCAAATGATGTAGTGCCGGAGTAAACTGCATACCTCTCAAAAACTGCTCAATTCATCCGTAACTCTGGAGCTAGCATTAAATATGAGCTCATTGGTCTCATTCCATCCTTGAATAGCTGGACAACGAGGTTTAGATCTTGCTGCCCTACTATAGGTACCATCTGCATGAGAGATTGATTAGTGCTCGTTGATGTTCTCTACTCCGAAGGGTTGATTTTTGCCCGGAAATGATATTGCCGATCCAGTCAATTCCTGATCTTGGGTGAACATGCCTGCCTCTTCGACAGAAATATGCGAGTATGGGTGCGGACTAGAGTGATAAGGGTGTGTTGACCTTCTCCGGGGTGAAATGGACAAACAATTGTTGCTAAAGGCAGAATTAATCATGGCTTTGCGCGCCTAGAGCTCTGTCAGCTTCACTATTCATCTCTACTAGTATCTTCCACATTCACGTTCAAACTTCCAAGACCTCAAACGGTAGTTTTCCTTTTTCCTTTTTTTCCTCCCCCCCTTCAACATCTTTGTGCCCCCATCGACATCTCATTCGGCCAGGGGCATTGACCCCCGGGGACCCGTGAAAGCCGTGGAGCATCCTTGATAGTCCGCGAAACCTTTGCTTGGGGCCGTTGGTACAAAATTCCGAGGCACAACCACTCCTGAGATGAATGAGAAGGGCAGCGACCTATCTCGAAAAACTCCTGGTTTTCCCGTAGCATCATTGAGTACTATTGGAAGTATCGTACATGCTTGGATAGGTTGCAATGCGTTTTGAGGACATTGAAATTTGACATAAGGCCTCCGTATAGCTATATAAGTCATGGGTCAGCTATCCTCTATTTCCTCGGTTTCCGGAAATCAACTTACCTTCAACGCTCTGAATGATATTCAGTGTATTAGCTATGCCCAACAGCCTACTCATAAATACGTATTCGTGCAATTTCCTCTATTGCCCTGAGTTGTTGAATAAGAAACTCCGGTGCTAGCCAGGAACATATGCCTGGCTGAAGGAGAGTTGCCTATCGATATTCATACAGGTCATGCTAGCCTTCTTAAATAAAGGAGTCTTCACAGCGTGTCAGGCATTGAACTCATTTTGTCATGCTTCTGTAGCCATGGGATATTCACTCCCCGTCTTGCATGCCAGCAATGTATGGAATTGAGGGAGGCAAGCATCTAGCCATAAAGCACTGTTTGGACGGTAAATGGCAACGAGCAATATCGGAGGTGGAAAGGCAATGAAATTCGGGGCCGAGACCGGTTTAGAATTATGTATTCGAGATAACCTTTAGGGAGGTGATTAACTCAGTTAGTTGCCAGCGAAAGATTTGGGTAAAGCGCCTTCTTTCCGTAGTACACCAATACCCTGGCTATACGCTAGTTCTACTATGATTTCAGCGCAAAACCGGATTGAAAGGTGTGGAGTTGAGTTGCTCTGCGCACACTATTATGGCGCTATTACCCGAATGTGTTGCTACGACAGAAGCAATGCGGGACATGGCCAGTGTAGGATATAACTGACTCTGCTCGAGTTTGGTAGAGAAAAGAGCAGTGAATCCACTGTGCCTTGTTATAGCAGAGGAGAATATTTCCGAGCCGAACCAATACCGGGGGCGGGTCCTCACTATCTGCTGCCGTGGCAATGATACTTTGTATGTTTTCCTGTATGTGGCACTGGCTTGAGCAGGATCCAAGGTCACCGCGGGGGAAAATTTGGGACTGCGCGAAGAGCGACGACAGCGGGGACATAGGCCAATGCGGAGATCTTTCCCCACGGATAGTACCAGAGACCTCATATCAAACCTGGATAATAATGTCAGTGCGGAGTACGGAGTACTGGGTATGAAGTATATGTGATAATAACGACGATAAGATATTATTATTTGTCAGGAAGATAGGCAACGAAGAGCAGATACGAAGTGGAAGGTCGAGTAATATTAATCTCATATGGGAAAGCGTCCGTCTGTCCATCCAAACCGACGAGTTTTCGGGCAGAGATTAAAGGGCCGACCAGACAAATCTCAAACCGGCAATTTCCGTTCTTTAAGATCCGATGAGAGAAAAACGCGCAAAGGAGGAGAGGAGCACTTAAAACGTGCTTCATCCCGCGGGGATGTATCATAAAGGTGTCCTTTTCTGCAGAATCGAGCAGGGGAGATACCTTTCTTTCTTCCTTTCTTTTCCTTTTCTTGATCAGGGTGATCAGAACTGTGGAGAGACTCTGTATTCCTTTGGCGTAATAATATTAACAACCTGGGCCTGCGATAAGCTGGGCTCCCCTGGTCGGCGGAAAAGATCCATGTTCGATGCCGGCGGTCCTCGAGGGTGAGGGGTGGGGGGAGAGGGAGTTCAGCGGGAGATTTTCTCTAAAAAACTATCATTGAATTTGGGTGTTTGCTCGTGAGTTTCGAGAGAGGAGTATCGGCACGGGGATGGGCCCACCCGAGCCAGAGGGTCCTCGCTTCGTGACATCACGACGGGACCTCTTTTCGCTGTTAGTTCGCAGGTGTTTGGCGTTGGAGTTCTAGTGCCGTTCGCCCCTTGCATGGGGGGAATAGACTAGGCCAAGCTGGGACTAGCCGCAGTCCGCTTCGGGGAGCAGGTCAAGTGATCTGCTGTGATCTCCATGAAGCTCGGCATCCATCAGTCCACTCTGCCGACTTCCAGCGCCCGGATCAACCCTCCTCGAGCCCGAGATATGAGGAGCATGCGTTTGATTGACAAGTCTTTACTAAGGGACGGAGCATCTCCCCCGATGATCTCCTCATCACTTGCAGGAGCCAAGTTTGATCCCACCCGGCGAGATACACATACGTCATTTCACAGGCAAGTAGAAAGTGAAACTCTAGCTTCAAGGATATATTCAAGGTGAGAAGTACGAGGACAAGCGCAAATTGCCGGGCCCAACAAACGAGCTATTCTCATTAACTTCTCTAAAGTCGGCGACCAACGACTGGCTGTTCTTCTCGCTAGCTACCCAAGCTGGCAACGCACGCACGGCCTACTCGTTATGTTCTGTGCACGTACGGAGTAGGGAGGACCTCGAATCTAAATGAAAAACTTTAAGCGAAGGTTGCGATTGCTACCAATAATTGGGAGAGGTTAACCCGGGTAAACACAAAAAAGGGTCTTCAGTCTCAATAAAAAGTACGACATGCGTTAGCTAGCGCTGCGACGGGTCTCTTGAAACGCTGTTGAGGTCGGATTAAGGTTTGATAGCGCAGCGTTCACCACGTGCTAGTCTGCGGATTTCTTCAGAACTCGCTGCGCCAAGCAGTTCGGATCGACTGAGCCGGAGCAACCGGGGTGCCAGCGAACGGACAAGCGCTCGGAGTCGTATCAGCTGCGAATACGGAGTCATGAAAGTCGTCGTACCAACGCCCTATCTGCACGGACGAGCATGATGTATGGTACCTAGTTACATGCCCAGGCATGTCACAGGACACCAGGGTATCTATCCTACGAATTGCGCACGTTCCAGAATCCGTCGGTGAAAACTCAAACCTCCCGCGCGTTGGCCGTTTCTCTCATCCTTTCAAGGAGCTGGAACAGGGCGATCCACAAGCCGGACTTGTGATTCGCTCCAGGTAAACCTTCCTGGTGGGAAGCAAAGTTTCGGTCGAAGCTTCGAAGAATTTTGGTCATCGGGGAGTAAAAAAAAAAAAGAAAAAGAAAAAGAAAAAAAATTTCCATTTTCGCCTCACTTCCTCTCCGGTTTGTCGTTTGATTAGTATTTGAGTTCCTCAACTCCCTTCTCCCGGGCTCATTGGGTATTCCTGTTACTGTCACTTTTGCAATAATTTCTTTTCCCTGCTTCCCTTGCCATATCCTCATACCAAACTCTGCAGTGCTTTAGGATATGGGCTGATTCCCATCGGACACTCTCGTTTTCTTGTTGTTTAGTTTCTTGCTTGGATACCGTAAAGGATACCCAATCCATTCGTCATAATTATTTCTCCTATAACCACTATGCTTCCTCCTTCTAATATCCTTGTTCTTGGTGGCGGCATTGCGGGCATTGCCGCCGCCCTTGCCCTATCCAAACAGCTCACTCCGCTTAATCCCGATGTCAAAATCACCATCTACGAGCTCCGCGATGTACCCTCTACCTCCGGCGGAGCTATCAATCTCACTCCCGTCGCCCAAAGGCACCTTGCCCAGCTTGGTGTCATCGAGGAACTCGATAGAATGGGCCCCGATGCAGGCGTTGACGTAGACGGGATAGAGTACTACTCCATCCACAGCGGCCGGAAGATGGGAAACGTCGATTTTGCCGGTAAGAATGGTCGGGGCTACGGTGGGTACAAGGGTAGAAGAGTGATGCGAATCTGTCTCCATCTCGCCATGTTAGCTGCTGTGGAGAGGGTCGGTAACGTCTCGGTCGAATTTGGCAAGAAAGTGATTGGAGGAGTAGAATCAGAGAAAAGCGTCACTATATTCTTTGCGGACGGTGGGAGTGCAACAGGTGATTTGGCGGTTGGATGCGACGGAGTTCACTCCAACACTCGCACAAAGATCGTCGACCCCGAAAGGCCTTCCGAGTATACCGGTATATCCTTTATACAAACCACGATACAGACAGACAAAATAGAATCGCCCATCCACTTCAAGGCCACTGCGATGAACCGATCGAGGCGAGGTGCGCTATTGACTACGTTCTGTGATTTGCAGAAGACCGAGATTTTTGTCGCTGGGTTGGTACAGATAGACCCTTCCCTTCTGTCAACTGATGCCTGGAGGCAAGAAGGAACGGGTAGCTTCAGGCCAAGGTGGACCCCTTTGAGAGCCCTTCGCGATGATATCCGTGGGCGATTCGGGGAGTCCGTAATACCGTGTATTCGCGAAATAGTCGAAAAGGCTGAAGGGTGGTCGATATATCCGGTATATCAGCTTGCTCCTGGAGGCAAATGGTCGACAGAGCGGATAATATTATTAGGCGATGCGGCGCACGCGGTATGTAATCTTCAAAGTGCCTGGCTTGCAAACACTGTATCGCTGACAGTCAGTGTGTAGATGCCACCTCGTGATGAATCGGCCGCATATGCTCTTGATGATGCTATCCTGTTCGCTCGTGTGCTCGCTGTCTATTACGGTCAGCCTCTCCACGATGCGTTCCAAACCTACGATAACATCCGCAGGAAGCCTATCAACGACGCCTACAAGGATTCTGTTGCCGGGTGGGCAAACAATAGAGATCATGGCAAGTGGGCAAGTAGGCTAGAGGAATGGCTGACGCCGTGGCACCTCAGACGAAGAAAGAGAGCCAGAGTGGGCGCCTGGGTATTTGACGCCCATTCTGTGGAGATTCCACCACCTAAGCACTGGAAGGAGATCGATGCGTGGTCATAAACAGCAACACCCCTTTTTCAGTCTTTCCTTAAATGTTTTCTTTCTCTTTTTCTTTTCGACATTTTTTCCTTTGTTTGCTTTCTGCCCTTGTTAAAATGCATCGGGAGGCGTCTCGTTTTGGATCTTAGTTTCGGAGTGGGCGCATTTCCGCATGATGGAACATATCCCTAGCCAGGATCAAATAAGGCTCTTTCACACTGTATGGTGTTGAAGTACTCCCGTATATATTGTTTTTTCCATGGATATCCCATGTAGTTGATAGAGAATTTTTATTTATGGACCTTCTCCTTTCTCCACTCTCGTTCTGTGTCTTTTTCTCTTTTTTTTCTCCGCTCTTTCTTTTCGGGCCTCGGCTCCCCTGAAACTGATCAATTAACTTACGCAGCTGATTAAAACTGGCTTGAGTCGCTCGTCTCTCGACAAGCTACGAGCGGATTGCCGCCCGGGCAACTCCAGGAGAATCTGTTAGCTAACCGACTACGCACTTGGGTTGTTAGTTAGCTTTCGGATTAGTTATTTTGGCCCCTCTCTCGACCATCCCAGATGCAGGCTGGCGCCACCAACGGTCATCTGGAGGTCACTGGGCTGGGCGGGCTACGACAGAACCGGCTCATTATGTGTGTACGTACCTCTTTGGTGCATACATGCTACGCACGTCCACCCCCCCCACAAAAAAAAAAAAAACACACACACACATATATATATATACCAGTGTCAACGTCTTCGACATTGATAGACAGAGACACTGACGCCTCTGTGGTTTCTTTTTCTCAGCGGTTCCGTATACAGCTTACTTATCCTGGCCGTGGCTGGCAGCATTGGAACCTGCACTCGGAGTATGCTTCGACGCTGTCTGCGGTTGAGGCTGAGAAGTTCCAAATGGGATGAATGGTTGTTGTTTACTGTGATTGTTAGTTATTCTTGCCTTTGCTGGCATGCCTTCTAGGTGCAAGTGTGGCTCCTTCTCCCACTGGCACTGTAACTGGCAATTTCCACAGCGGGAAGATGCATGTCGAACCCCTTCCTGCCATCTTGAGCCTTTTTGGGGCGATTTCCAAATTGGTGATGTCGCCTCGCCTTTCTCCTCTTCTCCCCTTCTCCTCTGCTTCTTCACTCTTCTTCTCCTCTTCTCCTCATCCTTCTCTCCCCCCACTCAGGTAGATCACCACACAGCATCTTCAAAGCGTTTGTATGCCTACTTGGTGGCATTCTTCTCCTTTTTCGCTTCTTGGATTCGTCACTATTAGCGTTATATTCTACTACACTCTCACTCTTGATTGTCAACAACTGTTGTCCACATGCTTTTCCTCTGGGTGAAGCTGGGTTTGACCCTGCTCCTAGCTAGGTTCACCGTAGCGTCTTTCAATATCTACGCCAAGTACGATCATAATGTTATTGCTGCAGCTCTTGGGGTTTCGTCTCAATGCCTGTCAGCATTGTAAGTGCTTATCTGCCCAACTATATTTCTTCGCGTGCTGTTTTAGAGTTGGGGGGGCTGACATACAGACCTCTCCAGGAATCAAACAGTGGAATGTGATCAGACGAATGCTGCTCGGGCAGCTCGGGGTATTGACAATGATTGTGTGTCATTCAAAGCCCCTTTTTGCTTAGCTAAATGTTGTTCAGTAATAACCCTTTACCTACCCAGTTTGGTATAGGGATAACCTCACGGCGCTCTGCACACAGGAGTGCTCGGCCTCTCTAGCTTCATGGCTGTCAACAGTGGAAAAGGAGTGCTCCAAAGACGAAGTAACTACAAATGGTATTCTTTTCGAACCAAAGGCATTTCCTCTGAAATACATTGCCGGCCATGACCTTGCCTGCCTCCGGGATGTGTAAGTGTCGATCTCCCACGCTCAGAGGAATAACGCGTGTTTCCACTGACGTACCTTAGTTCCGACACTTTTTGCATCCTGGAATCTCAGAAATGGGACGGTAGCGTTTATACCAAGTGAGCGCCCCTGGAAAATACTGTCAAAACGATAACAAGCCAACAACAGCTCAAGATGGGATATGGAAAGTTGCAACGAAGAAAACCCTCCAGCGTCCTGTGGCGAGCAAGTTGATCCCGGAAAAGAACAACCTATGTCCGTTACGAATGCGTATCCACGAGAGCAGGTGGGATCTTTTAATTCTTGTAAACAATAGCATCTCCTAAGGGTGACATAGTATTGCAGCGAGTGTTTCCTGTTGCTGTGGAGGCAGCGTCTTCTTTCGCCCACTCTTCCTCCCGGTAACTTTACCGATTATCTCATCGACCAGTTCAAGGTGTTGGAAGAGACATGCTCGACAGAATTACCGTTCTCAACGTCTGCTCAAACCCTTATCATTGGAGCTGCGACTCGCGCCCCTTCCTCTCCGACTCGCAGGAGTGTCATGAGGAAGTCCATGAATCCACATAGAGGGCCGCATTATAGTACTGGTGAGTAAGCCTATAAGTGAGCCCTTAGCACTTTTAACCTTAAGTGAAGCCGTGCCTCCGATGCCTACCCAGCCGGGTGCGATCGCATCTTGCGGTGCCTATTATAACGTAGTTCCTGGTGACACGGTTTGCCGGCCCGTGAGCTCTTTCCTTTTCAAATCCCAGCTAATGATATGGAGTAGTGCGTATCTATTGCGCGTCGATTGTAAGTTGTCCCGTTTCATGTCTCCCAAGAAGGTGGAGAAAATAAGTCCCTGTCTGGCGTCTGCATGATTGAATATTGAACATCGAGAAACCACCTAAAAAGATCATCCGATGAAGAGAGGAGCTCGAAATTTCCATTGCTTCTGGGGGCTTCTAAGCCCTTAGGGAGTATGCCCCTAAACTAGAGGCAAAATTTATCTCGTTTGCTCAGGCATTGGCCGACCTTTACTAGCAAACTTCAAGGACTCGTTTTGGACACCAGTGCTTTATAGCTTTGGCAACATTACTAACAAGGATCATAGTGGAATCGACTACAGTGAAGTATTGGACTACAACACGCAGGTAGGACTCCCTCTGCTATCAATACATCGCGTTCTGTTGTTTAATGCCTTACATTTGCAGATCGATTCTGAGTGTAACAATCTATGGGTCAACTACGCTATCTGTGTAGCACCCGTGACTACAGCGCCGACAGAGCCCGAATGGAAAAGCCCATCTGAAGGATCGTGTGAAGGTGACCTTCCCCTAATGAGCAAACCTTGGTCGCCCCTTAGACCCCGGCCGACTAAGGTCACGGAACCCCCAGAGCTCATCAGCAAAGATGGAAGGTGTAATCAAACTGTCAGCTGCGTAGGATCTGGCTTCGGTGAGTGCTGTAGTACCAGTGGGTACTGCGGCTCAGGGCCGTTGTGGTGCGGTAGGTAATCATATAATACACTAATAAAAGGAATTTATGCATTGATACTTTGCTTTCAGGTCTCGGCAACTGCGTCTCTGGGAGTTGTGACTCTAAACCCGGCCAAGTTAGCACTGATGGAAGCTGTGGGCCGCGTTTTCCGGGCAATAAAATTTGCGAAGGGTCAAAATTTGGCGATTGGTGAGTTGTGATTTGAAATCACATTGAGGCGTCTGTGTTTATGTGAATACTAACATTTTGCTGAAGTTGTTCCATTAGAGGCTACTGTGGTTCAACAGAATTGTACTGCGCAGCTGACAATTGCCACTCTGGGAATTGTGAGAAAAAGGCCGGCGGAGACAACAAGGATGGCAAAGATGATAAGAAGGATTAGGATGAAGACCTAGATGACAAGTATGGTGACCACAGGAAGCATAAGAAACACCAGAAAGACGGTAAGCACTGACCAATTTGAGAATAGCAATGTTGAGGTGAGGTGTTAGGAGCAAGAAAACATCAGCATTCACAAGAAATGCACATGATACTGCTTTAGTTAGTATTTACACTACCTGAGGTGACTATTGTTATAATGAAAACTATGGGGATCAGCCGTTGCAACAAGGCTTCTTGTGGCTGGATAATTCTCCCTGTTGTCATATCAAGATTAAGTAGCATTGCTGGCCTGGCCTGCTGATATCGAGAGAATAATCAACAGCTGATTCCAAGCCATTCAAGAGAGCAGACTGTCATCTAGCATAGATGATTTTCTTGCAAAACATGAATCGATGGGGACCGAAGAGGTGCGCCCGTCACTTTATTCGTTTTTATTTGTCTGTTTGATGGGTGCAGTCGACATAGCTTTCTCCAAGTTCGACGCCCAGAGTGCGGCACCAACGGTGTTCGTGTAAGCGAGTGCCAGGGAGGCAAAGGGAACTATCTCAAGGACAAACGCCGCAGCACCGAAACTATCCCCGAGATTAGCAAAAGTTTCCAATTTACCGCTTCGCTTGCTGGCACAATCTGGTGGTTTATTCTGTTCCTGCAAGACCTCCTTTATACCATGCAAAGGGAGAAAAGGAACAGAAAATTTCGACTCCATACCTCGTATATGCGGCACGATTCTCCTTCAGCCACCTTTCCTTCTCCTCCGAAGTCCACCCTTTCAGCTCAAAATACCTGACATGCGCCATGTTCCCCACCCTCTTCCCCTGCCCGACCAAGTACATCAAACTCCCCACCACTGGCACAAAGTTCAGCGGCAGATATAGTAGGGAACGCAACCACATAGTCACCACGCTCCCAACCCCACCACCCGTAAACCGCCTTCTCACCACCCGTCCCAGCCGCGCGATCGGATCGCCGACACCTCCCGAACTGTCGAGCTCCCGCCCTCGAGCCACGAGCGCGGTTTGCCCGCGCGATAGTAGTGTTGCGTCGAAGGTATCTAAAAGCGAATCGCGCAGGATGAAGGAGCGGGCCAAGAAGTTTGTCAAGGTGGAGCTTTCGGTGAGGACGAGGAGGGCGGCGGAGAAAGGGGCGAATGGACCGGAGGTGAAGGCCAAAAGGGCCGTTTGAGGGATGTAGGTGAAGAAGAACATGGATGTGGTTATGATGATGGAGAGGGAGAGAGTCGGGGCGAGGGTGGAGAGGAATGGGCGCCAGAGGCTTCGGTGCGTGAGGAAGTAGAAGATACCCTGGAGAGAAGGGCGTGTGTTAATAAGAGGTACGGTCGGAAGGGAAATGGGGGGTTTTTTACTTGGAATGGGTAGGTGTATGCTCCTGAGCGGAGGCCGTCTTGAACAAGAGTGCGGATGGTTTCGATCTCGTCGAGGGCGAGGGATTTGATGCGGTCCATGATGGTGGGGTGGGATTGTGTGATTGACATTGTTGCTGGTGATTTGGTAGTAGCTCAAGGTCTCAATGGCTGCTGGAATGGACGGATGATTCACTGTCGTTGAGGGGCCTTCACTGCCGAATTGTCTGGTGGCATCGTGCGCATTCGAGATACAACTATCCTGGGAACGAACACGCTCGGCTGGGGATGCGGGTGATGATGTCATGGTCTGTCCAGTGTCGCGTTGCTGCAACACGTGGGCGCGGTCGGGGTCGAGATCGATGGAGTTACGTCATTGGCGCGGAACGAAGCTTCAAAAAGGCGGCTCAAATTGAGAATTACCAGCTCAGAGGAGGAAGAAAAAGTACATACACACGCTCTTGCTTTTGCGCTTTTGTTTATAGAGGGCTAGCAGCATGTCGAATATTTGATAATCCCGGGGTAGAACCCTCCCTAACATCCGAACCCCATATAGAAAGGCTCACTCCAGGGATTCGCTCCGCTGGGAACACCCTAAACACCAAACACCTGCCCTACCCAAGGGGTCATTAACTTAAAACTATGGTTCAGACAAAAGAAATGAAAGGAGAGGCTTAAAAGAGAGCAAAAAAAAAGATGATTCCGTAAGCAAAAAAAGGAAAAAAGAAACAGGCGGGAACCAAGGTATCATTATTCAACGGTTTCTCGGAGATCGTGTATGGCGAGATTGATGCCACATCGAATCTCCGCTCAAAGCAGATAAACTTAGATTCGCAAGATTTCGCCAGCTCGACTGCGCTGCCGCTGGCCCATGTGAATTGCCGAGCAGGGAAGCGGATGGGCTGACTCCCCGTTCGAGGTCCGAACCTAAATCATCTTCTGGAATGGGGATTGCTGATGTCGGAGAGTCATTGCGTGTTTCGGCGATTTGTGCTTGACCATCGTCCGATGTAGGTTGAATTTGTTCCATATGCCGGCCAGAGGCAGCAGCACCAAGTGAACGAACGACATCGCCTTTGCAAATTGGACAAGTACGCCGGCGTGTCGTAAGCCATGGAGTTCTAGTATAGGTCGTTAGTACAAATCCACATTTGGATATATCATTTGGGGATAACGCTTACATGCACTCGACATGGAATTCATGGCCACAAGGTAAACTCATGACTTTGCTCTGCCCATCGATATATTCTTCCAAGCAAACAACACACTCAACTTGTCTCCCTGTGTATTTTCGGCGCCATAGCGTCGATCCGGACCGTGACTTTTCTACCTTATCATGTCCCGGATCCAAGGAATTTGAAGAGGCTGAAATAGGCCCACAAGTCTGTGAACGAGGTCGGGGGCGTGGCGAATGGGGTCGAGAATGTGATAGCAAAGGGGACGAGGGTGACGAATCGTCTGGAGAAGGCGTATTTGGAGTGCTGACGTTGGATATTGTATGATATGTCCTGACAGGAAGACGATCAACGATGGCCTTCGGAGCACGCCATCGCCGACGTCGAATTCTTGATCGTAGCAAAAGGAGTGCATATACAACAGTCAAAGTGATCAAGGGGCTAACAACTAAAACGAGTAAGGTGTCGAAAAAAGGGCTTGTGGACATGCTAGTGGGAGTCAATGTCACCCAAAGTCCTTCACGTTCAATCCCGTTTCCACCATTGGCATTTCCAATAGAACCGGCAGCACCGTGAAACTTCTTGGCTTCAGGAGGAACTTTGGGTGATTCTGGCGCCGGCGGGGGATCATTTTCCTTTGATCCGCCCAACCGAAAGTGGCCACTCCACCAGTGTCTGCTCTTGCTTCCACTGCTCTTATCTTTTCCGGGCTCATCCAGGCTGTCCTTCTGGGTTCTGTACTCTCCGCTTCTTGGAGTGGTGCTCCCTCCTTCTAGCACACCCGAATCCGAATCCTGTTTTGAGGCATTTCCCTTCTGTCCACTGTTGCTTCGACCTTTGGCACGCGACGATGGAGTTGCAGTAGCCAAAACACTAGTGCTTGTTTTAACTGGTACTAAATCGGGGTCACGCCAATCTTGAACACCAATAACAAAGTCGTCATTGCTAGCGGGCTGCGGGGAATTTAGTGAACTACCAACTCCCCCTGCTTGCTTATCTGACTTTTTCCCCTGATCAGGCGTGTCACGAGATGGCCAGTCAATATTTCCACTGCTAGGCGGCCGGCGGCTATCTTCCTGTATATTCGAAGGAGAACTCTTCCGACCAGAAAATCCAAAGAAGGAAGCGAGGGATTGGAGAAATCCGTGGTTGTCGGCCCGAGACGAATCGGACTTCGCAAGCGAGGTAACTTTTGGTTTTGATGCACCCCTAGAAGAAGTAGCTTTTCCTTTTCCGAGACTGGGTTTTATCTTTTGCTTTCCATCCCCTGGGACGATCTTGGGGGCATCGAATGCCCTTTCCGGAGGAACAAGCGACGAAAGAAGATGTGCGGTTGTGTAGGATGTAAAAACGGCGGGAATCGTCACATTGGACGTATCACCACGAGCATACATTGTCACCAATCCCCCACCCCGTGTGTCATCTCCCACAATCAGGGCGATACCGCCTCGACGCTGCACCCATTTAACCTTTTCAAGAAACCCACATCCGCCTCTGCTTAATAGAACTACCTTGCCTGATATTTCCGCACTCTCCTGCAGTGACTGAATATCAGCATGAGTAGAATCCCTGGGTCTATCGTTCGGTCGGCCCACGCCACCGTTTGGGTTTGGATCTGGGGTATATGACTGCGGTAGCGGGTGGTGGAGATGGTCATCCGTTCCGTCCTTTTCGCTGGGACCGCTAACTCCACCGGCTCGGTTCACATCATCATTACTTTTTTGGCGATCATTCAGAGCAACACCAGGCCCAGCCCCCTCTTCACTACGGCCATCTTTATTAAGTCCGTCTTGGGTACCCGCCCCAAGCCGCACGTTCTTGTTTTTGCTACCATCCTCCCATCCAGGGACATCTGAACATCCGAGTTCACCCTCAGCAGCAACTCCCACGCCGCCTTTTCTCAAAGTGTCATCACTAAACCCACTCCCGATCCACAAGGGGCCACTTAGACCCTTCGACGGTAAAGGAGGGCCAAACGCAGCAGGCCTAGCCAAGAAGAAAGTAGAGTTGTCTTCGGTCAAGCTTATAATAGCAGAGGGAGGGAAGAGAGCCGATGGGGCGTGGAATGAGAATAAAGCTCGTAGGCGACCGGTGCGGTGAGAAGGTGTTGAGGTAGCTGCAGTACCCTGTCGAAAACGTGCGGACACGAGGGAGAACGTGGTGAGGAGGAGAGGAAGGAAGATGAAGCACGCAAGCAGGAGGAGTAGTGTCGGTGGACGCATTGCGGCAAACCGACTAATATCAAGCTATATTTCTGGATAGGACTAAGAGGTCCCCGATGCCGCCGGGAGGGCAAAACGGGCGGTCATCGAGCGTGTATACGTAATTCAAGGAGGTCGAGGGGAATTCGCAGCTAGGCGCCAGAACTGAAGGAACAGAGCAAGAGGTATGGGGGGATTTGCAAAGGCAGCCTTACTTATGAGAAGCAGCTGAAGAACGACCCGGGGGCTCCAGAGGCCGGAGGAAGAGCATTGTCTCGCGATGAAGAGGGTTGGGAGATCGCAATTCTCCCGGATTCAGGCTGTCACCCTCGCGTGTTTCTTGCCGCTCTTGGCAGCCTTGGCGCAAAGTGACTAAGCCATTACCGCAGAAGCGGGCTTGGCACAAATGACGTCAAAGATTTTGCTGCTCAGGGGCCTTTTTTGGGTCCGCTTCAAGCAACGCGGAGCCGACGGCGGGAAACAAAAAGTGCTTGTTGATATGTATTCCCACAACAAATTAGTTACAGAGTACGGGATATAACTTAAGCCCTGCAAATCCGGGCACTGCCACATCTTCCGATTACACTCATATCCAAAGTTCCAGTACTCCGTACCCAGTAATCTGTATTCTGTACTCTGTCCAGTATCCAAGAGATCCTCACCGTATTTCTGCAGCAACCAAAATAACCTTTCTATGCAAATGGGTATAGAAAGTGTCCGTTCTTCCAGTTTCTATGGTTAGCATCCATACATCTGTGTGCGCGAAGCCGGTTTTCTTACCTCTCCAAGGTTCTCAGGGTCAATTCCGGACAGTTCATCAGTTTGGGGTACTATGTCAGTTTCAGGCTCTGCATCAACTGCGGGCCCAACACCGCTCTCCGGTTTATTAAATGAGATCAAACCATCCTTACCCGACGTCTCCTTGATTGTAGCCTCTGATAGATTGAGCGTGTTGAATTCTATTCTCCCCTCTGTCTGGAGGTTCCAGGCACGGTAGTACACGTCATCCTCAAAACCGAGATTATCGCCTCGTCTATCTTTACAGGTACTTGGACTATATTTGAGCATCTTCTCAAAGTCTGAATCACAACCCACGCTCTCGACGCTTGGGGTATCTGGTAAAGGCTGCCTCGTGAATCCGAATGGCACTGGTTCAAATGGCATATAGAACCATTCCCCGGTCCGTCTGTCCACGAAGCAGAGGTGATTTAGCCGCTTGTGCGGCGGTACGGTTTCGGCACGCCTGATCCTCTCTGCGGATGCATCCCACTTGAGCCTATGTCCATCTGAATCACACAAGAAACGTTCTGTTCGAAATAATGCAGCTGGCAACGCGGTTGGCCAGCCAGAACCAGAGTAACGGCGCTTTGGGCTTTGCCTCGGTGGGCGATTCAGATATTCGTCCATGTCTATAATTTGGTGAGGCGGCGTGAACGGCGCTCGCATAGGCATTCCTGGTTCGCCGTTAGTACTTGGCCCGATCCTGGTGCCACTTCGCTCGGTTTCGGGGGAGCTGGAATTAATTAGGCGCTCAGGATGCGAGATATCGGAAAGTACTGAGTACATGAAGGGGGATGATACACCTGAATCCGACCAGAAGCTGGATTGAGAGCTCGAATCATCATCACTCTTTTTGAACCAACTCTTTATAGAGGCTTTCGGCTCCTTCTTGCGCACCGTCCCTGCAAGAAATGAATCAGTGAATAGCTCTGACGCACACAAGGGGTATCATTCACGTGGTTTATTATTTAATGATGAGGCGCTGTCCTCCGTTATCTTCCCCTTTGGCGCCCAAACCGAGTTAATATACTGACTAGCGTTCTCTAACCCGAGAATACACAGAATGGAAATAGTCAAAACCGGAAGAGGCCTTTCGACCAGCAGCTTCCCCCCTGGTTTAATATTAATACATGATAGGGATGCTGTCGAGTAGTGAATGAATTTTTCCGTACCACCCTTGAATATCGAAAGCACCCACTTCATGCTTTTCTTTCTGAGGAAGAATCGAATCCACGAGTTTAACAGTCCAGTCATACCTGAAGAAAACCAGACGAACGATTCGAGCTCGCACCCGTACCTAGTTATGGAGCGAATAGCAGCTTGGCCTCCTCTCACTCGCTAGCTAACAGGTAACTCAGTGTCTGCGCGATGCAGTCTCATCTTTCAAGGGTTCTCCAGTGGCATCCTCACCTATTTATGGCCTTCTACCCCAATCGACTAGTCGTCTTGAAATGGCCGAGAAGCCATTACAGAACAAGGGCAACCATCAAAGAGAGAACGAGGTCTTTGACAGCATTTGTATGGATCGACAACTGAGATCTTAAAAGTGCCAAAGAGTGCTCCTATTGCGCCCGGTTCATTCCACGGACATGGTGTTGTATTCAAACAATCAATGAAGGAATCCATTGTCCGGGGCCTTTAGACCGCCCCATTGAAATGGTGGAGGGATCTTGGGCTGAGGAAAAAGTTGTTCAGCCGGTTTTTCTGGTTGTCACATATATGCGGGACTCTTTTGGATTTCATCCAGATTGTGGACTTGAATATCGAGAGAATGTCGTTCAGCTGAAATTTGTGGTATATTAGCAGAGCATGTTTTCCGTAGCAAGGCGCGGCGCATTCGGGATCCCAGAAACAAAATAACAAAGCCTAGTTGTGGGCTTTGGGGTCTTTCCTTTTCAACATGGCGACTCCTAATAGCGATCCAAGCCGCATCCTTGCAACAGCGGTTTCAATTTGGCGCAAAGTCAAGTCTCGAAGATGGAGAATCATGCAAACAGGGCAAACCACTGCCCAGGGAGTTTGATCGGCTCCTAGCGACATCCCAAGCACTGGCGATAGGGAGCGAGTTATCTTGCAGGAAGCTGCTATCTAATTGGTGATTGGTGATGAGAGATATGAGTTTTCATCTGACTTCGGTGTTGATTCGACGTCAGCTCAGGCTTGCATTGCCTAGGCACTGGGTGTGATCCACAGGATAGATTCGCGGTCTGCTATGCTTGCAGCCTGAGGATTTGCGACTTATGGGATAACTTGTTGGGCCAGTTGACTGCTAACTAAACACGAGTTAGCTAGTATCTCTTTTTTCGGCAGCCTAAAGCAGGCTATCTAATTCTTCCCAGTTTCCTAAACATGAGTTCTACCTCGTCACCCCAACTTCTGCGCACCAAACAAGTCATTCATAATACGGATTACATAGAGAATATCGGGACAAAGAAGCGTCGGTCTTTAAGGTTGCGATGGAAGAGCCACGCACTTCTCTCCTCTGTTTCCTGTGTTCTGGAAGCGGTCTGACGCACATTTGGACGAGGGAATTCACTTACTAAATACGTATCCAAACCCCACGAGAGAGACATCCAACTACCAACATTGAGTGCAGGGGGGTTTTTATTAGAAGTGCCACATCCCTTTGGATTGAAACGATTAGTTGCTGACGTACCAAGTGACATAAAAGCGATTGAAGTGCATATCACTATCGTTTGTGGTAATGATTATATTTGCGGCATCGGATGGAAATCCGCATCTGGTGACACATTCTTGGGTTATAAGTCCAAATTCCGACGCTGGTTGCATTGTCAACCGAGAGAATGCAATAAACTGCGCTTCATCGTGGACCCTCGAGGACTTAGAAGCTTAAAGCTTCCCGGCTCTGAATGGTCGTGTGGAAACCCAGAGAATATTAAAGGATGGGAAGGAATGAGTTTGCAAAGGAGCGCAAAAATATGTGTCGTACTCGATGTAGGTAGAGCCCTGGTTGAAAATAGGTCACATAATCGGTCCATTGCTGATTGCTCCTGTAGCAACTGAAGTTTCGACAAATTACCTGGTCACATAGCGGGGATGTTTCATTCGACGAAACACTGCTCATGGGGGGAAAACATGGCTCGAATTTTGGAACTCTGTCTGAACAATATTATGTCCGGGCATCTCCACAAGAGGCTGAGAATGTTAGGCGTTACGGTAGCTTTTGTGTAGAGGCTATCACATTGGATGAGAATTTGCATGGAATCACGATGTATGATTCCGGTATCAATTCAGGGATCTCGGGTGTGCGCGCATATTTTCCAGAATCTTCTCAGTGCATAGGCCTGGAAACGGGTTTCGACATGCATTTTTTGATTAATGGGCCGGCCGAGGTGGTTAGCGGACTTGACATACGACTGACGGAAACCGCTCATTCATCGCAAAAACTCTCTATCACGGTAAGGCGATACACGTACTATGATATCTATATTGTTAATTACTCACATTACGTGCTAAGGTGAGGACAAACTGGGATAGGGAATATCTCTTCGGGAGTCTCCCTGTACGAGGTCATTTATATTCGACAAAGACCCCAAGACCTCCTCCAGGGAACTATATCCATTCTATATATTTTGGAATGGAAGATAACCGGACCTTTACATCATGCGGGATAGTATATCGAGCTGGATCACGAGGAAGTCCACACCCTTCGAGCTGGCCTATTCTAAGGCCAAACAGAATAACTCCGCGTGGGGGTTACGAACATCCTCGCCAATACGAGTCTTATGCCAGCCTGGTCGGAGTGAGTCGCATCCTGTTTTATCGTGCAGACGGAAAATATCTAGGCCTTAGACTCTTCTATGATTACGGCGGAGCCGAAATCGTTGGTCGACTGGCCGAAGATCACGATTATGAAATCGTCTTGGCCAAGGGAGAAAAGATATGCAAGGTATGGGCCGATACTCACGAGGATAGGATCACAGATCTTGAGTTTGAAACGGATCGTCCTCGAGATCTAAAGCGAAAGGGTGCGAGCTTTACCGCGATCGGATCAATGGTAAGCCATATAAGGTAGTTCACCACTAAACGAGCCACACCACTAAACGAGCCACACCACTAAACGAGCCACACCACTAAACGAGCCACACCACTAAACGAGCCACACCACTAAATGAGCCAAATTTTCCACCACCAAATTCCTCCAACATTCAACATTCAATATGTGACAACATGGTCAACAATGTCTTAATTAGGCTTGCAATTGAAGATCTTGAATTGCAAGAGACTCTAAATTATGCTGCAACTGCAAGAAAGTATTCAGTCAACTGAGAGACCCTGTGCTGATGGCATAAAGACTTGCAACTTGCTCAGAATGAAGTGGCCTTCTGATATAAGAAAAAGCTCTCTGATATACAGGAGGCAGAGCTTCTGAATTATATAAACAAGCTCTCTAGCTGTGGCCTTGCCATTACATCTCAGATCCTATAAAATATTGTACAAGAGATGACAGGAGAGAATGTTAAAATCAACTGAATTAATTAATTTTGTGAGTGGCATAATGACAAGATCAAATGTATTTATCTCAAAGCAATTGATTAAAACAGGCAGGTAGTAGATAACTATCAGTGCTTTAAGCACTTCTATATGCTTGTAATTTGATGATTTATTTGATTAATTGTGATTGTGGTTATTAATACTGGCCAATTATTTGATACTTATGAAGTAGTTAGAGCAGAAAATCAATTAATATAATCTTAAGCCCTCAAACATCTATAACTTTAATAAAAAAAAATTTCTTCTAGGCCTCTGCTATGCCTTAAAGTGATTAGTCTCTATTAAAGCTCTATAAGCTGGAAAGAATGCTGTCATCCAGAATAATAGTTAGGAATTTCTCTTATTGCTCTGCTCAATCTCTGCTGAAGAAATTGCACTATCTCCAGCTCTTATTTACCAGGGTAAATCACAAGATCTCCAGAATATATGGCTAGATAATTATGATGGAAGTGAATGGGTCTACTTTGCAGCTTCAATAAATGGTTGGAGCAATGATGAATATGAACTGGAGTGGTTGAAATGAGTTTTCAATAAGCATACTAAGGAACAAGCTGGTTGAGAAAGATGTCTGCTTTTACTAGATGGGCATTTCTTCCATATAAATATGAAATTTATTGAATATGCTGACTGTAAAAAGATTCTTCTTATGATTCTTCCACTGCATTCAACTCACTGTTTGTAATCTCTTGATGTTGAAATCTTTAGACTGCTGGACAAGGCATATTTGAATGAGCTGGAAGCACTACTATGTTATGAAATGGGCTATATTTGAATGACAAAAAGGGATTTCTGGAGACTATTCAATGTGGCTTGAAAGAAGACTTTGACAGTTGAAAATATACTTGCTGGCTTTGCAAAGACTGGAATTAATTCTCTGGATTCTTAATGTTAACTATACTGATTTGAAACTGCTCAAGCCTCTATACTGCCAGTTAAACCTCTTATTTCTAGTAATATGCACCAGCTCCAACAAGAGATCAAGAGTATATGTCTTCAGCACAGCCTAAATTTGCAGAGCATTGAATAGATTATTCAAGCCAGTGAGCAGTTTGCTCTTTGTAATGAACTACTGGAACATAAGAATCAGTGTCTAAGATTAACTCTAGTGATGGAGAAGCAATGCCACAAGTGAGACAAGCCCCTAGACTTACTCAATAGAGATAATTCTAGCCAAGCACAGTTCTGATCTCCAACAAAAGTTCTTAAGGCATGCAAGTGTCTGGATGAAATAGAGGCTGAAAAAGCTGATAAAATTGCTCAAACACAACAGGCAAAGCTTTAATGAGAGCTTCAAAAGAAGCAGGCTGCTAGAGATACTGAAGAAAGATGGATTGAATGAGAGAATATCTGTAAAAAGACCTGTAAGCAATAAGAGACTGAAAAAATCAAATGTGCTAGAGAAAGAGAGACATAACATGTTGCTTGTGAGGAGAAAAAGGCTTTACAACTAGCAGAGAAGAAAAAACAGATAGTTGAACATGCTACTAAATGCTGGCAGTCAGGGCTTCAAGTGCTGGCTTTAAAGTACTGTTGGAAGGACTCCCCTACTAAAGATTCTCATCACAGAGAGCCTATACAACCTTCTAAAAGAGGAAGTAAGAGCTCTACAAGTCTCTCTAGCAAGGCATTAGACTCCCTAGTCAAGAAATCTACTGTTGACATTTCTTTGAATTCTTTCCTATCTACCCCCCAGATCTCTCACTCTGGCTGCAATATTAGGCCATCCACCTGTTTATTTTCCTAACTACACTAATTTCTATGCTTCAAAGAACACATTCATTTAATATTTAATAGCTATTTAATAATAAAGATCTGGTTGTTGAGATATTTAATAAATTCATTGCGTGGAGCATTTGGCGAAATTTGGCTCGTTTAGTGGTGTGGCTCGTTTAGTGGTGAACTACCTTATAGATTCACCAGAATGTCAGGGTTTCACTAACATGATGCTCAGGCTATTGCATGGCGATGGTCGATATTAGAAGATGCCATTCGCACTTTTGCTTCATAGTTAGTAGGACGGTTTAGGGCTCGCAAAAGATGCGTGAAGAGCTTGTGAGCCAGACATAATCTTGCAGTTGCTTTATGGCCATGTAATGGCCGACTTCACCTTTTAGGTTTGCCCAAGCGGCAGTCAAAGCAGCTGCCATCCGTCTAATAATGGAGTGATCTCGACACACGAGCAAAAACAGCCTCGCGTGTGGGTAGCTACCGCTACTACGGAGTAAGGGAATGTGGAGTTTCCCACATTGCTGCAATTGTGCGTACATACTAGGGTTAGAGTGGCTCTGGAGACAGGCTGCTTTAAGAATCTGCTTGACTGAAACACTCAAGCGGGCTGAGCAATCACCAAGCTAGTTAAACCTGCCCAATGCTTCCTTGAGAAGCCCAAGAAAAAGAAAAAAGAAAATATCGGGTGAAACGAAACATCTGATGTCTTGCTTCCGAGACTCTTTTGTGACCGCTTCCCTCTTCATATGAGGGCTAATACAGCAAAGAACCGACCTTGCAGAAAGCACCTAGGCACACAACGTGTGATCCACCGGGGAAGTTTAGCCCCCGACGTATACCTGCCTCCCAGCTGAGTAGAGATATGGATTGGTCACGAAGCAGAGTATCAAATGTTGGAGGGAATCCCTTGATCAATTTAAATGCGCTATTGTGTAGCTCGTTGCCCTTTGGAAGCCGACATGATCCCCCGGTACATACACGAGGTCAGAAATAAGCTCCAATTAAAAACAAAAAATAAAAAAATAACACAGAAGATGATGCCAGTGTCTGCTCGTTAGTGCTTTATACAAATGTTGGACGGTAGGGCTACTTTGCCTACCGTATGGATACTGTCAACCTTATGAGAAGACAACAATAATACAATCACCTATGCTTGCTTTCACTTCGAACCTATCATTCCATCAAAAGGTTGACTTAGTAGACTTGCGAAATGAAAATAGACCTTGTTCCTTTTCATCCATATAAAGATCCGGTTCGGGAATACCGATGCCGAAGCACATAGCATGCATTGTCTCAAGTCACGACTCGATAATCGAGTAATAGTTATCTAGCATCGACCGGGGATGGAGCGTAGGCATGCCGTAATTTTACAATGCCTCGTTCGATTGAGGCACCGACATAGAACCGGTAATGGAATCGAAATGCGGCCGAATCCTCACCGGCCTGTCATCTATACAGCGACGAACTTCCGTACGAAGTTTCGCGATCACAACATTCAACGCGTCTTCCCTCACTTTTGCTGCACTGAAATCATGGATATCAGTAAGGTCTGGAGCTCGCCAATGCGTGTAGACCTTATTATGGCACTGTGCTACAAAATATCTCTCTGGGAGAGAGTTGATGTAATGGTAGCAACAGAAGCACGCTGGTTTGCTGCAACCAACATATCGATCACCTGCAAAGAACTCCCATTTGTTCGATCGAAATTTGTCAACCAATAGAAGCTCCGCGTGGACTCGAGTCCTAAACGTACATGCATCCTTCAATTTTTCTGGTATGTCACAGAAGATATCCAACCTTTCAAGATCCGAACGGGTTTGGTCGGCGATAGATCCCTGGAACATACGACCAACGATTCCGGCAAGCGTTGACTGCTCAGGGTTAAGTGGAGATTGAACGTAGTTAGGCGACTCGCATATACGAAGCTGATAACCGTCCAGCAACTGAGGCAAGTCTAGGGCGCCGTCCACTAAGGCTCTAGCACATTTCAAATAAACAACCAAACGTCCGACGTAGTGCATTGCTCGCGTTATTGGTTTATGCATATCGGTTTCTCTTCTCGCCAGGCTAGCAAGAGTTGGAGAAAAACATCGACCTCTGATACAGAAGTTCATGATGTCTTTGATGGGCTTCTCTTGTTGTAGTGTGAGTTTCTGCATTTCTTGCAACCACTGAATTGCCTTGGACAATTCGGGATCACTGTCGGTCAACTGCACTGCCTCTAGCAACAAAATCAGTAGTCCGGTTCTCGTTGATATTTTGAAAGGGGAAAGGGAAGGGAAAGAGGAAGAAAGAAGTATTGGAGTTGGATAGAGAGAGAAACGAAACGAAGATAATCACCTTCGAGAGACTTTATCTTGTTCAGACATTTCGGGAGCTCTTTCACCAGCTCATTGCAATAATGGCTCAGCCTTGGTTCGCAAAACTCAATGATCCTGCGTATAATTTCTTCACTTGTGGATGACCTTTTCTCTACCGTCACCTCTGTAAGAATTGCAAGAATTCCTTCTAAATAATTTACAGTTTTAGCACTTGGGGTTTTGTTGGCGGAGAGCCAGATAACTGTGTGCTCGGGGGTGGCTTGCAATGCCGCAGCTGTGACAGTGTCACCTCCTTTGCGAAAGTCGCATATTGTTGCGATTCCATTGATGAAAGATCTTCGTAGTTTATCCAACGTGTCATCAGTGGTGTCATTTGTATTGTTAAACCGAACACCTCGAACTGGATCTATAACATGTACCAGAACGAGGGGTTCGTAGAGTCGTCGCTCCAATTTTGGATACCGACGTACAACCCTTTCAACGGTAAGTGCAGCGTGGTTCCCTTCAGCACCTAGCTTTGATGCATCAAACGAACCCGCAGCTTTAGGCGGCTCATTCGATTGGTCTCCCTTCATCTTTGCGCCTTGGTTTTCCTCCTTCGACTTTGACTGACGGCGTTTCCTCTTCCACACTCGGCCAGGCGTCGCATTGCTAGAAGGCATTTTCTACCAGCCACGTATTGCGTATTATCAGACTAACAAACACTGAGGAGGAAGAAGTAGCAATTGAACCCACTTATCAAGTCATTGACAAATGGGTGAGCAAGAGCCGATATTGGATGGCGAGGAGCGTTGACATTGGATAGATCACTTGCTCTCTCACTTTCGTTCTGGTCACGTGCCATTAACCTCACCCGCCTAGGCAGGTCACTGTGGAGGGCGTGAAGAGAAACGATGGGATGGTGATGGCTTTTCTTATGCACTGAACAAACGTAGTGAAAAGCACTTACACTCATTCAACCCACTATGAGATTGAAATGTTTCCCATGAGAGCATTGAACTTATTACTCCAAAGTCTAGAGCTTAATCATTCAAAAGCCAAGGAGCGGTTTGCATCAATGGGTGTGATCTGCTCCTCCTTCTGTCCTTTCCCGTGTGCAATGAATTTGGTGGATAGTTGTTCAACTTTTACTGAAGGAACAATGCTTCATGAATTAGAGTGCCTTTAATAGAAACTCACGACAACCGCCCTTTTTCGCTTCACATGTGACACAGGATGGTTTCCATCAGGTGCAGTAGAAAGTGTATGCCTCATCGAGTTTCCATTTTGCACAACTGGCTTGCTGCAGCAGAGTGTGAGGATCAGAATAACGCGTGTTTGAGGGAGAGCACTTACTAAACAGTCCCGGAAGCCAAGAACTATCTCCTCCTCATCCGAAAGATGCCCCTGTTCATCAGTGAGTTGAATGTGGTTGTAAGTTTCTGCTCTATCAAAATCTATCTGTTATCCATCTGTTTCTGTGTGCAGTTGCGCAGATGAATCATTTCGAGATTCGGTATGTACTCCAAATAAATAGTGCTTGGAGGGTATTTTACCAGGTAATGAGGTCGGAAATCTGCCGGCTGCGGAAAAACCTCACTGCCGAAGCTGACTTCGAGACACATTGCAGCGCGGAATTGGCTGTGGTTCTCAAGGGCGTTATTATTATTATTATTATTCATTATTCTTATGCAGTCAGTGACTATGAAGACTACTCTCAAGGACATTGCAGAGCCCATATTTCGTACAATGGTAGAGTAACTACTTGCCCATTGAAACACTCCTGGCTTGGGACACCGTGACCTCCCACTTCCTCTAAAACAACATATTGGTTTTCGTTGACCTCAACCGTCCAATGCTATTCCCCTTTACTTTATCCTGGCCATTCTCTCCCATGAGGAAATTGACAGCGAGCTACAGGCAGATTCTTATTTGCCCTTTTGATCTAGTTCTGAGGTTGCGCCTTTATTCAGCGCGCTGTCTCTCATAGCATGGAGGTTTTTCTATGCCAACAATGTTGGTACCTATCAACTAGGTTCTGGCAAGTAGCATGCTTCATGTCTAATGAGAAAACACCAGTCTTACTACCATAATCCTCAGAACACCCTGAGATATATTATCTAACTTGAGCCACCGGAAGTTCCTATACAGAAGATATAGACTACATCTTCAACAGCTTCATGATCTCATCAGCGCGCTGTGGTCCCTGGGAATATGTCGTCCCATTTCCTGCTCTTATCACCTTCCATCTCATCCTTCTAGCTTTAACAGGCTAGGTTGCTATGTTGGGTTGATGTTCTCCTCTGGCAGAGCGATTGGACATCCGTTGTGCTATGCTGGTCAAACAAACAATAACGTTGCCAGCCGCATCATTGCATAGGAATATCCTCCACATGTCCCATGAAGTACTGGAGGCTCGGCCACGGCAAATGGGAATATGGAAAAAAGGCCTCAGACTCAGCAGGGGGAGTAGCCTTATCAACTCCATGGGCCCTGTGCCTGCTGGATGTCTTTCTATGAGCTAGGAGCCCAGCTAACAATTATTTTCAAAGCGCTGGTATGCCCAGTGGATATAAAAACTAAGAATGGCAATACTACCCCAGAAAGCACACCCAAATTCCCATAAAGGAGAAAGATGTGTGCATGTGTGTACAACCATCGTATAAACATTTGACAAAACGCCGAGCCCCTAAACCCCGTCACATGTTGATGTGAACTGTTTCTCCAGTTTCTTTCCCACTTTTTTTCTATTCTCAGTCCACAAACAGAGGGCTACTACTGACTCTGGAACTGGATGCGCAAGGCCTCTACGAAACAGGGTGGCTCTCCAAGGCCGTATAACCTAAGGCCCCTTCGCCCTCCTTTTCCCACGCTGTCTCTGATATTTCAATCTCACCAGGAGCACAAACCCAAGCTTCTTCTGTTTTCTTTTTTTTTTTTCTTTCTTTCTTTCTTTCTTTTCTTTTCTTTTCTTTTTTTTTTTTTCATCAGCTGGTAAGCGATTCAAACACGTATTCTCTCTTGAGTCTGAACTGCTAACGCGCGAGAGCCCCCTCCAGCATCGTTATCCAGTTTATCACCTCGCTCCCCCGTCAACCTCAAGTTTGGCGCTTCTCTGCTGTCGCTCACTTGCGAGGCTTACCTGAAGATTGCAATCTTCCCAATAGCGGTGCCTTCACGTCATTGTTGAAACAGTCCAGCTCTACTTTAGCCACTTCACCGTCGGCTCCAGAGTCCCAAAAGAAGTCACTTGAAAACGTTTACAAGTCTGACATTTCCTATTTGGAGAACAAGAAAGGCTAAATGGATTATCGCTATACGAATACCCGCCTTACGCGATCCTCATCTCAACTTTTGGGAGCCATACGTACCCCACCGAGAGCGCATCCTCTACGCAACGTCACCACCATGGACATGGATAATGGTATGAGAAACCTTTTCCATGTGTCCCCGCGATATGGCGCTGTACAATGGCATGACTTCCAGGCTGCCGCCCAACCCGTTGTTCAAGTTTCACCGATTGATCACCCAGGATTTGTAGCGGAACAAGTTTCGTGTGCTACTCCCAAATCATCGCGTCTTTTTCCGCACATTGCGCAGGATATCCCGCGTTTGATGGGCCCTGAAGATGTTAGTCCTACGAAGCATGAGGAAAAACTCCTTTTCCGCGAAAAACAATCCATACTTTTGGACAATCTCAGCAAATATCACTATCTTCATGACATGGAAGACATGGCCACCACTCCTCGAAACGAAGTGGGAACCCCGCCGGCTGTCAGAGTCCCTCCTAAATTCGAACGTTCTCGCCAAGGTAGACGTGAGACAGCTTCTGATCACATCCATCCTTCGTTATCTACAGCATTCAGCACCGCATCCGAGTCGTCACAGCTTACCAGCCAGTTCTTTAGTCCACATTACATTGGGCAGGCATCAGCAACTCTGCATGCTCATACTCCTTTCCACGACAGGGGTATCCAAGATTTTTCTTATAGCTCCGCAGGCTTGTCTTCGAATTCTAGAACGTTGACTTCGACTTATATGGCAGCAGCAGCTGAACGTGCACTTGTTAGAGGTAGCCAAGTCACAGGATCCAATTTTGCTGCAAACATTATGACGGACCCCACGATCAATCATGCTTTAGCGATGACTATTTCCGACTCGAATCAGGATCCGTTTGTTTCTCAGTTTGAGCCTCGTCCACCTCGCCAAACCCAAGAATTTACAGAGGAACCTTTAGCAATGTATGAGTTTCCTAGACAGGATTCAATGTTCCATACGGCCTACCCATACTATTCAACCTTCCCCTACTATGATCAAGGCTACGGCATGGGCAACTATGAGAACTCTCATTATTTCCAAATGGTGCAGGCAATGATGCCGTCCAGTTTATGGGATGTTCCCATAACAGTGAATCCACCTCAATCTCACGCAGCGAACTATCCGCTCCGCGATGCTTTAACCCCGGTTCCCTGGCCCGTTACGCCCGGACCTCACGATATCCAACACAAACAACCTGGAAAGGAAAATGAAGATGAGCCCGAATGCCAGCAATCTCGCAAGATCACCAGTATCATTCCCTCAGAACTCGCTTCCGGTATCCTGCATCCAGAGTCTAGCCCCAAGGTTGCCGAAACTCTCGCCTGGTTTGCTTCTGACAACCGTGGTGAAGAGCATCTCCGTCAACAAATTCTAAAAATCGCTCAAGAAGACCGTGAGCGCCGAGAGAAAGAACAAATCGACAAGGGAGAACGCCCTAAAATGAATATACAGGCCGAAGCAAGCAATATCATCCTGGGACACGTCGTTGCCAATCTCCAATCATACCTGGCTGGAGACAGGGCTGAACAAGCTGAAAATTTTGCCGACTGGGGGTCCGTGCCCGAGAGTGCTATCGAACCCAGAAATGGAGGTCCAGCACCCTTTTCCAACCGTAATATCTGGGGCGGTGCGGCGAGATCTAGAAGGACTAAGACTGGTTATTCTTCAAAAAGGTTGACATGTGAGAGATGAAAAGGACTGGTTTTCATAAGTAAATCCCCTGCAAAGTTGATTCTCTTTCCACTGAATTTTATGCACAATTCCAATGGATGATTTTGCTTTCATGGTTGCTCCCCTAAAAAGTGTAATGGTAACTTCTTCTCTCCATACCTCATTCTCACCAGCTATGTACTTTTAAGGGCAGCTTGTTCTCGTAAACAGTCATAATATTAGTCGATCAGTCCATGATGGACAATTATCTGATGTAAAGCGCACTATACCCCTGATTGAATGCAGAAACCACAGGAAGATTGAATCTCCCATGGAAACAAGAACGCAGGCATCAGATCTATGCACAAACTTAAGGAATGGTGAAGAGAAGCATTGGAGCAGAAAATAAATGATCGTAAATTCATCAGTTGCTCCAAAATATAGTAATCAAATGACACTCATGTTAGCCACCCATAAACACGCACACACACACACACATATATACACCTGTCCTCCCATGGGTATATCACTGTGGTAGGGTTTATGAGAGGAAAAGGGAGGCTTTAAAGACCATGAAATGAAAATGAAAAAGAATAGAAAGAACCAGTCTAAACGAGAAGAACAACATATCAAAAGTTAAGGAGGAAAAAAATAGTCCATAGCCAACAGCATATGCACTTGTATTTAATTAAATTATCAAATTAAATGAGATTGG